TTGATAAATGTGTAACTGCTATGTTTACACTGAGGGTTAATCCAGCCTCTAGAGCCTCTAGTGGCTGTCTCATTGACAGCCGCTAGAGGCGCTTGTGTGCTTCTCACTGTAAAAATCACAGTGAGAAGACTCCAGCGTCCATAGGAAAGCGTCCATAGGAAAGCGGCTCGTGCAGCGCATGCGCATTCAGCCGATGACGTCGCTAGGAAGGAGGAGAGGAGGAGGAAAGCTCCCCGCCCGGGGCTGGAGAAAGGTAAGATTTTAACCCCTTCCTCTCCCCAGAGCCCGGCGGGAGGGGGTCCCTGAGGGTGGGGGCACCTTCAGGGCACTATAGTGCCAGGAAAACGAGTACTATAGTGGTCCTTTAAGGACACAACTTCTGTAATAAAAGGGAATCATGACAGAATATTTTCATCCTTAAGGGGTTAAATGCCTGAAATGTAACTACCACTATGTTGTATGTAAGTGTGTATGTGCACCTATATAATCTGTTTGATGAATTTCATTAATTGAACTGTATAAATACTTTTGTGTCACACTGTATATAAAATAAGTGTATATCATATTAAGAGCACTAAATTCCATCTATTGCTAGCAAATCTATATATTTTCATGTACAATTCTTTAACCCCTTAAGGACACATGACATGTGTGACATGTCATGATTCCCTTTTATTACAGAAGTTTGGTCCTTAAGGGGTTAAACATATCATCTGTCCCCCATCTGTCAAAGAAATTGTCAACATTATACGTGTGTGGTTGTGGCACAAGAGGTTTAGTGCCATAGATTGAGTGACAGCCGATTCACTTGCTCCCTGTCACTGTTAATTCCAGCTGGAATTTCTCACACTTGCAGGGCAAGTATGGGATGCACTGACGCCAATATGCTAGCAGTGAAGCCTGCATGTTAGCATCACAACTGGATATTTTCCTGCTTAGTAAAGTGTCCTCCAAGGAAGGCCAATAACCCCACTAACGCAACCAAGCTCTAAATTCAATCACGCTCAGCCAACTCTACACAATCACACTGAGCCAAGCCCCACAGAGAATTACCCCTACACAATCAAACTCAGCCAAGTCCCACAGAGAATTACCCCTGCACAATCACACTGACTCAGCACACACACCTAACTCAGGTATATTGCTTAAGGGGGGCAAGGAGGGGCGATGATGAGGGACTTTATTTGATTCTTTCATACCCTGTGATTCTTGGCCCTGTGGTTGTGTGCAGTGGAAGGTTTCTTATAGTCCAGGACAGTAACAATGCTACAGTTATGTTCATGTTTGGACCCAGTACATGTTTGGACCCAGCACATCTATCAAACATTTCCTCCTACACTTTAGTTTTGGCTAGTCTGTTTATAGCTGAACAAATAGAGAGAGGTGTAGTAGAATTCCCTAAGGAGGCAATTTTAGCCACTCAAGATGTGTATTAACATCAGTTTAAAGACCCCTAACCCAATAAGGGAATATATGGACAAGCCTGAGGTTTATAAAAGTTGACAAAAACCAGAGTTCTGTCATCAAACTTTTGTCCAATTCCAGCAGACGTCACAAGTGACAGCTGTGAGATTCATGGAGGCTACTGCAGTCTAATGGTATCCACCATAGATGATGTACACTCATTCATGCGCAATTAGATAGCACTGAAGTGTCCCCCAGGATAAGATGGTTGGGGTCATGAGAGACAGTTACAAGTAAGCAAAACATACCTCGGTCTGGGAGGAAATGAGACATGGAAGGGCTGAGGCACACAAAAAGAGACCTAAAGTAGGAGAAACATACAAGGTGCTGGGGGGAAGAGACACCTAGAGGGGCTGGGAAGGGGAGAAGAGACACAAAAGGGGCTTTAGAGAGAAAGAGACACACAGAGCGACTGGAGGGGAGTAAGTAACCCTCAAAGGGACTGGAGGAAAGTAAGAGACACACAAAAGGAAAAATAGGGGATAAGATATACTAAAGGTAAGACAAAAGGTGTATAAGATACATAAAAAGGTGAGACATTCAAAAGAAAGGATAAGAAACTCAAAAAATATCCAATGATTAGAGCGTTGCTGCAGGTTACCACAGCAACAATATGTTCCTATGCACGTGCACTCTACAAGTTCAACCACCGGACCACCAGGAAAAGTTCCCTTGTCAAGGCCCAAGGTAATGCAGGTGGATTAAATGCAGAGATGTTTTTTTTTTTTTTTTATATTATTTATACTTCTGCCGTTATGCCCCCGAACACAATGTGCAGCCCCATGTCCCGCTCAAACGTCCTGCTGCCCCTTTCAGTGTATTAAAAAGAAAGACGGAATACCACACTCTTGCTGGGATCCTGGTGTTACCAGACCTGGGGCTAGCTATTCCCACCGTAATAGTTGAAAAAGTTGTGGTCCAGGAACTCAAAGGTTAATGTTTCAGCAGATTTTATTGGAAAAAGTACAACGTTTTGATCTCAAAGAGATCTTTCTCAAGCTACTTGAGAAAGCTTGAAAAAGCTAGTTTGAGAAAGATCTCTTTGAGATCGAAATGTTGCACTTTTTCCAATAAAATCTGCTGCACAATTAACCTCTAAGTGCCTGGACCACAACTTTTTCAACTATGTCCCTCTCACACATACTCTGCTGCTCCATGCTCCCCTAACACACACTCTGCTGACCACGGCAACGCTCCAAATCTTGCTAGAGTGAACTCTAGCAGCTCCTTAAGGCTGCTAGAGTTCACTCTCACCCCCTGGACAACCAGGATTCTTCACCAGACCACCAGGGATTGCAGTGAATGACCCCCCTTCCAGACAAAGGTAAGCAGGGTGGGAGGGATATTAAAATTATTTTTTTAATTAAAATTAAATTAAAAAACGTTTACTAATTAAAATAAAAGAATATACTTATATGCCCTCATAACCCCACAATTACCACCTCCACACACACACACACACTGCCCCCCATACACAAACATTTCCCCCCTATACACACACACTGCCCCCTCCATACACACAAATTGCCCCCCACAAACTATACCTTCACACACACACTGTACCCTCATACAACCTTCCGCCCCTCATACAACCTTCCTCCCCTCACGCACAAACTGCCTTACATATACACACACACTGCACCCCTCACACACACATACTGCATCCTTCACACATACACTACATTCTTCACAAACACAATGCACCCCTGTACACTCACTGCATCCCACAAACACACACTGCATCCCTCACACGCGGACACACTCACACACTGCACCACTCAGACACACACCTATTGCACCTCTCAGATACACTACTGACCCTACCCCCTAATACAGCCCCTATACTGGCAGATCCCAGGTAAGTTGTCAAACTGTTCTTAAAGGGAAACTCCAGTGCCAGGAAAACAATCTGTTTTCCTGGCACTGCAGGTCCCCTCTCCCTCCCACCCCCCGATCCCCAGTTGCTGAAGGGGTGAAACCCCCTTCAGTAACTTACCAGAGGCAGCTACATGTGCCACATCGCTGCTTCTTCCTCCGCCGCCGCTCCTCGTCTGTATTACGTCGGCCGGTGGGCAGGATCAGTCTGCACATTAGAGCTCCCCATAGGAAAGCATTGAAAATGCTTTTCAATGCTTTCCTGTGGGGAATTTAGCGACGCTGGAGGTCCTCACACAGCGTGAGGACGTCCAGCGACGCTCTAGCACAGGTTTTCTAATAGACAGCCACTAGAGGTGGAGTTAACCCTGCAAGGTAATTATTGCAGTTTATAAAAAACTGCAATAATTACAGTTGCAGGGTTAAAGGACCACTATAGTGCCAGGAAAACATACTCGTTTTCCTGGCACTATAGTGTCAAGAGACAGCCACTAGAGGCTGGATTAACCATATTATAAACATCGCAGTTTCTCTGAAACTGCTATGTTTATAAAAAAAAAAAAAAAAGGGTTAATCCTAGATGGACCTGGCACCCAGACCACTTCATTAAGCTGAAGTGGTCTGGGTGCCTATAGTGGTCCTTTAACCTCTTAAGGACACATGACATGTGTGACATGTCATGATTCCCTTTTATTCCAGAAGTTTGGTCCTTAAGGGGTTAAAGAGTAGTGGGAGTTGGCACCCAGACCACTCCAATGGGCAGAAGTGGTTTGGGTGCCTGGAGTGTCCCTTTAAACAGTCTGACTACTTACTCTGAGAGGGCACTACGGCACTACTGGCACCATAACCACTACAACATGCTGTAGTGGTTATTGTGCCTGGATTGTTTCTTTAAATAATCTACCAGTGCCCCTCCCAAGATTAGGTTTTGGATCTGCGCTTGAACGGCAAGCATTTCTGCCGAACAGGGGCCCAGTATTTGCCGCTGCGCTGTATATATATATATATATATATACATATATATATATATATATATACAACCTAGAAAATTATTTAACTTGGGGCACCTTGGAAAAATATTTAAATATTAAGGGCGCCTTGAACCGAAATAGTTTGGGAACCACTGCACTAAAGTGAGAATTCAAAGTACATTTTGAAGTTAAGGCTAAAATAGGTGAACTGGAAAATTTCTCTAATTCAGCTATGCTTTACGTTTGACAACTCTGGCCTTAAATTTGAAATCCACTTTTTATTCCCACTTTAGTTATTTACTAAAGTGAGAATGTAAAGAGAATTTCAGATTTGAGCCAGTGTAGTCAAACTGAAAGCATTACAGAAGTAGAGTTTTTATTTTCTTTACTTGTCAACTGTTTTGACCATGAATTAAATTCCCTTTGAAAGATAACACAGTCAGTGAGTAACCCTGTGATAGTTATTTAATCAATGTACATGTGCTAAACTGTACCCTTTCTATTGATTGTGTTTTGCCTACATTTGACTCCTACAGCTAGACACTTTCTAACCTAAACAATGGCTGCGAATCGCACTGTTTGGCGACAGTTTTACACCGGAAGCGCATTCTACGTTCTCACAGAGCACTCCCCGCAGCGAGGTCATAGACACCATAGACATAGAATACGTCTATAATAGACACTGTGTCTATGAGCGAGGTTACCAAAGTCTCTAACTACACTTCCCGGCATCCATTGCGCGCACACAGTCGCAGAGCTCTGCCTGAGCTTGTTGTCCGCCTCGCCCAGCCGCTGGTGATAAAGGTTCCTTCCCATGCGCAGAGCGCTGTGTTTGTTTTTGTGAGGGTACAGCAGGCGGAGGATCCGTGCACTGATCCCGCGCTGGGCATGGAGGAGGGGGAACCCCGGACTGGCTCCTCGGGGAGCTCCGGCTCCTTCTCCCGGGAATTAGGCCGCGGCTTCGCATACTACAATAAGAACCTGGGCAGACTGCATCAGAACCTTCGGGACACCAAGAGATTCTTCAGGGACATCAAGCACACTTACAGCGGGGTGCTCTGCGGACCGGACTGCGACCTCACTTGGGGAGGAGACCTAGGTAAGGGGACCAGGGAGAGGTGGGCTGGGGCAAGAGAATGGCTGGGACTATGGGCTAAACATATGATGCACGACAGAACCAGGGGCTACAGTGTGAGAGCAGAAAGTTATTATTACAGTGTGAGAGCAGAAAGTTATTATTACAGTGTGAGAGCAGAAAGTTATTATTACAGTGTGAGAGCAGAAAGTTATTATTACAGTGTGAGAGCAGAAAGTTATTATTACAGTGTGTGAGAGCAGAAAGTTATTATTACAGTGTGTGAGAGCAGAAAGTTATTACAGTGTGTGAGAGCAGAAAGTTATTACAGTGTGTGAGAGCAGAAAGTTATTACAGTGTGTGAGAGCAGACGGGTATTACAGTGTGTGAGAGCAGACGGGTATTACAGTGTGTGAGAGCAGACGGGTATTACAGTGTGTGAGAGCAGACGGGTATTACAGTGTGTGAGAGCAGACGGGTATTACAGTGTGTGAGAGCAGACGGGTATTACAGTGTGTGAGAGCAGACGGGTATTACAGTGTGTGAGAGCAGACGGGTATTACAGTGTGTGAGAGCAGGGTATTACAGTGTGTGAGTACAGTGTGTGTATTACAGTGTGTGAGCAGACAGGTGTATTAGCAGTGTGTGAGAGCAGACGGGTATTACAGTGTGTGAGAGCAGACGGGTATTACAGTGTGTGAGAGCAGACGGGTATTACAGTGTGTGAGAGCAGACGGGTATTACAGTGTGTGAGAGCAGACGGGTATTACAGTGTGTGAGAGCAGACGGGTATTACAGTGTGTGAGAGCAGACGGGTATTACAGTGTGTGAGAGCAGACGGGTATTAATACAGTGTGTGAGCATAAAGGAAGGTATTGGGAGCAACAGTGTGAGAGACTGGAAAGTTAAGAGCAATAATGTTTGAATCGATGGTTGCAGTGTTAAGGCTTGACTATAGAGGGGATAAGCCGTGTCTCTAAGAAAAAACTAAGGGGACATTTACTGTGACAGGACAATCCGCTTGCAGCAGAGCACACTGAGGAAGTTTATGATTAGTGTTACATTTTTCAGAAATCTGAGTTTCTGAAAAATGTATACTTGTGATTTTAGGGTTGCAGCAAAGTTAGGCATCTCTTTAGCAGCAGGAGAAATATTGAAAAATCCATTTGCAGTTTAAGTGTTATGTCAGTTTTAAGTCTTTTTTTTTTTTTATCAGATAGATTGCATTTTGAAGATAGAAATGTTGCACATTTGTTTGTGTGGCTGTTATTGTGAAATGAGTTACTGTAAAAGCTTGAGGAATTCTGTATTTGTATTTATTTTATAACAAAAACGTAATTTTAACCCGGCAGGTAAAAAGAACCTTAAATTCTTAACCGTGTCCAGAGTCTTACATTGCAGTTTAGAAAGTAGAAATCCCTTCCATAATAGCCGCATCCTCAAGAGAAAAAAAAAAAAGAAAGTAGCCAAACTGTAATACGGGATGAAATATCTGTTGTACCACAAAACATGCTGTGCATAAGACTAGGTGGAACAAAATTAAATCTCTGCAAAAAAAAGAACATGCATGTCAGTGTAGTGATTTGGTGTGGGTTCTTGGAATTGTATAAATGTAGGGTTAACTGTGTAGACATGAACATTTTATGTAGATGTTGGCAGCAGTTGAGGTCTTTCTAGAGTCTGGACTGATGTGATAAGACTGTGTATTTGTGGTTTGTTGTCTGTGTAAACATGGAAGCACTGCTAACATATCTGATTAAGCAACAGTGGCTTTGTTGATACTTTTTTTCTTCCCATATTTAAGTGTGATCAGTTGCACACTAAATTATGTTTTTATTTTAAATCTGTGGTATAGTCTCTAGATATATGATTGATTTTAGCAGGGCCCCTTTCACCACTTGTTTGTGTGAATTTTACTTTAATTATTATTATTATTTTTTTTTTTTTTAAATCTAATTGTAAAGCAATGCTGACCATGTTGGCACTATCTAAATAATATTTGTGTTAAACTGCATTATCATATACATGTTATCTTATACATTGGCCTGGCAGGAGTATAATTAGCAAGAACCCATAAATGCGTTTGAGTGACATGTTAGTTGCACTCAGTGACCGTAATTTTGCTCTACATCAAAATGAGAAATATCTAACTATCACCACCGCCTCTCTACTGTTTCTCTTTAATGCTATTCACTAATTTTAGTTAAACGATGGGCCTCCCCAAGCTGGTGCATGTGAAGAACTTGGATTAGGGGTTAAAAATCTGTGGTATTTGAGTTACACGTAGGCTGTAAATCCTGTGCGTGTGATGTTGGATGTAATATGGTAGTTTTTGTTCATTAGTAGTAAGTTTAATAGGTCTGTAATTGAAAGGTAGAAATAGTTTCTTCTGGGTGTACTGTAATACTTTATTTTTATTTTTTATCCGCTAGACATTAAATATAAGGGGTTTAGAAATTTGCAAAATTTAGGTCAAAATCGATTTCCTTTGCTTTGCTATGGTAAAGAGATTAGGTACTATACTATATAAAGTTCAACCCATGGAATTGGTTACAGGATTTGGAGTCCCCTGGCACTGTTCCTTTCTTCAGTGTTAAAGGGACACTATAGTCACCAAAACAACTTTAGCTTAATGAAACAGTTTTGGTGTATAGAACATGTCCCTGCAGTCTCACTGCTCAATTTTCTGCCATTTAGGAGTTAAATGACTTTATTTATGAACCCTAGTCACAACTCCCTGCATGTGACTGGCACAGCCTTACTAAACACTTCCTGTAAAGAGTCATCTAAAGTTTATCCTTTCTTTATTGCAAGTTCTGTTTCATTTAGATTTTCTTATCCCCTGCTATGTTAATAGCTTGCTAGACCCTGCAAAAGCCTCCTGTATGTGATTAAAGTTCAATTTACAGAGCAAGAGATAAAATTGTTTATGGCAAATTACATCTGATTGAAAGTGAAACCAGTTTTTTTTTTTTTTTCATTCAGGCTGTGTCAATCATAGCCAGGGGAGGTGAGGAAAGGGCTGCATAAACAGAAACAAAGTGATTTAACTCCTAAATGGCAGTGAATTGAGCAGTAACATCTGAGAGGCATGATCTATACACGAAATCTGCTTCATTAAGCTAAAGTTGTTTAGGTGACTATAGTGTTCCTTTAAACCTTGTTTGAGCAGTTTAAATGGAAACTATAGTGCCAGGAAAACAAACTTGTTTTTGATTGTGCACATCCAGCTGTGGCTAGTCTAGTAGATTTTCAAGTGCTGCCGTCTTAGATACTTAATGTTGGCAGCAGATAGAGGACCAGGAAGCACTGGCTATCTGTCAAAAACTGTAAGTGAAGCTGGTCCCTGGTCAAAACAATGGTTCGGAGGATATCATGGAGAATTGATTAACGGATCCTTGGGCTCATAGCCGAGGGATTCAAAACGCGACAGGGCCATTTTAAAACCAAAAAAATTGTTTAACACTGAATGGAGGATGGGGCCATGTGACTCCACACATGGTAGCCAATTCAATGTAATGAAGCAATTACAGTGCCTCTAATATTTGAGAGTACATGTGATGTGGATCAGCACTGATTTTGAGCTATCTTGTAACATTGTATGGTTGTGATACAGACAAGCTCATTAGACCTTTCAAATCCATAAACTAATCTTCATTCAGTAAACTGTAATGGTGGATAATTTAAAACAAAATTTCCAATATGGTAAAATAGGAAATGTGGGGAATGTTTCCAGTTTAGCAACTTTGGCCTAAAAAATTCAATAAATGTCACCATGTGGACAATTCATGGTTTAGAGAGTTACCTATGTCTGTTTCATTTTGATAAACTCATTCAAGAATAGGGCAGTGTAAAAGTGAAAATCTGATCTTTGCTATACAGTCATTAAAATCCTGAGTGGTATGCCAGTTTTATATTTTGAATCATTGAACATTGAATCTGGAGCTGGAAAGTTAATATAAGGTTTGCAAATGTAAATGCTTGGTTTGTTATATATCAAAGGGATATTTTAGGCACCATAACAACTTAATCTAAATTAATTTATGGTGTTAGGAGAACCCCAGGTGCACTCCCTCCATCAGTGCCTAAAGTGGCACTGTCACTGTTTTGGGGACTTTGCCGAATTCGCAAAGTCGACTGGGTTTGAATTTCAGTGAAATTTCAACAGTCCTAATGATTATTTCATACAGATTCTATCTTTATGAAATACTTATTTTTTGGGGGAGTGGTGATGTTACTGTACTGCTTTAATCTGGTCTTGAGTGGTTTAACCCCAAAGCTGCATCCAGTGTCGATCCGAACTTCGCCCAGGTGGCTTCTGGAATTTCAGTTTTAGGAAGTGTGGAGTGCTGCCAGACAGGGGTGCCGATGATTTACTAAGAGCGGTCAGCTGACGCTCTGTCAATCTGTGACTCCCTATTCACAAAGGTACATTTCTTTTTCAAGCCAGGTCTGTGAATGGGGCTGACTCTCAGCAAATCATGGGCACCCCTGCCTGGTGGCACTCTGCACCTCATGAAACTGATATTTCTTAAGATGTATGACGCATGGGGGAGGGAGGAGAGGGTGGGGGGAGTTGTGATCGGCGCTGCAGGCATCTTTGGCATTAATTTCTGTAGGGAAGAGTGTGTCTAGGGGCCTCCTGTCACCATAGCAACCTAATTTAGATGAGGATGTTATGGTGCCCGGTGTACTACTTTAATAATACATTGCATTCAAAACCAGACTGCAAAATTAATACTAAAATAGTCCATCTGTGACTATAGCTGTATTTGTCGGCTGTATTTGTTATCAGTTTGTTGAGTGAAAAAACACTTGGTTTCACTTTTATTGAATTATTAAAGACTGTATAATATATGTGTAGAGTAAAAACAACTGGTCTAGAATGCTTATAGTCCAAAGTTCAACTTGAGATAATCTTGTTGATTTATATAACCCCTTACAAGAACAGAGGGCCTCGTTCACTAAAGGTTTAATTTAAATATACTGCACATTTTCATAATGATTGACTCTCATGGATTTTTATATTCAGAAAGAGGATTTGCTAAAAGTGAAATTAAAAGTATGTTGAGCTAGATTTCTCATAGGTTAGTGATATATTAAAAATTGATATGATTTATTTAAAGGGACACTCTCTAGGCCAGGCATTGGCAACCTTTGGCACTCCAGATGTTTTGGACTACACCTCCCATGATGCTTTGCCAGCATTATGGGGGATGTAGTCCACATCATCTGGAGTGCTGAAGGTTGCCTATCCCTGCTCTAGGCACGTCAGATGTTGTGGACAACATCTCTCCTGGTGATTTGCCAGCATTTATGGCTATTGCAGCATTATGGGAGATGTAATCCAAATGGAGTGCAAATGGTTGCCTAGCCCTCCTCTGGGCTGCATAATCACATCATCCTAATCAAGTGACTATAGTGATTGAATTCCCTACGTTCAGTGTTAAACAACTTTAAACAACAATCTTTAATGCAAAATATAGGTATTTGGCAATTTCAAAAGCGGAGACTACACATCACACTACCACTTTAGCCATACCACTTCATACCAGCAATGGGAGGTTGTGATAGCGTAAGTGGGGCCCATCATTGCTTGAGCTACTGTGGCAGCATTAGCCTAAGAAACAGAGGGGCTGGACTGCAGGCAGCCAGGAACCCTCATACACTGTACAGAGGAATGGAGCAAGGGAAGTCGAAGCACCATAACCTCTCCATGAAGTCAAGCTGTTAGTGTCCTTTGTAGATGCCATTCAAACACTATATCAAGTATTCAGTACAGCAGTGCAAGCCTATCATAATATAATGAAAACAATTACACACTTTGGATTTGGTGAGCAGGTGGAAATGGAAAATTAAAAATAATTATGAACTGTATACGAATTGGTAAAATCTCTTATAACAAATCTATACAATGTGATGTCTGACGTGAACCTGTCCTTCACACATGTGGATAACAAGTTCACATCTAGTTCGGTAAATATTACATCGATATTGTACTGGTGAAATCTCCAGCAAATGGTATTGGTTAAATTAATTTCTGAACTGGATTTTGCTTTCTTAGGAACCCTCTGCACTGCAAAAAAAAAGAAACAAATCACAGTTTAGTAGATATACCCTCAGTACATGCATTGTATTCATGAAGGAAATGCAGCCTGTGTAAGCCCACCCCATTTCACCCCCAAATATTTTCAGTCTCTTAATGCAGGAAATAACCTGATTTTAGAAGCCTCTGACTCAGTCTGCTCATATGCATCTGCTTTTGTGTGCATGCACCTGGTCTGTGAGCAGCATGGAGGAGGCGGCAGGTGCACTCAAGGGAGCTAACGGAAGGGAGCAAACCTCCCTGGCTGTTCCATAGTTTAACTATTAAAGTGCTGATTTTTCACATAAAAATTTGCCATTTTATAAATTGGAAACAAAATGGGATACTCCTCACTCATAAAGCACTTCAGCTTGCTGTTGAGTGGTAATTTAACACCTGCTTTCTGAACCTGTGGTGCATGTGCCAAGTGCTGGCTGGACACCTAAAGGCCCCCCTACCTTGCCTTGCTAAGGCAAGGTAGGCACATGCTTACCTGGACGGCAGGTGCCTACTCTGGCCAAACCGTGTCTGGCTGGAGGCTGTAGCCAGGTAGCAATGGAGTTGTAATCTCTGCACTATACCAGTACTGCTCAGTCAAACACCCTATGGTGAAATTCGAAATTCACTTTGAATTCTCACTTTAGTGAATAACCCTGTTAGTATGGACGCTTAGATAAGAGTCCCAGCATACACTCAACCTGCCTCCATATGAGCCAAACTACATTTGAAATAAAATTATTGCCATATCAACCAATTGTGTATAAATCCCCATTAAAAAGGAAAAAAGTTTGTATCCTTTTAAGAAATATTTGTAACTGCTCAGGAGAATCCCTTTCTGGATTTTTAATTGTATACAAAAGAAACATCAACTTAATTTGCATTGAACTCTCTTAATTAACAGAACAGCTCAGTGCTACTCAAACTTTCTTGCTCTATGGTGCTCAGACCCAGTATGTGGCAGAAAAAAACTTTTTTAAACTTGCCTTGTCAACTCAAACATGAGGGACTACTTTGTCGTAAGTATTTTTTTACTATATTTGGCAAAGCCTTAAGCTCCACCCTTTTGTCACATTTTTCTGGCGTAAGAAAAATTTATAAGACCAAAGTAGTCCCAACTTTGTCTTCTGTTTGAAAGAGAATGAGATCAGAAATAAAGAAAATAACAGATTCTGAAAGAGGAAACAATGGGAGACAGATAAGTTTGCAGTGAGAGCCACTTTAAGACTACTGTATGGTGACAAACTACCAGAGTCTCTATGCCAAATATACACTTCCGCAGTCTTCACTATACTCGTACCTACAGCTGAAGTCCTACCTGTCCAAGGTGTACAGACAACACCCAGACTTAACTCACACAGTGACACTTACTAAATGGGAACAAATGTGTATTAATGAAAAACTCTCACTGCTTTGTAAACCGATCTCCATTGCCATAACCCAATATCCGAACATAACAATAAGCAATACAATCGGAAGCAGACCTCCATTGCATGATGACACCTAAAAAGTAGGATACCATAATATCCAACCCACTTTAATTACTACGATCATCCTCCCACATTGAACAACATCGAAAAATCCTTTACAGGTGGTACTTGGTGCCGACCAGATTACATAAAATCTTCCCTTCCACCCCTCCAGATTCTTGGAGCTGTCACGAAACAGAGGGCTCGATACACCATATTCTGTGGAGCTGTCCACAGCTGAACCACTACTGGACTGAAGTCCACAAGCTAATCCGGTTCCCTCCCCTTTACCCCAAGAATATGTCTGTTGTTGGGTCTCCCCCCAGGACATAAGAAAATGTACCTTACACATTGACTTGACAGCACAGCAGCTATTAGCAAGGAAGTGGAAGTCTCCTGTACCCCTCAAGATAGAGGAACTACTTGGGGAATTGCACAAGCAATATGCGAGACTTCATATAAGACCCTCTTCCCTCCTTCCACACTCTACGGGAAAACATGGGAGCTCTGGCACACATGGAGATCTGGTAACTTAACATGTCTCTATTTTCACGAATGCTCTCGGGTTCCAAACTCGAACCTAACTATATAAAAGCTATCGTGGTACCAAGCAGAGGTCGAAACTTCACTACCCTACTGCTTTGTATAAAATGCACACTGCTGTTCAATTATACATGTATTGATTTGTACCAAACATGCATCAGTACCCACTCCCTATCGGTTTGAACCAAAAAAAGACTACTGTAAGGGGTGCTGCGTTCATAGCATGGCAACACATTCTCCAAAAACATTCTTCACCACTTATTTCCAGGGGCTGATCACCCCACAGCTGAACACCCCACAGCTGTGTTAAAAGTATTGTCACTAAACATTGTGTGCTGTACAACACTGGCCACTATTTACAATTGCTCAAAATAATGACCATTTGTTGTACACATTGCATCTGACTGTCTCGACCACCATTAGCCCTGTTTTATTGCTGTGACTATTATAGGCCATAGATTGGTTTTATGGAATTTTTTTTAAAATTAAATGTGTAAAACAAAAAATAAAATATTTAGTGCTGATAGTGGTGTATACCTCTCTCAGGCTCAGTAGATGTTTAGGTAAGTTTTATACACATAACATGCCAGGTCTGATAATCTTCAGAGCAGGCAAGTTTTAGTAGCACTAGGCTGCTCGAACAATGAAAGTATAAGGTGTTTTGTATACAATTTCTACAGAGTATTCCATTTTTGTATATATCTCTAACTCTTTCTTTAAATCGATCCGTGGACTTTGGAAATGTTGTTTCTTAAATGGATGCACATTTTAATTTTTTTACATTTTATTTTCATGGAGTCTGTACTCTCTTCTGGTAAAATGACTGTGAGCTAATCGAATCAAAGCTATACTCTGTCTGAATTCACCTGGAGGTTGGGCAACAGCTCTGAGTCAAAGTTTGCAGGCTTCTGCATTGTCTGGTTTAGTCCATAGGTTAGCAATGTACCGAATAACGTGTTGTTTTTTTTTTTGTGTGTGTTTTTTTTCTGCCTTCATTCTCTCGCCAAGTCAGTGACCATTGCCCTTTAGACAAGAAAATGGTTGTTAATTTATAACATTGTTTTGTGGAGAATTTTCTGTATCCTCCACTTTTTGTGTCTGAATGTACAAAATAGCACAACATGCAGGGGTGTATGTGTATTATTTATTCCCCCTCCCCCTCTTGTGGATAGTACCAAGAGTATGATAGCCTAAAGTTGAGAAATGACTTGTAACATACGCCTTTTATCTATCAATGGCTAACCTTGACATCTTGTTTTGGTTGACTGTTATTGTAAATGCATTAAACAAACACATGCAGTGTGAGAGAAATACTGAAGAGGTTAAAGGTACAGCAAATTTATGATAAAATGTGTGTGTGTATGTGTATATGTATGTATATATGTATGTGTGTGTGTATATATATATATATATATATATATATCTATCTATCTCTATCTCTATCTATCTATCTCATCCAGTGGTACCCTGCACACACACTTTAAAGTATCAGAAAATGCCGGGTGCAAAAAAAACCATAGCCAAAAATTACAAAAAATATATAGGAAATAAGGCTTGCACTCACGGTCTGTAGTAATGATAAAATATTTCTTCTTTATTGGAATATTCTTAAAACATATCTGTTATCATCAAATCATTTGTATTGAACTGATCCTGATGAAAGCCACGAACGATGGCTGAAACGTTGATGATAACAGATATGTTTTAAGAATATTCCAATAAAGAAGAAATATTTTATCATTACTACAGACCGTGAGTGCAAGCCTTATTTCCTATATTTTTTATATATATATATATATACACATACATACATACATACATACATACATACATACATACATACATACATACATACATACATACATTTTTAGTTCTACCATACCCCTTTCTCTGTTTTTGCATTGGCGCCTTACAAAATGCCGTATATATATAATGTCATATATTGGCCATAACTGGATTGGTAATACAAAAACAAGAGGAAAGAAACCCTGTCCTGAATGGAGATAGTTAAAACCATAACTTTTAATCACAAAAAAAATCAGTAAATAGTGTGTAATGTAAAAACTTACTCTCAGAAAGCCCATATACATATAAAGGGATTATAGAGAGATAGTATGTGGAGTTAAAAAAAGTATTAAATTGGTTGACATTGATAGAAATGTCACTGCAGACAGACAGAATGAAAATGTCGGTGTCTAGCTCTAAGTATAGAGGTGTAATTACTGCTAGATGTGGCTGGATAAATCACTCGAAAATGTAGCAGGGGAAAAAAAAGGTTCAAATGATGCAATATACAATGACTGTAGCAACTTGTCTGTAACAAGTCCAGCACTGATTGAAGTAGCATGCACTACAGTGCTAGTCATGATAGAGCTAGACAGGATAGATTATGTCAGTCTGACCGCTTGCTCCAAACCTTGCCTGAACTGTAGGCAAAGCTAGAGAATCTATTACTGCTACTTAGCGTTCAAGGATTGATTAGCAAAATAATTGGTAATACAATTGCTCTAAAAATCTCAAAATATATAATCGATCTCTATCCTGTGAGCGTAAAGGTGGAATAGTGGTTGATGGGAGATACATCAGACCTGATTTGCTAAACAGCAACCAGAGGATTTTTCAGTTAAATGCCCCAGGGAGAGATGTTAAAGTTTGCAATATGCATAGCTGATGCTCTGCAAAACATGGTATGGGTCCCTGGGGCGGAGTATTTGGAGAGCAGGGTGGGCCAATGCTCCAACAGCACTAGTTGCTGTATAACAGACCACAGTTTGGATCTGATTTTAAGAGTTAACTAATTGGCACTCACCTGTAGCTACTCAATTAGTAGACAGGCCTTTAAAAGAAGAGAGCAGCCTGCTGCAGAGTGAGGGAGAAAAAGACAGCTAGGAGAGATTGTGTTTATTGCAAAGACATTGCTTTTGTTTGGAAAATTGGTAAGTGGGAAAGCCACCCAATTGCAGATAGCAATTACTGTCTAGTAAGAGCTCAAGTAAGAGCAAGGGATTTTGTTTGTTTTTGTTATTATTTAAAGTACCTGCTTTCTTACTGAATAAAAAGGAAAACTGAGCTGAAGGTGTCCTGGACTTTGTATACCCTAGAAGGCTGTGGTTACTGCAAGATCGGTGACAATCCTACCTGTAAAAGAGGTGGTTTGTTACAATCCGTATTTGTCCAGTAGACAAGATGCCAAAATACCAGAGTATTGCAGTATGCAATATCCTGGTATTTTGGCATTTTTTTTTATAATGTATATTGGTTTAGGGAAGAGGGGGAAATAAATAAAAATCCCACCCGCCCACCCCCCGGTGTCCTGCAGCAAACCTATGATTTAAAAAATAACATGCAAAGTTAAGAGGTATTATCTCTTTTTTATATATATATTTTACTGTTCTCTGAATTGACTATATTTGTGGATTTTTTTTTATTGTTTAACCCCTTAAGGACCAAACTTCTGGAATAAAAGGGAATCATGACATGTCACACATGTCATCTGTCCTTAAGGGGTTAAAAGCCTGACTGTATAATCTTTTATACTCGGAAACCAACCACTATTTAGATGAGATCCCTCTTTTTTTAACTTTGCATGTTTTGTTTGAGATCAGAGGTTTGCTGCAGGACACTCTTCGCTAAACTACTCGGGTTCATTGAAATCTATTAGGTGTTCCCTTGCATGAATGCCACTGGGACTGTAAAACTCCCGATTACTTTCCCAATGTGGTCCTGCATTAAATTAAAGGTCACCTTATATTTTTAGGATCACAACTACTGAAGTAGTTTGCTGAAATGTCAGCTGCAAACTATCTGTAAGTTTTGCATTTTTAAATGTTCAATTTTCTTAGATTTTGATACATGCTTCATGTGTTGAAATTATTGCAAACACCTAGGATAAATATACTTTAAGACTGTGAGTTAATTGAAATGAAACAATCCCTGGATTTATTAGGCGGCTATTTCAGTTTTGAAGCTAATTTCGAGATGAATTATTTTTTTATGTTTTCTTCTTGCTCAATTACATTGCCATAGAATTACAAAGCTCTAATCTCCAAGCTTAACATGTTATTGAGAGTAAAAAGCAACTGTGATGGATGTTAACATGGGTGTGTACATTGTTGGAGCTGCTTAAATTATTTATTTTTCCTCTTAATAGGCACATTGTTAAAAATCCAGCTTTCATCAGTTTAAGTGATGCACAAAGTAGGTTAAAGTTATTGTCTCGGAGTGCAAGGTTGGTTTGAATTTCAAGTTTTTGGGTGAGCAGAGCACTGGGCGAAGTAGACTGTTATGCTTCAAAGAACATGTTTTACAAATCTGTCTGCTTGATTATGTTCGTATAGTTGAGTGAGAAAACAAAGTTTGAAACAAAACCTCCCTAAAAAACATACAAAGTAGTTCTGTATTACAGGCTAGGTTACATGCATATTAACTATTTCAGAAATACATATTTATTGCTGAATTAAGACTCTGTACTTTTCCTGGGATAGTTTATGGTATAGGGATGCTAACCTGTAAATACTTAACTTTTCCTTTTATTATTTTAAGAATTACTCCAACCCTTTCCAAGGTTTGCATTTTTAGGCTTATAATGCCCCCCAAAATGAAATATATAAATTAAAGCTGTAATGCCATGCTGGTTGAAGGGCACTGATCTCACTCCACCATCTGATGTCAGCAGGGAGCCTTTTGCTGTCCATCCACAGAATTATCACAGAGCCTACGATTGGACCGTTTTTCTGGCTCAGAGTGCATACATGCTGCCAAAGGAGGGGGGTTGAAATTCCCAATCAATATTTATTTGTACCTCGTTCCCAGTACTGTTCCCCCAAACAATTGACGTATCCTCTCTTTTTAGTGGCCATAGCCGCTCACAGACTGTACCTATATCATATTAGCCTTCTTTATTCTGGCTATTTCCTCCCTCAAACCATATTCATCCCCACTCATTGACATCTTGTCATTTTGTTCATAGTCTTCCTTTAACAGGTTTTCCAAGTTCACTGACTGTTTGTATATCTTTTTAATAGAAGCCATTTACATCCAGTAGTGCTTAAAGGAACACTATAGTGTCAGGAATACAAACGTTTTACTGACACCATAGGTGTGAAAACACTGTTTAGGCGTCTAGCCCCTCTTGCCCTCCTGCGAAAAATATAGATTACTTGCCTATTTCTAGCATCGGATGGCGTCTGAGTGACTGCCACTAGAGATGTTCCTAGGCAATAATGTAAGCACTGTTTACATTAAAATACCTGCAGGTACATACATGCACACCAGAACCACTACCTAACTTGTAGTTGTTCTGGTGACTTTAGTAATCCTTTAACCCCTTAAGGACCAAACTTCAGGAATAAAAGGGAATCATGACATCACACATGTCATGTGTCCTTAAGGGGTTAAAGATAGTGCAAATAATGTTATGGGAACATTTTGAATTTGTAAAATGACACAAAGCATTCAAATATAGCCTGTTGCACAAATCCTAAAGCCATAATTCTTTCAACGGAATGTTCTGTTTACACTTTTGTCTAAGGAACAGTCAGTTCAGGGATATTTTTTTTTTTTTATGCCTAGCTATATATTTTCAGAGAAACTTCAACTTCCAATCCAGAACCAGCATCCTGTTGATGAGACCATGAGGTCAAAAATGCAGTCCATGGCTGGTTTCTGGCCACTGATCCTTTTGGATCATAACCCAATAAACCAAAAAAGCACACACAAAAAACCTGTGTTTAAAACCACATCCATTGCTAAAGGTACCTGCAAAAATGCAGTATGAAACCTGAAACAACATGCCTGACAGTACTCATTTGCATGTAAATGGGGGACCTCTAAAATAGTTGTGGAAACATGAAGGTGATGCATAACACATATATCTCTTTATATCCCCTGCCCTTCAAATTACACAGGAATCAAAATACAGTTTAAAAATATTTCAAATTGACACTATAGGCACCCAGACCACTTTTGCTCAATAAAATGATCTGGGTGCAGTATCCCTTTTGCACTTGGTGCTGCAATGTTTACATTACAGCACCAAGTCTGCCTCCAGCCACTGGATGCGCTTCCTGCACCCAAACGGACCTTTGGTCTGGTATCTGACGCTGGACGTTCTCACGTTTTGCATGAAAACCTCTAGTGTCAAATTTTTCCCCTTTAGAAAAGCATTAATTCAATGCTTTCCTATGGGGCGGCGCGCGTGTGTGTTAGTGCCTGCTTGTCGGATCTTGGAGTGGGCGGAGCGTTGACCTTGCACCAACGGACATCAGCGCTGGGATAAGGTAAGTAAATGGTTTTTAACCCTGTATTTACCGTGGTGGGGTAATGCGCGAGGGAGGTGGGAGGAAGGATTAGCGATGGTGCCATGAATACAGCTTTGTATTCCTTGCACTGTAGTATCCCTTTAATTTCTCTTTACTTCTGATTAACTGCTGTTGTGTTGGTCATCGTAAATAAAGCAATCTTCCAGCTGCATGGAGGCACTACAGATTGACATATTTTTAGCTAGTGCCACCCCACTTGTATACATATTCAGTGGGATACAAAGATTATCCTGGCTGGCTCCTTCAGCTTTTAATGTTCGCACCTGCCTAATAATTTAAAGGCATATTAGGAGGAGGTTGAAAAATCAGATGCTTTCTTCTGAGTCTATGCCTGTCACTGTAATAACTAAAATGAAAAATAAAAAAAATCTGTTATGCTATGCATCATCCTGGACACAATTTTGGTAGTTTGTGACTTCTGTGTGGTCATTGGACTACTGCTTATTTCAACCACCAAGAGACTTTAAAAAAAATGGTGTTAAAGAATACAGCTCAGCATATTGCCTACTGAAAACAATTGTATTTATGTGATTGCATAGTTTTACTTTTGATTACAAACTTGGCATTTCATTGAGCAATCCATAAAAGCTCAGTTTTTGATTCTTTACAATCGAGAGTTGTCAGATTCTATTTCAAGGGTCATTAACAAGCTTGTTTTGTCACAGACATTATAAGCTCTCCAAAACAATTACAGTTAAAGGGGCAGTAATGCCTGATAACACGTTTTAAAACATTTCTATTAATCGCCTAAGGATTGAGCCAAATGTATCGTAACAAAACGTAAACCAAAAACTTGAATTTGCACTATATATGTCTGTTCAGGCATAATTCGCCTCTTTCATATTATGTGCATCCACACTTATTATATATCATTTTATTCAGGGTACATAGGGCTTTTATTTAACATTGAATATTTAGGTATGAGAATTACCCCCATGATGGCATACCATTTGCAAAAGTAGACAGCCCAAGGTAACGCAAATGGGGTATGTCCAGTCTTTTTTAGTAGCTACCGTATTTTTCGCTCCATAAGACGCACTTTTTCCCCCCTCAAAAGTGAGAGGAAATGTCTGTGCGTCTTATGGAGCGAATGTGAAGAATTACTTACCTGTCTTGGAGCGTGGGCCGGCTTCACAGCGCGCTCCGCGGTCCAGGAACTTCTATTTCAGGTTCCGGTTTCCGGCGGGACTGAAAGGAAGTGTGCACACGAGTGTGCACACTTCCTTTCAGTCCCGCCGGAAACCGGAACCTGAAATAGAAGTTCCTGGACCGCGGAGCGCGCTGTGAAGCCGGCCCACGCTCCAAGACAGGTAAGTAATTATGGGACAAGGGGAGGGGGAGACACTATGGGACAAGGGGAGGGGAGGAGACACTATGGGACACTATGGGAAAGGGGAGGGGGACACTATGGGAGAAAGGGAGGGGAGGAGACACTATGGGACAAGGGGAGGGGGACACTATGGGAGAAAGGGAGGGGAGACACTATGGGACAAGGGGAGGGGGAGACACTATGGGACAAGGGGAGGAGACACTATGGGACAAGGGGAGGGGGGAGACACTATGGGACAAGGGAGGGAGGGACACTATGGGACACTATGGGACAAGGGAGGGGGAGACACTATGGGACAAGGGAGAGAGGGGAGACACTATGGGACAAGGGGAGGGGGACACACTATGGGACAAGGGGAGGGGGAGACACTATGGGACAAGGGCAGGGGGGGACACTATGGGAGGGAAAGTGCACTATGGGACAATGGGAGGGGGGGACACTATGGGATCAGAACACTAATGGACAAGGGGAGGAGGGGTTAAAGAACACTATGGGACAGGGTAGGAGGGGTTAACAATCACTATGGGACAGGGTAGGAGGGGTTAACAATCACTATGGGACAGAGGAAAGGGGGGTTAAAGATCATTATGGGACAGGGGAGAAAAAAAAATATTCTGAACAAACTGTCCCATGGTAAGAAACACTATGGAACAGTTTGTTCAGAATATTTTTTTTTCTGGGTTTCCTCCTCTAAAAACTAGGTGCGTCTTATGGTGAGGTGCGTCTTATGGAGCGAAAAATACGGTACTTGGTCAAATGGTATGCTATCATGCGGGTAATTCTTATTCATATGGTCTGAAAGGCGGCGTAACCAATCTGGCGAATTTCAATGTGAAAAAACTGAACCGCAAGCCTTATATTTGACTCTGTAACTTTTGAAAACACCATAAAACCTGTACATGAGGGGTACTGTTTTACTCGGAAGATGTCAATGAACACAAATATTAGTGTTTCAAAACCGTAAAATGTATTACAACGATGATATCGTCAGTGAAAGTGAAATTTTTTGCCATTTTTCACACACACAAATGGCACTTACACGGACGATATAATTGTTGTGATACGTTTTACTGTTTTGAAACACTAATATTTGTGTTCAGCGACATCTTCCAAATAAAACGGTTACCCACCCCCCCATCCATGTACAGGTTTTATGGTGTCTTGGGAAGTTACAGGGTTAAATATAGTGCTAGCAAATTAAATTTCCTGGACTTTTGGCCTGGGTTGTCAGGCAGGTCCCACAAATTGTAATTAATAAAATGACATAATTATGTAAAATTATTACATAAATATATACGTAGAATTAAAATATATATATACATACATACATACATACATGTGGCAGGGTAAAGGGGGGTGGGCCAGTGACTTGAATTGCATCACTGGTGTGCACAAAGGGAGCGGGCCTTCCCAGAATGCAAGAGTGCAATACTGATGTCTGTACAAGCTCCCCAAGATCGCAGGAGCCTTTATAAACGTTTGGGGGGAGGATGACTGACCTACTTTAAGAAAGTATCATGATTTGACTTCTGGTATGTTTAGAAGTCACTGCAATTCTGGAAAGTCTTGGAATTGGTAGCAAATTTAAGAATTTCAAATGCGTATCTTTCAGATATGCTACCTAATGTAGCTCTTAAATGACATTTCTACGGTTTAAAACTACAAATTAACAGGTTATGTGTAGGCTGGTTACATGTAAACTCTATGTTTAGGGACAAGTAATAGCCAAATAATGTTCATGTACCGTCCAAGTTGTTCTTTAAAGTTTTGTTTCCTTATTGCTTTCAAAGTTTTTGTTTGCAAATTGTTCTGTAGGTACTTCTGGCAGTTACAGGAAGCCTTTTTTCCTATTTCTAACCATAAACTCAGAAATACAATAAAGGTATCCTACATGTATACTAAAGTAGCCCTAACTCTCGTGTTTTTTTATTTTATTTTTTAAATGTGTATATGCTGATGCCTTCTGTTCAGTGTGTTGGCCAACCTGAAAGGTTAGGTTCTACTGTTGAAACCAGTTAATACAGGATACTCTGACTTTTCCCTACGTGGAGTTATCTCCCCTCATTGTGAGGAACTTAGGAGTTTGCTCTGAAATTCTTTAAGTGGGTGAGGAAGCAGGCTGTGAGCAGTGTTATCCAATTATCATGCAATGCTATATTTGTAAAAAGTCATTTTACTTTCCCAGTGTCACTATTACACTTTAAACAACGTGCTGGTTGTGAAACTATAACATAGTGGCACTAGCAATTAAAGTCTGTTTATGCTTTGTGCTTGCCAAATTGATGGCAAATACATAGATTTTACTACTTTAATATAAATTCTATTTTTGTCAAAAATAAAGAAAAAGTAAAAAAAAAAAAAAAAAGTAGTTTTTTTTTAACCCTTGCAGTTCTGGTCACCGCTTTTAACACTGTGATCAGCTTGTTTAGGGATTTTAGTACATTTGTACTATTATTATTATTATTATTATTATTATTTTGTATTTTTTATTTTTATTTTTTTTTTACCCTTTGTCAGCCGCAGCAACATAAATCTCCCTTAACCCTTTCCCTTCTGCCATGATTACTGTACTGTACAGTATTGCTACTGTACAGTATTGTACCAGTGATCACTGTGATCAGAGGGCTCTCTGATCAGGCTGACTCTTTTGGGGGGTTATTTTTATTAAATTTTTTTTTAACCCTTTCAGTACTGGTCGCAGCAGCCTAAACAGCGATCAGTACATTTATTTTATTTTTTGTGGGTTTTTGAGGGTGGGTAGTAGGGTGTTAGGCAGGTAGGAATTTTGTAATTTCCCCCTTAGATTTTTTTTTTTGATTGATTTTGCGTAGTCCCCCCTAGAATGGCACGTCGCTACTCGGCCGAGGAGGCGTACGCCATTCTGGCAGGCAGTGATAGTGACACTCTGCAAGACAGTGACCCTATCACTGCCTCTGACATTGAGGCTATGACTGACTCCTCTAGTGATGGTGCCCCACCACCACCAACAAGAGGACGCTCAGCAAGCCCAATGCCAGATGGAGACTGGGTTCCCCCAAACCTGACCGCCCCAGATATTCTCCCATTTACGGCGACTCCTGGCATCACTGTTATGGTGGATGCTTGGGAGGCCCTAAAATATTTTGATTTGTTCATGTCAGAGGAAGTATTTCAGTTATTGGTTGAGCAAACCAATTTATTTGCCTACCAATATCTGACTGCGAATCCGGGGTCACATTACAATCGGCGTAATATGTGGCACCCCACGGATCTCGCAGAAATGTGGAAATTTTGGGCCCTTACTCTAGTTATGGGCATTGTCAAAAAGCAGAGTATCATGTCCTACTGGTACAAGCACCCCATCCTGGCTACCCCTCTTTCCCCTGGGGTTATGAAGAGGGATCGCTATGAGCAGCTGCTGCGTATCCTCCACTTCAACGATAACACACTGTGCCCCCCAAGAAACGACCCATTGTTTGACAGGCCGTACAAAATTCAGCCCCTAATTGAACTCCTTTCAGACAAATTCTCCCAAAATTATGTCCCTGATGAAAATATTTGTATAGATGAGTCCTTAATGAAGTTTAAGGGTAGATTACTTTTTAAGCAGTATATTCCTTCTAAATGATCCCGATATGGTGTTAATTTCTCCAAATTTTGTGAATCCAAATCTGGATATACATGGGCGTTTCATATTTATCAGGGGAAGGATAGCCATTTTGACCCACCAGGATGCCCTGATTCTGTGGGTACATGTGGCAAGATTGTATGGGACCTAATCCTTCCCTTGTTAAATAAGGGATACATCCTATGGGTTGACAACTATTACACAAGCATAGAGTTATTTAAAACTCTATTTTGCTTTGAGACCGTAGCCTGTGGCACAGTGCATAAGAGGTTTCCCCCAAACCCTGGCAAGAGGTAGACGCAGTAGAGGCTCCCTTTCAGCGCTCCGCCAGGATGAGTTGCTTGCCCTTCGCTTCACCGATAGGAAAGATGTGTACATGTTGTCTACAATGCACAACGAAACTTCAGTGTCTGTGAGAGGTGGAACAGAGCAGCTGGAGAAGCCGAAGTGCATTGTAGACTACAGCAAGTTTATGGGGGGATTCAGAAGACAGTGCACTAAAACCTCAGTATTTTAATTTAACTCTGTCTTCTGAATATAACGGTACCCCCACGTATCATTATTTCAGATTCTTTCCGATAAGTACAGTGCGAAATATATTAGATGCCCTTTTAGCTTGTAAGTGTGACAAAGTGATTTTCTGGGCCTATGTGGCTATTTAGAGAGCATGGCAGCCTGGGTAATAACATTTCCACGGTTATGGCATACCATTTTCAAAAGTAGACGACCCAGAGTACAACAAATGGCAAACCTTGAGATGTTTGGTCTAGCCATTTTAACAGAAATGATGGGCCCATGTAGCAATTTCTACTTTTATTTTTGTCTTTTTAATCACATAAATTGCATTTTCACTAGAAATGTATTTAGGGCCCCCACCCACCGCTCAGGGGTGGGGGCCAGGGGGGGACAGTAGGTCCCCCCCCTTATTGTTTTATTAGGGACCCCACCCACCGCTCAGGGGTGGGGGCCAGGGGGGGACAGTAGGTCCCCCCCCTTATTGTTTTATTAGGGCCCCCACCCACCGCTCAGGGGGGGGGGAGGACAGTAGGTTCCCCCCCCTTATTGTTTTATAAGGGCCCCCACCCACCGCTCAGGGGTGGGGGCCGGGGGGGAGGACAGTAGGTCCCCCCCCTCATTATCTTCATGGCCCCCACCCGCCGCTCAGGGTGGGGGAGGGGGGGAGGACAATAGGTCCGCCCCCCTTATTGTAATTTATGTCATTTTTTTCAACAGTGAGCAGCCACAGGCTGCTCACTGTTTAGTAGACATGCCCCTACTCGCGGTATAGCGAGTAGGGGCATTTGGGAGATTTTAATCTCCCTTGTGCTATTATGGGGGTCATATTGACCCCCATAGAGTGAGAGGGGGACCTTGTGAAGTGGTGGGGAGCACTGCTCCCTGCCGCTTCTATCTTTACATATTACAAGGAGGGAGCTGCACGCCGGTAGCTCCCTCCTTGTAATAAACTGAACGAACAAACATACACTGATACATAGTGTTTGTTTGTTCGGCTGATATTTCTATTCACTCATTCGTCTGTCTGATGAATGAATGACTAGATGAAATTCCCGTTCGCATGTCCAGGTGTTTCACTGGGCATGTGCGGGAATCTCACAGTGCTATCTAGTGTGGGCTGATGACATGTCCCACAGGGACTTCATCTAACCACACAAAGATGGCGGCGCCCTGAATATAGATCTGGGCAGAAAAAAAGGATTAAAAAATAGGTAATGTGGGGGGCTTAGGGGCATTTGGGGGTGACTAGTGGGTCAATTGGATGTAGTGGAGGCGGGAGGGGGGTTAAAAAAAAACCCGAGATTCGGCATGACAGTGCCGATTTAAGCAACAGGAAACTGCCAGTGATATATGCTCATCGAATATTTTCACAATCAACAATTTATTAAAGGGACACTATAGTCACCAGAACAACTACAGCTTATTGCATTTGTTCTGGTGAGTACAGCAAAAAGCATGAAGGTGATGATTCTAAACACTGACTTTTCAGAGAAAATGAATAGTGATCACTTCACTGGCCACTCCTCAGATGGCTGTTAGAGATCCTTCCTGGGTCATGGCTGCCTAAAATGCATCCAAAAATTCAGTGTCTCCACCCTCTGCATGCAGACACTGAACTTTCCTCAGAGATGCATTGATTCAATTCATCTCTATGAGGAGATGCTGATTGGCCAGGGCTCTGTTTGAATTGTGCTGGCTCTGCCCCTGATCTGCCTCTGTCAGTCTCAGCCAATCCTATGGGGAAGCATTGTGATTGGATCAGGCTACCACGTCTGATGCTAGCAGGCAGTGGGCAGGTCTAAAGGAAACAGGGACAAAGTATGCAGCTGCAGACTTGAATACAAGTAAGATTTTACTATATTTAAGGAGGCATGAGGTGGCAGGGGGGCTAGATGGTGGTATTAACCCTATAGGGTCAGGAATACATGTTTGTGTTCCTGACCCTATAGTACCCCTTTAATACGGTTCAGCAAGAATAACAAAAGGTTGCAAGGAGGGATAAGCACACAAATGAAAACCATATATAGATCTATTAACGCTGCATAATTCTTTTCAAATAATTTTTATTAAAGTGTTAAAATTTTGTAGAACAATTAATAATAATACAAACATTGTATTAGGGGTAGGAAAGGAAGGGGAACTTGGAAATGGGAAGGTGTATCCATCCATCATTGAAATAGGCATAACAATGTATATGGCAAAAATGTTTTACATCAATGCACTTTAACAATAAATATATCAAAGACCATAAACTTTTTAGATTTTTTTTTTTCCTCCCATTTATCCCAATTATATTTTAATATTGGGAAACCATACATATTAGCTCTATGCGATAATTCGTGTGCCTTGTTTTCTAGAATCAAATTGAAAACTTCTCTGAGAGATGGCACATTTTGGGACTTCCAATGTCTAGGTAAACTGGATGTAGCAGAGATCAGAATGTGGCCTATGACTATTTTATCTGATCTATTAACGGACTCCGGGAGTTTTTTAAATAAGGCTAGTTCCGAAGTTAAAATGGTAATGGTTCTGTCCACTTTAATAATTAGATCATGAATCATTTTCCAATATTTAGCTAATTTAGGCAAGAACCACCAGATATGGGCCATATTGCCCACACCCCCACAGTCTCTCCAACACCGGTCAGAATACATTTTGTTCATGTTGTGCAATCTAGACGGAGCCAGGTACCAGCAATATAAAATATTATAATGATTTTCAAAATGGTCGGTGCAATACGAAATACCTTTTAAAGCTTTAAAAAAAAAACGAACCATTCTTCTAGGTCGTACTGGGCACCCAACTCCGTCTCCCATGACAACATATGTTTTAATTTTAGTAAGGGCTTGGCATTATAAAACTAATAACATAAAGATATCATACCTTTACAAGTGGGACTGTATAAAAAAACTTTCTCTAATGGAGAAATCTCAAGTGATTTATAGTTTTTATCTGTTTCAGATACCTGGTATAATTCTTTCAATTTGTCAATGATTAGCATACATTCCAGTTCACATACATTTGTTAATCCATACTTAAGCTTCAGTTTTTCCAAGGAAAGAATAGCATTGCCATAAAAAAAATATCCAGATTAGTTAAAGAACAATCCTTCAACAGTTCTATTTTTTAAGGATGGTATATAATCTTTCAATAACTCAATAGGCATTGCTCTATATAAACTGGGAGAATGGTCATTTTTTAAAAACAATGTCCCAGGCCTTAAGTGTAGTCTTGGTAGATAAAAATAATTTTGTAACTCCAGGTCTTTTCTTATGATTTAACCAAGGTAATTCTGATAATCTAACCGGTAAAATTTTTAATTCTTCTATTTCCATCCATCTGGGTTTATTAACTCTGCATAATTCTCACTGTCACCTGCCATATTTTTATTCACATTGCATGACTGTAGCATTCTTTTGGCAAGTCTTTGGTGTCATGCCCCTGTCTCATAGCTCCATTTTCAGCCACTTAGGATTGATATCACTTTTGTTCTGTTCATTCAGCCCTATTGGGTCTGCATGATCCATAAACATCTCTTCAGAACTCCCATTGAAAAATTAGCTCTGTCTTTAGCACCTGGCAGTCAGCATAGAGAATGCACACAGAGTAGAGAAAAAAATATTGTAACAATGTTTGTTTCCCATCATCCTTTGCAACATGTGCCCTTGTGCTGGTACTGAACTAGATTGCAATGTTATTTGGTAAATGTTTAAAGCGAAGATTTTTTTTTAAACAAATCAAAGCATAACCTGCGGAGAGAAAAGTTAACACAATTCTATTGGTAACTTTCAGTGGTGTAATTTTCAGAGATGCAACGGTTCATGATTCTGTACAATTTGTGCTAATTATACTAGATCACTATTGTGTTTCTCACTCACAAGGCATTTCAGAACCCTAGGGTATTCAAGAAAGTAAGTCCCATGGGTGTGATGGCATGCCTTTCATCTTATTAGTGTTCTGGTACAGCCTCCTTAAATGGATTTTCAGGGCATATTATCCTAGTTTGGGTTAACATTGCACTTAAATGGTTGAGGTTACTCCCAAATTTTAGAAATGCAAAGTAGCTACAGTTTCCAGATATAGTTAGATTTTCTAGTTAATTGATTTATTTTTAATTTTTTTTCATGATTTGCTAACAAAGCTTGATAACTGTAGCAGATGTGTTTGCTTACTGTTTTTAAATGTCATATTCTTTAATCTCATTGTGTGTGCCTTGAGGAAGGTTATTCCAGGCTGCCTGGAAAGAGGAATGCATCTCTACATTATATGCAAGACACTTTGAGTTGGATGCCCAGCGGCCACTGAGCAAAAAATCACATGTTTTCTATGTAATGGCTCATCTTTTGGGGCTTTTTGATTTATGTAAACAGTGCATTTCATTTTACTGTTTATTGCTGGTTAACCTTGCTACCCACCACAACGCTAAGATAAATGTGTTATATATTACAAATTTGTTTGTGAACATTAAAAGGAGTAGTCCATGTGGGTTGGTGTCAACATGCTGTGGTTATGATGCTTAAATAATAGTCTGTCCTATTTTTATTTTTTTTTATTTTTTTTAATTTAAAATTTTGACACTTCAGTCTGGACTCCTTTTCTGTTATTGCTAGATTTGTCCCTGTTAGTCCCTATCTCCACACATGTTGCAAATTTACAGATTTTACTATTAACATGACGTAAAGTCATGATTTTATTAATGACACGGAGGCGAGTATTATGCTGCACTCTTTCTTTATTTACCTCAGCAGCAAAGAAAAATAACATTAAATCAGTATAAAAGAAACCAGTAAATAACATGAGGTATATCTTCATAGCAACAGCAACAGCCAATCAGCATCCTCTTTATAGCATAATAGGCAGTGTCCAGTATACTACTTCCTCTTTCTTGCGATCCCGAACAAGGACAACAAATCCAAATAAAAAGTGGGCTCCAATTAGAGGGTATACGAGCCTTAAACTGGATCTAGAAGTCAAGCTGGAAGAGAAAAGAGAATATGGTAATATCCAAGTATAAAACTGGATTTATGCATAAATTCGCATTACATGAAATATCAGATATATATATACACATAACATGAAATTCAGTTTAGTCAAACCTTAAGCTCTTGACAGTCATTAACAAGGATAAAACCTAGTAATCAAAAAAGACTTACTGTGAAGTCAACTTACCCAGAGAAGACCAAATCTCCAGGGATGGGAGGGAGGGATAATACTCGCCTCCGTGTCATTAATAAAATCATGACTTTACGTCATGTTAATAGTAAAATCTGTAAATTTTATTAAGACACGGAGGCTCCTATTATGCTAGTTCAAAGCTGTGAAATTATGTCTCCTGTGAAGTGTTGAATAGGTCTAAAGTAGAAATCATGGAATGTAGGCTCCGAAGACCAGCCGCTCTCATAATATCCTCCAAGCGACAACCAATCGAAGAAGCCTTAGAAGCCATTGCCCTACGAACCGAATGAGGCACTGACACATAGGTATCAATACCTGCTAGAGACATAACGTATTTGACCCACCAGGCTAGAGTAGACACCGGAAGATGCGACTTTTGGAAGAGTTCCTGTTTCAAAGGATTCTGTAACGTAGTAGAACGATGTTCACACACCCATTAGTATGCAACAGGGCAAAGGAGAGATCTATCAGGGAAAACTGGGTAAGATAGATTTTAGAGGAGGTTTTTGTCCTCCGTGAAATGTCAAAGAGGACACCTTCTGGAGTAAAGGAACGAGCAACCACCTCACGAGCTCGTACGTCAGAAAAACCTCTTGCAAGAAAAAAAAAAAAAAATTCAAGACAATAGAGACGTCCCACAAGACAGAGTATCGTGGTAAGGGTGAATGAGCAAACCATATTCCTCAGAGAAGTCAATATATGACAGGATGTCAACCGACAGGCGTCCAATCAAAACTTTGATGGCCAGCAGAAATGGACGATCGGTAAGGTCCACAGTGCGATAGGCTTTACCTTCATCATAGAAGTCAGAAAAATGGAGGACAGACATAAAAGGAGCCGATATGGGATTTAAATTTATTTTCATGCACCAACTATGCCATCTGCTCCAAGCAGATTTATAAGCCTGTCTCGTGTTGGGTGCACCCTTGATAAGTTGGGGAGTTGATTGCGAAACTCCCTTGACCGACCAAGGTTCCCTGAAATAGACTACACTATGAGATGCAAGAGACCTTGGAGAACAAGAGGATGAGGTACACCATCTGGATCCTGAAGAAGGCACTCGAGAGATGGAAGGTCGATAACCATCTCCTGAAGAAAAGAGAACTATGGTTGGGATGGCGATAGAGGAGCCACGATCAACAGGTGCCGGACTGGCGATGTAGATGGAAAGGCAAAAAATCATAATTCCTTGGAGAAAACATTCATAGCCAATGCTATCGGATCTGGTCTCCAACTGAAAAAACAGGGAAGTTGAGCATTCAAACGAGAAGTGAAAAGATCTATTTCCAATAGACCCCATAGGTTCCAGATGTCTTGGAAGACCATGGAATCCAAGTGTCAGTCGCTGGAATCTCCGAGTTGGCGTGAATACAAGTACGTCGTAGTGTTGGAGAGACCTTGAATATATTCTGCCGTGACTGAAATGCCGTTTCTCAGGCAAAATTGCCAGCAATCATGAGGCATGTAGGTCAGAATTTTGTATTTTGTGCCTCCAAGTGATTGATGTAGCGGACTGCTGACACGTTGTCCATCTTCAGAAGGATAGCGCATTGGGCTTGAGTTGGGGAGAAACTATGGACTGCAAAGGAACCGGGTGTTCCAAACAATTGATGTTGAGTGTTGATTCCAGGTTTGATTATCTGCCCTTGGTGGAAATAGTTCTGCATTGAGAACCCCAACCGTGCAAACTTGCGTCGGATTTGAGTATATGGTGTGCTTATTCCAAGCTTCCATGTGAAGAACCCACCATTGGCGTTCATTCTCCGCTTCTGAGTCCAGAGTTACCATATCTGTGTATGATGTGCTGCTCTTGAGATGAAGTTTGTAATCGTTGTAGGGCTCGATAGCCAAGAACACCTGTAGAAATGGCCTGTATAGATGCCGCTAGAAGGCCTAACATTCTCAACAGTTGTTTGAGAGAGAGTTGAGAGGTTGCTAGTGTTTGCCTATCTCCTTCTTTATATTGGCTAATTTTGCCACCGGAGGGTGTAGAGTTTGAAGGGTAGAATCTACAATAATCCAATATAACCCAGAAATTGTATTTGTTGTGTGGGAACGATAATGGATTTCTCCCAATTGGTCAGGAAGCCTAGGTTCTCTAACAGAGTCAAAGTCCATGCAAGGTATGTCCGGATTAATTGAATAGACTGAGCCAGAATGAAAATGCCATCTAAATATATTATAAGATGTGAGCTTGGTGAAGCACCATGGAGCTGAAGACAGTCCGAATGGGAGGCACCTGAACCTCTATTTACTGCCCTACCATGTAAATTGCAGGAAGTTCTCGATCTTGATGTTGTACTGGGATAGGCACTGTGAGATATGCATCCTGCAGATCCAATTTGGCCATCCAATCTGCTGGTTGGAGAAGATCCCTTAAACAATGCTCTCCTTCCATCTTGGAAGTGCTGATATGCTCATAACTATTGAGCAGTCTCAAATTTATCACTGGACGGATACCTTTGCCTTTTTTGGGAAACAAGAAAAGGTTGCTCACGTAACCCAGGGTATGCGCCAGAATCTCTACAATTGATTGTCCACAGAGACAAGGTCTGTGTCTCATTGGGAAAAAACAATTTCCCTTGATGGGGAACATTGAACAAGTAGAGAAAGGAAGTCTATGCAATACCCTTTCACAGTGTGAAGAACCTAAGCATCTGATGAAATGAGGAATCATACATGGGAAAAATGTGTGAGCCTGCCCCCCACTATCAGTAAGAAAGAATGGAAATTGTGAAGACGTCTTAGGAGCACCTCTTAGGCCACTAACAATCCAGGGTCGGCCACTTTGTGAGAAGGAGGTTGGTATAGTACATTGTTCAAAGAAATCGGCTCGGCAAGTACAAGAGCCTTGGTTCTGTCTAAAAGAACTTCTGTTTGTTTAGCAGGACAAAGGAGCCCAATTCTTTTACAAAGTTGTCCCCAAAGAGAAAACCTTTTGCCTGTGTTATCTGGCTCGTTTGGGCTCAATCTTGAGCAAGATCGATTTGTGGCGTTCTGTGACAACCGCATTGTTGGCGTTGCCAACTTAAAATCACTCTCTGGATCTAACCACTTAAGATGGCGCAATCTAATTCTAGATCATCCTCCACTGCTTCAAAGATCTTGGCTGCTGAGCCCAAGATGCCCAGGATTTTATCCTTACAGTTTTGCAATGAAAATCTAAGCCTTTAGATGGATTCCATCCTGTCTTACTCAGGAATTGAATGATTTTAGGATTGACTGATAGCGTTTAACATGAGTCATCAGGGACTGTTCGGTGTGGCCATTCAGCCCGCAATTTATTTCACTTTGCCTTCTCAAAAGGCTTGCGTACTCTGGATGCCAATATACTTGGCTACATGGTCTGAGGAGACCACTGGGTGACATAGGTCGTCAGGTTCGAATAGGGGTTCACATTGAGTGTCCAAGATCCTATCGGTGTCCCTGAGTCTGCATAATCTACCTAAATCTTGGTAGGTTTAACAGGACGTGTATCCCAAACGGGATTAGCATCCTCTTCATCAGTAATTTCAGGATCAGAAATATCCTCTAAACCCTTCATATAGGACCCAGGGAACTCCTCCTCAATATCACTGAGCTCAGATTCAGAGTTCAGTTGGGCTTTTGCCCTTTTCCAGTCTAGTCGATTTTGCCCGCCTAGTAGCTCTTTTGCGCGGTGGTAAATTAATCGCGCCATCCGTGACAGGTATGGAACTGTCCATCTCTATTGTTTTGGAGGAGTGTTTAGCCTTATATGAGGCCTTGCGGCCAGGCTGAAGCAGAGCAGGTGTGAGTACAGATACACCTCCATATAGTACTCAGGAAACTCCTCCTCAATATCCCTGAGCTCAGATTTAGAGTTCAATTGGGCTTTTGCCCTTTTTCAAAGTCTAGTCGATTTTGCCCGACTATTAGCTCTTTTGCGCGGTGGTAAATTAATCACGCCATCCGTGACAGGTTTGGTACTGTCCATCTCTATTGTTTTGGAGGAGTGTTTAGCCTTATATGAGGCCTTGTGGCCTGACACCAGGGCCTTGTCATTGCTTTTGCCATGGAAGTGTCAATTAAAGCCTGCATGTCAGCAGGATCAGTAAAGCAGAAATTCAGCCTCATCTCCAGAGATACCTGGAGAGGCTTCTACATTAATCTGCATGTTTGCTGTAGACCCAGAAGGCACAGAAAGATCCTGTCAGACTGCATCATAAATATACAAACAAACCTAAGGGTCTGAATAAAGCAAAATAATACCAAAAATAAAGGGTTGAGTAACCCTCAAGTAAATAAATAAATAACTAAACAGGATAAAGAAATGAAAGTACTCACAATAGTGAAAAAAAATAGCAATTGTAATATAAAAACAAAGGAGCTGCCCGGCTGCCGCTATAACTAAACCCCAACTTGGATTTCTGGCAGTTGGTGGCAGAGCAGCAGCCAGACAGATAAATTAAGGGAAAAAACAGCACAATAGCACTATTCAGGAGATAAAGATCCTCAAAGACGTCCCTGAGCCCCAATTGATGGTAATCTTGGGGCCAGGGAGGTCAGAGGGTAAAGAAATTATCAAAGGATATATAATAAAGCATATAACAGACGCAAATGAAGTAAATAAATCAAATTACGTTAAAATGAAGTAACTAAATATATGTATAAACATGAAAATATTATAATTAAAATGTAATAACTATAATAACTATATTAATCACAGTAATGATATGAATAAAGTAAAGTAAAAGATCCCACAGTTAAGAACCGTGGGACCCAGTGTCACTTAACTGAGGGAGCAGCAAAGAAAGAGGAAGTAGTATACTGGACACTGCCTATTATGCTATAAAGAGGATGCTGATTGGCTGTTGCTGTTGCTAGGAAGATATACCTCATGTTATTTACTGGTTTCTTTTATACTGATTTAATGTTATTTTTCTTTGCTGCTGAGGTAAATAAAGAAAGAGTGCAGCATAATAGGAGCCTCCGTGTCTTAATAAAATTACACCTGTAATTTTTGGTGGAATTCATTGGCTAAGATCCAAAGAGGGATAACCTCTCATGTCTATTTCTGAATGGAATTAAAACCTAAATAAAATAACAAATGTATGTATATGTGGTGAGGTACTCAGGATTTTGTGATTTAACACCTAAATGGCAGAGAATTGAGCAGTGGGACTGCAGGGGCATGTTCTATACACCAAAACAGCTTTAATAACGGAGGCAATTGTACAAGTTCTGATCAAGACAAAACCTGATATTTGAGCTATATGTCTGTCCAGCCCTCTATTGTTAATATGCAACATTACACAAATACAAAATACAAACAATACACTTATAAAACGACCAGAGAATCTGAATGTTGCCTTCTGCTAAGATTCATTGCTTCCCTGCATAAAAGTGGAAGAGTACATCACTTACATATTCTAAAAACAAATCATTTACACCTTTGAGATTTATTGCTTTTCATCTGTGCACTATTTTATGCACCCAAAACCCAAAAGAACTGAAACTCACAGGGTACTTCACTTCATCTTCAGAAGTGAAAATTCACACTGAATCCCAGATTTAAGTAGCTGAACTGGAAATTCTCTAAGGCAGCTATGCTTTCAGTTTGACAACTTTAGCCTTAAATTTCATATCCACTTTGGATTCTCACTTTAGTAAATAACCCCGGCCTAGAGGCCAGTAAGATCAGGGGAACTTTGGTTAAAGGGATGCTATAGTGCCAGGAAAACAAACCTGTTCTCCTGGCACTATAGGCTCTTGGAGTGCCCCCCTCTGTCGGCGCTGGAGGGGTTGAAACCACTTCAGCCAATTACCTCAATCCAGCGCCAGGCTCCCTCTGTGCTGGTGACCTCTCCTCCCCCGCCGACGTTTTCTCCCGAATGAAGCCGAATGCGCATGCACGGCCATTACTCAATGCTTTCCTATAGGGATGACAAATAAGTATGATTTACTTAGTGTAAGTCGTGGAAGCGCCTCTAGTGGCTGTCAGGGAGACAGCCACTAGAGGCTGCATTAACCCTGTAGTGTAAACAGTTTTCAGCTGCAGGGTTAAAACTAGGGGGGCCTGGCACCCAGACCACTTTGTAGAGCTGAAGTGGTCTGGGTGCCTGTAGTGGTCCTTTAAGAGAACGTTGTGTCTCTTAAACTCTCAGAGACAAAGTATGATAGATCATAGGGCGAGATGGATGAATAATCTAAACTTCCAAAGACCAGCCCTACTCGCAACATGGTAGGAAAGCAGGAGGATGACTCCTGTGATGTTTAATAAGGAGTGGGGGGGAGGGAGTTGTATAACAGGGTTTCTTGGCAGTAAAACATTTACAGTCATACATAGCAGGGTGCTATTGCTGAGGAGCTCTTACTCATTCCTACAGCTCTAAATTTGAATGGCAAATTAAAATTTTTATTTAAAAAACATTTTATTTATTTTTTTGGCAATCTTTTTTTTTATTATTTATTTTGGTTGTGCATTTGTGAAAGTTACAGGTAAGCTTTCTGTAAGTCACATCATGAACAAGCATCAATGCAACATGTTTAACACTTGAAGTAACATATGAGGAACATGCACATTTTATATTTTCTGTTTAAACAAGCTTTAACCGTTTAAGAGTATCTGAAGAAGGTTGCAATTTAGGGGAGTTTGTTAGATAAGGAGAGACTCCTAGGCATGGCAATCCTTTTTTATTTAAGTAAATGCACGATATCCAGACAAAGCTTTTTAAAGAAAATTTCTTTATTTCAAATTTTATGACTAGAAAAAAGAACAAAACAGTGCTAGACAAAAATCTTGCACTCAACAGAGAAATTTAGGGAAAATTATGAATTCCAGCCTGCCATTGAACATGTAGGGCAAAATGTATCAGAACTGTGCAAAGAGAAGGCAGTGTTTACATTCCTGCCTAGTAACACCTCTAGTGGCAGTCACTCAAACGGTCACTAGACGTGCTTCCTATTTCTGTGCTGCACTTGTGTTCAGCATCTCCACGTTGTGCATGGTGATGCTTATTGACAAAAGATGGCAATTTGTTGTGCATGCGCAATAGCTTCCCAATGGGAACGTTTTTTGTTGGCTTAGATAGCCAAGATTGATCTCCACCATCGAAGCGACGGCCAAGCTATTGCAGTGATGGAGAAAAGGTACGTTTTAAAACACCTTTTTTAACTCCATTCTGAGCGAGGTTTGTCACCTAAAAATGTACTCCATCACTGTAGAGTTAGGAATACATGTTTGTATTCCTAACACTGTAGTGTTCCTTTAAAGCCAACTAGGAGCCAAATATGAGCCAATGTTTTGCTTATACAATCCATTTAGTAAACTGGTAGAAAGGGGTGCTTAAAGAAAATTGACTGTCCATCTGAAACTTCAAGTGGAAGGAAGCAAGCAGTGTTATATAAGTTGGTGGTTTAGAAGAAGCGTATAGCTGGTCATCTAATTGATAAAATCAAGCTTCCCTGGATGGGGCAAGGGAGGGTAAAAGGGGAAGGTGGGAGTGCAGGAAGGAGATAATGAATGTACCAGGACGGAATAAAACTATGTACAGAATAGAAAAAAGAGAACAAGGATAAAATTAATCGGAGAGGTGGAGAAGAGGTGTTTCAGGGCCCTACCGCAAAAAAGTAGAGGGTTCGGTCAGTACAGAGATGCTAGACAATGAGAATTGGTAATAGTAACTAGTCCCACATAAAGATTCTTCGAGCGTCATTTTATTGATGCAGTCCCTCTCTAGGAACAGAGACCTGGATATTGACATCCTAGGAGTGTGGTGGTCTGGGATCCTTGCTCAGTGATGCAGGAACTGTGGTGGACAGCCTGGCACCCCGACTGGGTGCCTCCGCCAATCGCTGCTTCCTAGTAACCTGAAGTACTATAAGCACCTCACCTCACCTCACCTCACCTCAACATAAGCACCTTAGCTGCTGCAGCTTGGCTGAGGTCTCGCTGTCCTCCACCGACCTTGGACCCAAGTCCAGGATCCAGCTTCCAGTGGGTGGACCTCTCCTACTCCAGAGAGTCTAGCAGGTATAAATGTGTAGCTCTTACAAGAGCTGGTGATAATAGGCTCTGTGATGAGGGTTAAGTGAACTCATTTTAATGGGACCACAACTGGTAGTCAAAGTTTGACCGACTGCACTTAAGCACGGTCCAGTGCCCAAAACAGTTCCATAGAATCGCGACTAAGTGCCGCTGGGGGACAGACCGGAACAGTAAAGTAATTCCAGGGTATTCGTGGCTAAGTCTCTCTGAAGTCTATTTGCGGGTTTGGTCCATGCGAACGGCTGCCAGGGAGCTAGCGTTCGGTTCTATGTGCACGAATGGAAAGTGCTGAATGAGGGGAATCGGGGGAATAAAATATGGGTCTTTACAGTCGCCGACCTGGCCCATAGTCTTTTGGCAGGAGGCTGGCAAGCAGGCCCCTCCAAAAGCCCCTGGTGAGGTTCTGTTTGCCACAGAAACTGTATAATAAATGCTAACAGAAAGTCCTCCTGCTCCAAAACTGTCCATTTATGTCTCTGGCCACCACTAGTCACTAATAATGACCAAGGTGTTCCCCATTTCTATTGAATTGCAGTGTATTGTAGCTGTTTAGTGATGAGAGCTGCATGCCACTGCACGGTTGAGCTAACAAAAATCATGAAAAAAGTGTTGCTAAAAAAATCAAAAGTAGTATGTCCTTGCACTGCATTTACAAAAAACATTTTTGCATCTTTTTGCACTTCTTGAAGCACAAAATAACATTATCTGGCATTGACTGTGAGCACTTGGAGGCCTGGGAAGGCAATATAGCTCATGCAAACAATTGGCAGCAGGAGCATAGAATATAAGTGTAGGATAAACCGGGGAAGCTCTCCCAAGTCAGAAGAATCAAGTATACCTTTAACTTTCACATTTCTTTGTCGTACTCTACCTTTTTTTTTTTTTTTTTTTTTGTTACCAACTCACATACTTGAGCCATACTCGAGTTTTACTTTATGTGGACCCCCTGAATCTCCTCTTCAGTATCTTTAATCATATTTGAGAACTAGCAGCGTCGGCGGGGAAGGAGTGTGGGCGGAGCTGAGCCAGTGCCGAGGGATATCGGCGCTGGATCCAGGTAAGTGACAGAAGGTTTTTTTAACCTCTTCTGCACTGGGTAGGGGCAGGCAGGGGCTTGACAGAGGGGAAGCTATAGTGCCAGGAAAACGAGTTTTTCTTGGCACTGTATTTTCCCTTTAATAGTATGAAGTTTCTGCTGCTACCTGAAACATCCATGAAATTGTTTAATAACTGTGATAGTGAATAGGATTTACTAGATAAATCCATTAGTTGCCTTCTTCGTCAATGATTCTCAAAGTTTAAAAATCCATACCTGATGTTGCTCTCGAGTATTCAACCGCCATGGATTATTATAGCTTCCCCTCCAAAGAAGTGTGTGTCTATATATACCTGATACATGAAGGCTTGACAAATCCTGCCAGGTTGCCATGGCGAATAGAAATTTTGTCCTGGCGCCTGGGATTTTTACCAGGGGCCCTTTAGCGAAGCAGCATGAGCAGTAATCCTCCTGCAACTCCTCTCTGCTCACTCGCGCTGTTTAGTCTCACCCTCCTCCCCCACGCTGTGCCGGTTTCGTGGAGGCTGATCCCACCTCATAGGCTGGTCCTGCCTCCTTGGGTGAGATCATTCATATTTGTGATTTGCGCCAAGTCAATTATTTACCATAGGAAAACTTTAAGAGGATATTGCGTATGTGCAGAAAAGGGCTGAGCTGCGCCAATCAGCATCTCTGTGGGGAACATGCAGCGTGTAGAGACGCTGAACTTGAGCGTGAGTGCCTGCCACAAGAGGTGTCCCCAGGCAGCAATGTAAAGTTTTTTTTTTTTTTTTTTTTGAAAATATTGCTTACATTAAAAAGTCTGCATGGACATGCTACAGACACCAGAGCAACTATATTAAGCTGCAGTGGTTCTGGTGAAGTGAAACTTTGTTAGTTAAAAAAATAGACTGGCTCCTATCATTTATTTATTTATTTATTTGCTGGCACCTAGATTACAAACCGATTTGTCACGCCCTGTGATACATGAATTTTTCATATGTTAAAATATCCTGTCTGTATATAGTCCCAGACTATTCTCATACATTTAGAAGCTATATTTTCCTGTACGTAAACTATTTCAGAACAATTTTGCTTTGACTAGTAAAGCCGATAACCTGTGATGTCCATTTAGCTCCATTACAAGCAGTTAATCCATATCAAAGTACTGTTCTTTTATTTAATTATGACCTTTTATGTATTTTTCCCATTTCCCCCCCATCCCTTTTTTAAAAAATCGTAATTGCAGCAATCCCCTTCCCTATCCAATATTTGTGTATAGGATCAAATCGTCCAGACTTGGTTTAATTTGCAAATAGTACTGGGCATGTGACTTTAAGATTTTTTTTTTTTTTTTTTTTAAGTATAGCTCCCATGCTGTTCCCAGCACTCCTTCCTTGGCACTTTACCCCTTGCCATCATCAGATGATTATGTTAAAAAAAATGTATTTTCCCATTATGTCAGACTTTTGTTCACCCTCAATTTATGGCAGAATGGGGCAGTTTCACAGAGACCTTTTTGTAGTGTCTGCGACCTCACATACATATTTATATTTTCACTGCTAACCTCGTAGTCATCCAAAATATGTACTATGTTTTTCTAACATTTATTATTTAAGTGCAGAGAAGCAGAACACTTTCACTTTACCTTTTTGGGATTAGCAAATAGAAATGTGCCTCACACCCATTTTTTACCTGGGCGAATGTCTGGACTTTGTATTCCTTCTTTAAGCTTTTTTTGTTTGTTTTTTAATTTTTTTTATTCCCTCCTCCTCCTCCCTACCTACATCTTGAACTTTCTTCCTCTTTCTAACTTTGATTTATGTAGTGTCCTTAATTCCTACCACTCTTGTGTTTTAGGTCAGCTTCAGTGCATTACTTTCCCCAGACAAGAGGAGGAATACTTGAAGTTGATTGTTCGCTGTCGACCATGCATCTTTGTCCTGGGGCAGAATTGCAGTGCTCGTGGTAAAGTAGTCAATGCCCTCTTGGGCGATCAGTTGCTGCCCATCGGTGGATGCTGTGGTCCAGAATCTTGTAAGAGAAGGAGGATTCGTTTTCGGTATGGAAAGCAGACCTTGGTGAGCTTGGCTCTGCCAGAGCAGTATGAGCTCGTCCACCATCTGGTGTCACACCAGGGTAAATGGGACACTATTCCAGAGGAGGACCTTGAAGTTCCAGAGGATGAGGAAGACCCTGCACATCGTCTTGCTGAGCTGGAAGTTACAATGCCCCATCAACTCTTGCAGGTACTTGAACTTCTTGAACAAACACCCAGAGTTTCTCTCCAGTGCATGAAGTATCAAACCTATTTGGTGTGGTCAAGTATGTTCAATTTCACATAATACTGTCTGTCATACTTACCCACCTGTTCCACTGATAGAAGTGTCTGTTTACACTGTATAGCTCTTGATGGATGCAGTATGCCATGCTGTCCAATTTTTGTTCCATTTTTTTTTTTTTTCTTCATTGCATATAGTCATGGCAGGGAATATATCACATTGACTGCAAATCCTCCACTCGGTCAAAATATTTACTAGATGTTACAATACTTTTGTGCTACACATGAATGTATACAGTAGTGATATGGCCCATAATAGTGCTAGCTGCTACACAACCTTCTGACTGTACTTGTGACCACGATTTCCTGCTTTTTCTTTTTGCTTGATTGTATGGCAAATATTATTTTACCTGGTACTGCCCCATCCCCCCTTTTCCAATTTATTTTCAAAGTCAAACTTCCCATGGTCTGGGTCAGTGTTCTCACAGGCCCTATGCTATCCTTTCCCTCTGTGCTGCATCCCTCCGAGGCTGTTCCGTCACACTGTATAGAGCTAGTCTGCTCTGTCACTCTGGAGACGCCCATCTTTCATCTTTATGGCTGCTGACAAGAGGCCTTTGTTCCCACAGGACTAAATTTAGTCCCCTATGATCATGGGCGTGGAATATTACTTCACATGAGTAAAATACAGATTCTCCGTACTATTTATGCTTTTATAAACAGAAGACGCAGGAGGAGGAATTGAGGCAACTGGAGTTGTTGTCCCCAGAAATGAGCTTGTATCAGTTTGCACTTTATTTTCCCATATCCACCTTCCAACAACTTAGAAATCAGCACTTCAATCTGGGTACCACAAGTTTAGACTTAGAGGAATTGTCACGTGGCAGTTCCTACTTCATTCACCCTAGTAAACACTATAAAAACTTACCTCCTCTGCTCTTTCATATTAATGAATAAATTAACAATGCTGTATTTACCTCTCTCCCTGGGCTTGTCAAAGATGCTTGGAATCTTGGAGCCAGATTATTATTTTTTTTTTTTTTTTAACTGACCAAAGCAAAATTTTCAACAACAAAAATCTTAAAGGGACACTGTAGTCACCAGTACCCCTGTAGCTTAATGTAGTTGTTCTGTTAATAGCTGGTCCCTGCAGGCTTTTCAATATAAACACTGCCTTTTGAGAGAAAAGGCAATGTTTACATTGCTGGCTAGTAACACCTTTAGTGATAGTCACTTACCCACTAGAGATGCTTCCTAGTCCTGTACTGCACAGTGTGCAGGACCTACGTTCTTAGTCTTCCTCTTTGCATGGAGCCGCCGAATGTTCCCCATAGAGAGGCTGATTAGCGCATTTGCAATAGCCTCTCAATGTTTTCCTATGGGAAAGCATTAGCTTGGGTGAGATCATCAAGATTTATTATTTCAGCCATGAGGCCAGACTGGCACAGCTTGGGGGGGGGGGGAAAGGAGAGTGAATAAAACACTTTTCTCATGCGAATGGAGCTTGTCAGATTACCTAAACAGACATGCGTCCACACACATGCACACGTTTTCTTATATACTCACAAATAATTTTTTTTGAATACTACTTTTGGGAGAGCTGGAGTGGGTCATTTCCCTGTGGTCCATTGTGACCTGTGGTCCTACTGTGATCCTGTAATCTTCAAGCTCTTCTTGCTCTGCTCCCTTGCGGTCTAGTGACGGCAGGACGAGCGAGGGAGCAGAGCAGTAATATTATTTCTCTCTCGGCTGATTGGCTGAATGGCGGACTGCCTGCTTACTCCTTCGGCTGGAGGGGTGGGGGACCTCGGCTGAACAGACTGACAGTCAGGCTCCTGGACAAAATTCTTAGTAGCCTTGACGACCTGGAACCTGCTATTTGTTGAGCCCTGCTCTAGCCCATATAAGTGGTTGCCTCCATCTTCCTGTCAGACTTTATCGTAAGTGTTGGGGTTTTCTATTGAACATAATGTGTCGAAGAGCTGAAAGGGAAACTCTTTTTCATCCTTCAATGCATTGTGTGCTCTTGCAGCACTGACCTTTGTGATGTCACTTACTAAATCTTTTCAAGTGTATATAGCCTCACAAAAGGTAAAAGGGACACTGTAGGTATCTTATTGAAGTGGTAAGGGTGCAGTGTTCCTGTCCCCTTAACCTCGCAATGTTATCCATTGCTATTTCAGAGAAACTGCAATGTTCATCTTGCAGAATTAAGACTGCCTATAGTGGCTGCATACCAGACAGCCACTAGAGGTGCTTCCTGCAGTTTCACAGAGTTTAATGTTGGATGTCCTCACATTTGAGTCTATGCTTTCCTATGGGGAAGGCCTAATGCGCATTAAAGGATCACTATAGGGTCAGGCACACAAACATGTATTCCGGACCCTAGTGTTTTAAAACCACCATCTAGCTCCCCTGGGCCTCTCATGCCTCCATAAATATAGCAAAATCTTACTGTATTCAAGCCAGAAGCTGTAGCTCTGCATGCGGTTTGCCGTAAAAAAAACAAGCAGTCTGCTGACATCATCAGAAGTGGTGGCCTGATCCAGTCACAATGCTTCCCCATAGGATTGGCTGAGACAGACAAGGAGGCAGATCAGGGGCAGAGCCAGCACAATTCAATCACAGCCCTGGCCAATCAGCATCTCCTCATAGAGATGACTTGAATCAATGAATATCTGAGGAAAGTTCAGTGTCTGCATGCAGAGGGAGGAGGTACTGAATGTTTGGATGCATTTTAGGCAGCCATGACCCAGGAAGGATCTATAACCGCCATCTGAGGAGTGGCCAGTGAAGTTATCACTAGGCTGTAATGTAAACACTGCATTTTCTCTGAAAAGACAGTGTTTACAGCAAAAAGCCTGAAGGTAATGATTCTTCTCACCAGAACAAATTGAATAAGCTGTAGTTGTTCTGGTGACTATAGTGTCCCTTTAAATTCTCTCGGCTGACACTGGAGGAGCCAGACCCTGTGCCAAAGGACCTCGGCACTGGAATTAGATGTGGTTTTTAAAGGCTTTATTTTTAATGGACAGGAGGGGCTGCGAAGGAAGTTAGTTTTAGGAATTCAGTTTTGTATTACTAATACGATAGTGTTCCTTTAACATAAGTTAGAAGTCCTTTTCTATGTTTTTCTTTAATACTGTAATTTCCAGAGAAGCGTCCGCTCTCCTTTAAATCTAATGTATTATAGTCTACTTTTATTGTGACAAAAGTGTGCTCAAGCATACCTCGGCATTTATTTTATTTAATTCTTCCCCTATACCCCCCTCCCCCCTTCCTTTTACAGTCTGTGGTTACTGTGCTTTGTATAGAGCTGTCATTCAGCCTTTTTTATCTGTCTGTGAGTTGCTGCTGCAGATCTGCCTTTGCTTCCTCCTACTATAACGGTCCTGAGTCTGACTCATCTCTCCCAGTGCTCATTCGCATGCGAACCCCACCCACCCTCCCCCTGCACAGAATACATTGGCTTCCTTTTGGGAAGTTTTAAAGTGGCGCAATAAACTGATTTAGAGTGTGTGTGTGTGTGTGTGTATGTATGTAAACAAAAATATCACTGTATCCTTTTTGATAAAAAAAAAAAATTGTACATATCTGTGTGTATGTATGTTTTAATATTCTGAATGTTTTATTCTGTAAGCACATTTTAAGTTCATGCTTTGTTACATATGATGTATCACTGTTCTGTTTTTTTGCTTTGTTTTTCTTGTTTAGATACCTGCAGCACTCAGCATTTTATAAATAAGGTATTGCTGAATGTAAGCAGAGCATGGGTTAGGAAGTATTAACAAATGTATGTTCCCGTTTAATATAAAATATTCATAACTATCAAATTAAAATAGTTGCTATTATAAAACACCCTTTAATATTTTAAGTTTTTTCTGTTCAAGTGCTGTTTGAATAAATGGCACGTATTTTTATGTATATTTACTGCATTAGTCTTTGTATATTGGAGACTAGCCATCTTTATTACACACACGAAGGCTTCTCTGGTGTTTACAAGTGTCTTAAGTAGTGCATTGATTAATTCTTATAGTGGTTGTGGACATTTTTAATATGTAAACACTTGATGTTAATTTGAAGAGTATTCCTTTATGGCCAAGCTTCTACACATGTATTCCCTCTGAGGGTTTAATACTGCAGTAGTAACATTGCAGTCACGGGAAATAGAAAGTACACAGTCTTTGAATTCTATGGTTTTACAGATCAGGACATATCAATCATCTGTTCTCTAGCAGATCTTAAAATTAGGTAAGTACGACCCCAGATGAACAACAACACATGACATTACATGTCCTGATTTATTTTGCCAAAATGGAGAAGCCACTTGTGGAAAAAACAAGTACACCCAGTGGCAGAACTGCAGGGGATGCAGCTGTGACCGGGTTCGTCACTCCAAGGGGCCCGGCCGCCCTGTGGACCCCTGCGACTGGGTCCCTCCGGCCATGTGTTCCTGGCCCGCGCAGTATTACCACTGGGGCCACATGTTAAGGGGTCCATTGGGTGGCCCATGCTGTTCATTTCCAGTGGGCCAGGTGCAGTGCTTTAACAGCACGACTGAGCCCCCTTTGATGACATCAGAGCGCAGGGAGGAAGTGACTGCCCCGGTTATTTCCTTCCTTTAATCACAGAACGCGCGTGGGAGGAGTACAGGAGGGAGTCAGAGTGGGCACTCTGACTCCCATCAGCCTGAGCCACTCGACCCTTGGGAAAATCACCCTCATGCACCTAAAAGGTAGGAAACAGGAGGGTGACATTTTAGCCTGTGTGTGTCTACATCTATGTGGGGGGGGGAGGGGGGCGGACAAAACCGTTGCCAATCTTTCCAGGAGTGGACGTCCCAGCAAATTCACCCCATGGTCAAAATGTGCAATGCTCAGAACTTGCAACAAAAAAAGTTGCATCACAGACTCTACAAGCCTCAGGTAAGGTGTTAAATGTTAAAGTTCATGAACATACAAACAAGACTGAACAAGTGTAGTTGGTTTGGAAGGGTTGTCAGGAGAACCCTCTAAACCTCTCTAAAAAGAACATTGTAGCACGACTTGGCTTTGCAAATTTGCATCTGAACAAACCACAATACTTCTAGAACAATGTCATTTGAACAGATTAAACCAAAGTGATGTTTGGCCATAATGCACAGCGCCTTGTTTGCATAAAATCAAACACTGCATAGCAACAGAAGCAGCTCATTCCACCTGTCGAGCACGTTGGTGCAGGGGAGATATGTGCCTGTTTTGCAGTCACAGGACCTGGGAACCTTGCAGTTGATTTGACCGGGAACTCCTCTGTATACTGTACCCAAGTATTCTAGAGTAAAATGTGAGGCCATCTGTCCAACAGCTAAAGATTGGCCGAAATTGGCTGCTGCAACAGCAGAAGAATGAATCTAAGCACACCAGCCAATCTACAAGAGAATGGCTGAAAAAGAAAATAATCAAGGTGTTACAATGGACCTGTCAAAGTCCAGATCTCAATCCAATTGAAATGCTGTAGTGGAACCTTAAGAGAGCTGTGCGTAAACAAATGTCTGCAGACCACAATGAACTGAAGCAATGTTGTAACGAAGTGGGCCAAAATTTCTCCAAAGTCATACAGAAAACGATGACTTCAAGTTATTGATGCTAAAGATTGTTCTACAAGCTATTGAATCATTAGGTGTACTTATTTTTTCCACACATGGCTTCTCCATTGAGGCTTTATTTTTGTTAAATCATGACTTGGTGTAAAATGTTATGTATTGTTCATCAAATTTATATAATTTTAGTACCTGCTAAGGAACAGATGATTATGTCACACATTCTTTTCTCATGACTGTAAATAAATGTTACAAAAAGAAAACTTAAATTGTTAGTGTGTGTGGGTATTTGAAAGCATGGACAATTGTTTGAAAGTTTTATACATACATGTATATTTGTGTTTATGTCTCAATTGACTGTACATGTTACTGATCATTTGAACCCGTCTAAGGTTCTCTTTGACGAATACTTATTTTGTGTCAACTCTGAATGCATGTTCTGACATAAGCTCCTTTGCCAAGTACACCCCTTGCAGACATGTAATTTCCACGTCTTCTTAATACCTTGCTAGTGCCAACTTTTTTTTTTTTTTTTTTTTATATACACAAACGCATCAAAAACCAACTTGGAAAAAATGATGCAGGCATTGATGGTCTTGGGCTTGTATTTGTGCAGCGCTGCCCCAGGAAGCACATCTATTAGTCATCTAAGGAGTGGCAATTGCAGGTATCCATGGGCTCAGGGGCGTAAGTAGAAACCACAGGGCCCCGGAGCGAAAATTGGCCAGCCACACCCCCCCTCGCCACCCTCTTCCTATAGGTCTATCGTTCCCCTCCCATACGTTACCCCCTCAAGCCACACATGCAAACAACAGATACGGACACTCACATACCTTTCCCACTCTGACTCCCTCTCCTTCCTCCCGCATGGCTCCCATTGGTTGCTGGGAGGAAGTGACTGGGGCAGTCACTTTCTCCCAGCCTCTGCCATCATCAGAGGGTGGTGGTGCTGTTAAAGAGTTGACTGGGCCCCCTGGAATTACATAGCATCAGATGGCCCTAACAGCATGTTGAGACACCTGACACGTGCATAATTTGACTCCTTCCTATACAGTACAGAGATACTTCTAAAATACATAGAGCGGAGTATAATACAGAGATGCTCATTCAATAAAACAAGCTGGGCACAACCTGAAATCTATAAAATACACAGAGCGTAGTACAGTACAGAGATAACTATACCACAAACAGAGCTGAGAAAAATAGAGATATAATACACAGAGCTTAGCACGATACAAATGTACCTATACAATACACAGAGCTGGGTTGATTATGGATATGCCCATACAAAAGACAGAGCTGGGCACAGTAAGGAGATAACATAACTGTCTTACACAACCAGGGTCACTGTGATGGCTTACACAGAGTTGCAATACAGAGATCAACATAGTACATGTCTCTGTAAAATGCTGGATCTCTCTCCTCTCTCTCCCCTCCCCTCCCACACAGGGTTAAAGCAGCAGGATACGGCTATATTACTTATTACCCTGCAGCTGGCAATCTAATTAATCTGCATTTGTAATATGAAGCTAACAAGTAGCTGACATGGTTAACAGAATCAACAATCATTACAGATTAAAACAGATTGAAATCAGTAACAGCCCCTGCCCTGCTTTTTGAAGCCTCATAATGTTTCAATTAGCCACAGGATAAGTGTCTCTGGTCTCAGCTGTAGTGTGTATGTGCAGTAGGGGTAAATATCCCTATCAGTGACAGGCAGCACAGTGCTCTGTGTCATAAACCCCCCCCCTTCCCTTGTCACCCCTAGGCTATATATACATATATATTTTATTTACTCAAATTTATTTACTCAAATAATATATAAATTATTTGAGTAAATAAATTTGTTTATCCAGTCTACAGTTACTAGGGCTATTGGGGGAGAGAAAAAGACATTATAAACTTTACATTTGGCAGGGGCCAGGAGCTGCGGCTGCTGCTGTGCTTTATTTCCACGATGGCATCTTGCTTCTCTCTCGTGTGTACAGTAACACCACCCTTTGGCGTTATCAGCCAGTGAGAGGCCAATAGCATGCCTTCACTCATGGGCAGCTGGCTCTGCTGCTTGAATGGCAACTCAATGACAATTCCTGAAATTTCTTCTAAAAGGACACTAGGCATGTGCAAAACCTGCTGAAATAGCAAATTTTAAACCTGCTCCAATTTTTTTTGTCTCATGCAAGCCTCTTCTCCAAATGGCGAACAATGAGGGCCATGCACAATTGAAACCTGTTACAGACTATTTTCTTTTTTTTCATATTTTTTTTTTTTTTTGATTTACCATCTTCCCCTCCAGAAAAAAAATCTTCATGTTAGTGCATTAAAAAGCAAGCAGCCCAGACTTTTCCAGCACAAGCTCCCACGTCTAGAGTCTAAAATCGGGGTGCCTAACTGGTCAACCCACACATACGGACAGCTGCTACCACTTCAAAAAACCGGGAGAGGAAGCTGCACCGGATGATGCCCTTCACGGGGGTCAAAGACACAAGAAAAGCCCGTTTGAGGCTTGTGGCCTACACGCGACCGAGTCACATGAAACTGCCTATGCAACCTACTTATCAAGCGAAGCAATTATTGTTTTAGCCTTAACGAGACAGTTGTACAGACCAACTTAACGTTCTAAGCCCTGACATGAGCCGAATATATATCTAGCCTGCCCGAAGTCATATAAGGTTTGCGCAACTAACCCACTTATATCTTAAAAATGTGCCTGTTAAACAATTATGATGTTGAGCTCAAGGACTGCCGTTGGGGCACCACGAGCCTGTATGTTTCACCTTGCATGCACAAGAAAAATATAAAAAAAATAAAAACAGGTGGCCCTTATAGTTAAGCCTCCTCTTCCCATAAGCAATGCATTGTAAAGCGCTGCAGAATTTGTTGGCACTATATAAATAATAACATAATAATTATGTGTATAGCAAAGCTGTATGGGAGACAATGCTCAATAACCTACAAGGGGATTGTGGCATAAGTGGTGTATCACCAAAGCGCCCTTCCAATCATCTGTTCAAGAAAGTGATAGGAAACATATCTTGGCTTCAGATAATACACAGCCAGGTTCACCATATAGTGACGGTGTTTTAATATTTGCTGAGCCACAGAGCAGCATGCACAGTCTGCTGCTTGGCTCATCCTTCTGTGAAGAAAAAAAGCGCCTCTGCTTTCAGATAAAAGTGCACATTTAGACCGGTATATATTCATTCTATCAGTGCTCGACAAATCTCATGTGCCTGATCGCCATGGCGACTAGAAATTTTGTCCTGGTGTCTGGGTGTTTGTGAGCCTGCTTAGACCCCCGAGGTGACCATCTCAGAGCTTAGGTGGCTGGCTGAAGGAGAGCACAGGTGGCGAGGGAGCTTTTATCTTCTTTGCTCTGCTGCCTTGCGCGCCCTGCAGTGATGCCGGGTGCTGGAATATGATGTCATATCACCAAACAGCGTGCTAGAGAGCAGAGCAAGAAGAGCTTGAAGATGATCAAAGGAGCTCCCCGCGAGCTCTCCCAATGGTAGGGAGGCTGAGTGGACTTAATTTAAAATCGCACATAACAATAATTTTGAGTTTGTGAGAAAATGTGTGTGGTGTTGCAGAAAGAGTGTGTCTATCTGTCAGTGGGTGTGTCTGTTGGTGTGTGTCAAATCAGTGGGGTTTTTTTGTGCATTAGTGTCTGTCAGTGAGTTTGTCTGTTTAGGTGACTGGCCCACTCCAATCACATGGGAAATGTGTTTTTACTCACCTTTTTCCCAAACTCTAACAGTTTCACACTGCATCCATGGCTGAGATAATCTATCTTGAGGATCACCGCCAATCGCATTAAGAGGCCACACTGCACATTCAGCATTTCCTCATAGTGATACATTAAAACAATGCATTTCTGTGGGGAATATTCAGGGTTTCCATGCCAAGCATGGAGATGCTGAACATAGGTGCTGTACCTTTTGAGGTTAAACCATTTGTGAACATTTTACTCCCTGAACTGTTCTCTCCAGCAATATTGAGTCCTGCCCCAATCCTTCCATTTCTGACATCCGGGACTCCGCAGATTGGCTGAGGGCATCAGCTGTATACGCAAGTTTCACAAACGGTTTAACCACTTAAATAAAACCTGGCACCAGGGACCTCTTGTCACTATAACAACTTAATTGTTTAGTATACCCTACATTTAGCAAATATGTGTTCTGAGAAATCTAAAGAAGAAAAATAAAATAAGTGTAGAAATCCGAAATGCTGTATCTATCATTCTACTGAGCCCATTTATTTTGACCCTAGAACAATCCTCATAAATGTTGCTTTTTGGCATTAAATATTAAAGAACCACGAATGTCACCAAGATCACTTCATATATGCACAATAACTGCTTTGTCTAAATTAAGTGGCTGGAGTCTCCTAGTACTGTCCTAATGCTAAACAAGAGTATCCAGCAGTCTATGCCCTGTGTGCTGCTTGGGATAACAAAGGTGCATGTAGTTTAATGCTGAATGTGGTGACCATACCAGGCAATTCCAATCACTATAACAAAATAAATGAGATGCCTTCCGTGTCTCTTTTGATCTGTGTTTTATTTGACCATTGCTTTTAGTCTAATTTTTTCTTCTTCTCATTTTTACACAGGATGTAGACATTGTGGTTGCTCCCTGCCGCTGCTCCCAGGCTGTGACTACAACTTTGGATGATTATATTGCCCTTGTACAAGCCATTGTTGTTTATGCAGTAAATGAAGAGCTTCTAACTACACAGGAAGAGGAAGAGCTTTCTGAAATAAAGGTGAAATATAAGCTTCCAGTTTTCTTTATCCGAACAACTCCCTCCAAGGATAAGATAATTGGAGGTACAGACACAGGGCGCTCTGCTCTACATGAGCAACTGACTGAACTTGGGTATCTGAAAAAGGGGGTATGCAGCTGTGGGGCTGCTGGGTCAGGTAGCCCTGGCCCCAGCATTCTAGTGGAACAGTTTGAAAAGTTTCGCCAGTTGAGCACATTCTCACGGCAGGTTCTCCAGATGCATCTGGTGGATGCAGCGATGGTGCTTAATATGGTGCACAGCCGCTGCTTGGACTTGTTTATCAATAAGGCATTTGACATGAGGAGAGACCTACAAATAACCCCAAAGCGATTGGAGTATACACGTCAGAAAGAGAGTGAACTATATGAGTCCCTGATGCGAATATCTGATCGTAAACAAGAGGAGCTGAAAGACATGATTGTGGAAACTCTAAACAGCATGAGGGAACAACTCCTTGATGATGCCGCAAACATGGAGTTCAGGGGTGAGTGTATGGCCATAGGCATTTTGATATTGGCAAGGGCTTGAGGTTTCTATTTTTTTTGTTTGGTTATTTTTTTTTTCTTTTTGTCTTATTAAATACTTATCCTTTGTTTTGTAATTTTGCCACTAGATATCACCATCCCACAGAATGGAGAACCTATTGGTGCACAGGAGGTAAAGTGCTGCATTTTTCAGATCAAAGAATTGATTATCTCACGGCTCAACCAAGCCGTGGTCAATAAGCTGATTAGTTCAGTGGACTATTTGCGGGAAAGCTTTGTGGGAACACTTGAAAGGTGTCTTCGTAGTCTGGAGAAATCTCAGCAGGAGTCAGCCTCCGTAACCAGCAACCATCTGAAGCAGGTAAGAAGACACTTTCACTATAGCTTTTATGGCATAGGATATGACTTAAGCCATTGGCTAATTGCCGACACACAGATTTATCTTATCGAGAAATTTGACAGTTTGTCCATCTTGCAGCTTTACATATTGTTTTCTGCTGTAGTTTAGTTTTTTTTTTTTTTACTATTTATAGACCAAATGCTACCTTATATGTTGTAGTATGAACACTACTGTTTATATTCTGCTCTCTGAAGTATCCTTTTGGGGTTTGTTGTACATTTTACATTTTTGTAAGACTTTACCAAATTTCAGTTATAGTGTGTCTGGCTTTTGAGTGATGGATTGGCATCTAAACAAATATCTGTCCTCTCTTCAGATATTAAATGCTGCATATCATGTGGAAGTCACTTTCAATTCAGGTTCCACAGTTACCAGAATGGTTTGGGAACAGATTGTGCAGGTAAGGTTGAGATACAAACCTGCTAATGCTAACTTAGCTGCCTAAATGCCCATTTTTGCTAATAGGACACCTGGTGCTTGTAGACTGAAGGGTGGGGGGAAGGGGTGGTAGCAGTGATGGTGGTTATATGATATAAGTGGTTTAATTGATTATAAAGTCTTATGTACTGCTTGTAAAGAGTCCCCAAAAAATTGTATGTTACAATTTTATATTTTTTCTACAGTAACTACATGTTTGTTAACCTTAAACCCAGTTCTCCCACAACCGCTGCAAATCACATTTTCCTTATCTCATAAATTTAGATTATCCAGCGCATCACCTGGGTGAGCCCACCTGCGATAACGCCAGAGTGGAAGCGCAGGGTGGCCCAAGATGCCATAGAGAGCCTAAGTGCTTCCAAGCTTGCCAAAAGCATCTGCAGTCAATTTTGTAAGCGACTCAAGAGTTCCCACGAGGCGTTTGCAGGTTCACTCAAGCAGGTACGATTTGCTGATTCTAAAATGTTTAACATGCAAAGGATGAATGTTGTAGGGTTTAATGCAGACAATAAAATATTGCCTAGCATTATTGTCTAGCACTAAAGTCTAACAGCTTGCTGTGTAGAGTGGTACAGACTTGTGGGTGACTCAAATTAATTTTTAATTAGTAGCAAAAATGTCAAGAAGTGCAGCAAAAGACACTGCCGAACACATCCAATCCCATACACATTGTTTTACAGGTATTTTAAAGTACGTTTGTGAAATTTTTACTAGGTAATTAGAGCACATAAAAAATATTTACAACAAATAGAACGGTACAAAAATATCAAGCACCTAACTGAATATATGGCAAATACAGTAGATTGGTGGTTTTTCTGAGTGCAATGAGTCGCTTAATGTGGATAATCTTGTTCCTGGCACTGTTTGGTTACTTCATCCTAGAGTTAAGATTAAAAAAAAACTATTTAAATACATGTGCCTTTAGAAAAAAAAAAAATCTTACATTTTAATACAAAGAAGATAAATGACAACATTGCATTTTACAATTAAAAAATGGGGGGGAGGTGGCAAAAAATTTAATGAAATTAGCTGGGTGTGTTTTGCCTCTTGTTTTGGAGGGCAAAAAAAATAAAATAAACAAAAACCCAACCCTACTAAAGAAGCATATTGACTGTTGGCAATTTGGATTTTAATTCTACTATTTGCTTAGGATGGCAATATAACTGGCTACCATGATGGTAAATAATAACCAAAATAACTGGCTGCCATGATGGTAAATAATAACCAAAATAACTGGCTACCATGATGGTAAATAATCTAATAAAGGATCATAGCCGTTCATGCAGTTATAGAATGTACCACTGACAGAACGTTTGTGGAGCTTTCTTTTAATATTAATTTTCACTTTAATACTATTGTTTTTTTTCCCCTGTATTATAAGACATGCTATGGCTAAATATAAATATATGGCTTGGTTTTTACCTCGAGCCATTTCTCTTGGGAAGATGGCCAATGCAAGTCATGATCCCAGAAAGGTCTCTGACCAATTCATTTCTATAAAGTCATGTCAATACTCTCCCGTTTAGATCTCATTCTGCAGAAAAAGAACCCCCAAAACCTCCTGTACATAGAATGGTATATTTCTCATGAAAATTCGATATAGTTTAATTATCCACTTTGTGTCTCTTCTAGTCTTAGCAGACCATATAAGTAAAAATGCTTTCTTTGGTGACAGTCCCACTTTTAGTACTTTAGGCCACTTTTCAGAGCAAGTCACTTTTTATATGCAGTACATTATGAGTTTGCCTTTCAATGTAAGTTGTGGCCTCTGCACATGTTAAGAACTGACATGACCTGTAGAAATATTGAGGCTTAGTTGTGGAGTGTGGGTTATAGTGCTCATTATTTTGTGATGCAAAGTACATTTAACCATATTCCTTTTGATTAATTTACTCCCCTGCCCTTCCATGTGTCTCATTCGCCCAGCCCCTCCATGCATCTCATTAGCCCCCCATTTGACCTATTAGCTCTCTCCCAGCCTTGTATGTGGCTCAGTAGCCCCCCCCCCCCCAGGTGTCCCATTAGCCTCTCGGCCCTCCATGTGTCCCTATACTCCATCCCATCCCTTCGTGTCCCTATACCACCCCTCTAGACCTTCATGTGTCCCTAGAGTCGCCCGGACCCATGTGTCAGTAGAGCCCCCACGTGTCCCATTATAGCCCCCCTCTACAGCCCCCACGTGTCCCATTATAGCCCCCCTCTACATCCCTCACGTGTCCCATTATAGCCCCTCTCTACAGCCCCCACGTGTCCCATTATAGCCCCCTCTTCAGCCTCCATGTGTCCTTTAATATAGCTCTCTCTTCAGCCCCCACATGTCCCATTATAGCCCCCTCTTCAGCCCCCACGTGTCCCTTAATATAGCTCTCCCAGTAGGCCTGTACCTTGCTGTAGCGTGACCGAGCAGGAAGACCGCGGTAGAGAAGTTTCTGTTCCCCTACCTGGTCTGACAGGAAGCAGTTATGTGCTCTCTGTTACTGTTACTGTGTAATTATGCCAGCCCACCGGGAAATTTCCTGGTATCCCGGTGGACCAGTCCAGCCCTGCCCCAAGAACACCATCCCCACCGTCAAACATGGAGGTGGAAACATTATGCTTTGGGGGTGTTTTTCTGCTAAGGGGACAGGACAGCTGCATCGTATCAAAGGGATGATGGACGTGCCATGTACAGTCAAATCTTGGGTGCGAACCTCCTTCCCTCAGCCAGGACATTGAAAATGGGTTGTGGATGGGTATTCCAGCATGACAATGACCCAAAACACACAGCCAAGGCAACAAAGGAATGGCTCAGGAAGAAGCACATTAAGGTCCTGGAGTGGCCTAGCAAGTCTCCAGACCTTAATCCCATAGAAAACTTGTGGAGGGAGCTGAAGGTTCGAGTTGCCAAACATCAGCCTCGAAACCTTAATGACTTGGAGAGGATCTGCAAAGAGGAGTGGGACAAAATCCCTCCTGAGATGTGTGCAAACCTGGTGGCCAACTACAAGAAACATCTGACCTCTGATTGCCAACAAGGGTTTTGCCACCAAGTACTAAGTCGAAGGGGTCAAATACTTATTTCACTCGTTGACATGCAAATCAATTTATAACTTTTTTTCGACATGCGTTTTTCTAGATTTTTTGTTTTGTTCTGTCTCTCACTGTTAATACACCTACCATTAAATTTATAGACTGATAATTTCTTTGTCAGTGGGCAAACGCTCAAAATCAGCAGGGGATCAAATACTTTCCCCCTCACTGTAAATAGGGCCCTGAAATAAGGCACCAGGGAGGGGTGCTGGGAGTCTGGATTTATAGTTATGAAACCATGAAGTTTCTATATCTGATTTTAAATTAGAATGACAGCCCCCTCTTTGTGCCAAAACATACATTTAGAAACATCCATCATATTCTGCAATGCATTCTATAATGCTTGTAACTTTCAGTTTACATTAACACTATACTTATATTAGTTTTTTTTTTTAATTTTTTTTTTGTCTTTTGTAGCTGGAAGTTGGTCACTGTGGCAGACTTGAAAAAACAGAAGATCTGTGGCTTAAAGTTCGTAAAGATCATGCTCCACGTTTAGCACGTCTGTCTTTGGAGAGCCGTTCCCTGCAGGATATGTTGTTACATGGTAAGTAGTAACAGCAAATACTTCAAAGGCTAATGGATGAGGGGGATATAGGAAGGGACTTGGGAGACCTTTTTGTTTTTCTCATATGCTATTAAAGGGGAGGGGGGGGGAGATTTTGTTTTGTGTTATGAGTTATAACTGAATATTCCCATCTATGCATACATTAAGGTTTGTGTTCATGTATTCTGCTCTTGCATGTGAAAAGCTGAAATTAAGGCTTCCATTAATTATAGAACTGAAGCCCACTTGGCATGTTTTAGACAGGTGGCTACTATTGATTTCTGTGGTCAAGCAGTCCATGTGTTTGTTTTTAACCATGCAGTTCTTAAATTATGCAGGCATTATGCACATGTACAGTCATTGTTTTTTTATTCTGAATCTCACAATGCGTAGCTAAACTTTAAATCTCAAGTGTGATCTTCCGTTCGCAGATATTCTTCATTTTAAAATGCATGTTAAGTTTTTGCAGTGTCATACGTTAGCCATGAAACAGTTTGGTGGAGCAAGAGAGTTTTAGTTATTTACACCAGGGCCGGACTGGGAAAAAAATTCGGCCCGGGCATTTTTTTATCACAGCGGCCCACTAAGAAGGTGGCGGGGCAGAAAGGGTGTGTTTTGTCATCACTCATGACAAACACGCCCCCTCTCAAAGTGAGCATGTTGGTTCAATGCTCTTCCAGGGCAGACCATGCGCAGAGCTCTGCTGAAGAACTCTAGCATGAGAAAAAAAGCCCTGTATTTGTTCTGCACAGTGCAAGCAAATTTAATAACATGATTGCACTGTGTTTCCTTGCAACTTGTCTCTGGTGTCTCGATAAATGGATACCAGGAGACAAAAGGGCCAGGAAAGAGTATTGTGCATGTGTTTGGAGGCTGCTTGTGGTATTGCGTGTGTGCAGAGTGAGCTGGTCGTGGTGTGGTATTTAGTCGTGTTTGTGGTGTAATGTAATGCATATGTGGCTAGGGGCTGTAGATAATGTGTGTGTGTATAGGGGATGTAGCAAGTGTGTGCATCCGTTATATACGCACGCTCACTAGATCTCCTATACATAGTCAGGCTATAGTGTGTGTGTGTGTGTGTGTGTGTGTGTATATAGGTGATGTAGTGTTTGTAGAGAGTGTGTTCAAGGAATGTAGTATGTGTTTGCTTACAAGGAATCTAGTGTGCGTATAGGGGATCCAGAGAGTGTGTGTGTGTATATGTATGTGTGTATATATATCTCCGTATCTCCATCCGTATCTCCATCCGTATCTCCATCCGTATCTCCATCCGTATCTCCATCCGTATCTCCATCCTTATCTCCATCCTTATCTCCATCCTTATCTGGACCCAGACTATGTATAGGAGATCTAGTGTGTGTATGTGTGTAGATGATCCAGAGTTGGGTAAAGGATCTAGTGTGTGTATGTGTGTAGATGATCCAGAGTTGGGTAAAGGATCTAGTGTGTGTAGATGATCCAGAGTTGGGTAAAGGATCTTGTGTGTGTAGATGATCCAGAGTTGGGTAAAGGATCTAGTGTGTGTAGATGATCCAGAGTTGGGTAAAGGATCTTGTGTGTGTAGATGATCCAGAGTTGGGTAAAGGATCTAGTGTGTGTCTGGAATGTAATGTGTTTAGGGGTGATGTGTGTGTGTGTGTGTGTGTGTGTGTATGTGTGTATATATATATATATATATATATATATATATATGTATATGTATATGTATATGTATGTGTATATGTATGTGTATATATGTATATATGTTTGGAAGTATTGTGTATGTGTGTGATGCAGTGTATCGGGGGGTTGTGTGTGTGAGGGTGCTGTATGTGATTGATTTGTATGAGGGTGCTGTGTATGATGTGTGAGAGTGCTGAGTGCTGTGTGTGAGAGTGTCGTGTGTGTGATGTGTGTGAGTGCTGTTTATAAATGTTGTGTGTTGGGGTAAATAAACAAATACAAAATTTAAGTGGTGTTAAATATACAAATAAAATAAAAAAACTATGGGGGGGTAAATAAACAATAAAAAAAAATTTAAAAAAACAAGCAGGCATTAAATCCCCCCCCTCCCTCCTTACCTTTAGCCTGGGAGGGGGGGACAGGCACGTGGTGTCTGGGAGGGGAGGGACCGGCACTCGCACGCCATCCCTGGTGGTCCAGTGGTGAGTGAACTCTAGCCTGAGGCCTGATTTACACATACAAAAACAAGCAATACAGTGCTGAGAATTTTCATTTTCACTTTTCTTTTCCATCACCTATCCTAGCTTTTGAGTTTGTAGTAAAGATGGGGCAGCATTACGGGTTTCTCTTAAAGAGATTAATCATAGACAAATATCTGGTTCTGGTCCATAAGTCTCCTATCTGAGCAACACTTGCTCAGTTGTGTTTAACATGAATTCCAGAGCTGACAGGCTTTGCTGCAGTCACGAAGTTTGTCATACAAAGACCCTATGGGACAGTATGGATGCAAATGAGGGAGGCAGCGAAATACAGTCTCACATGTTTCTCTAAGAGCCGGCTAACTACACTTCTTTTTGTGTAACCAAATCATTGTTAACCTTTTTGGTCAACTTTTTTTGTTGCATTTGTAATCTTCTATATAGCTCAGTGCTGAGACCATACCATGGCATCAATGTTAATTTTGTCAACTAATCATTTTAAAACTAGACTAAAACTAAAACCATTCAGATGACTAGGATTACAATTAAATAAAAAATTGCTACCAAAATACACACTGTATTGCATGGTATAAGCACTTAAAGCATCCACATACTTAAGATATTTTTTTTTAATTGACAAGACCTGACGAACTTCACTTGTAGTTCAATACCACCATGGATCCAAATGGAAAGGTTATTGCATCCATATAGTTTGTGGCACCCCCTCGGATGCCTGTAATGTTGAGGAAAAATAAGCATGTTTTAGTATTTTGTAATGGATTCACCAAGTACACTTCTTTCTTTTCTAATTGCAGGTAAACCTAGGCTTGGGCGGGAGTTAGGAAGAGGACAGTATGGAGTAGTATATCTGGGTGAAAGCTGGGGAGGGCACTACCCATGTGCTCTGAAATCTGTGGTTCCCCCAGATGAAAAGCACTGGAACGATCTGGCGTTGGAATTTCACTACATGAGGTAAACATGAATTTTGCATTATGATGGATTAGTACATACAAAAAATGTTAAGAGTCCATATATTTCAGAAGTCTCGGGATACATAGAAAATTACTTTTTGAAAAAGTGACCATATTTGGATAAAGGCTGCTACCAACGTACTTGCTTGTAACAAGTTGCAATAGTAGTCTATATCTGTATTGTGTGATGAAAGGCTGCTTGCTCGCAGTAGACTAGTTATAAGGCGAATTAGAAAAGTGGGATGGTGGGAGGAGGTATTGTCTCAACTGCACTGAAAAGAAATGTCGACTCTAGTAGCACTGCTTTCTCTAGTGCAGGGGAAGGTAATCTCCCACACTCCAGATGTTGTGGATTACATCTCCCCTCATGCTTTGTCAGCATTATGGGAGATGTGGTCCATAAAATCTGTAGTGCCAAATGTTGCCTTGCACTGCACTAGGACAATGGAAACCCATTTGGTACTGGTAGGTGTCTAATGGCTGTGTTTTTGCAGGGTTTATTTCGCTGATAATGTATTTGCAAAATGATTCACTAATAATTTTCCAGTTAAACAATGTATTGCAAATAGAATGCCAAGTACATTATATGGCTAGAACCTTACAAAAAAATAGCTAAGCAGTGAGATTTCTCCATCCCCCCATAAGACTTTTCTGCATGTAGGACAAGTTATGTGATTGCAAGTGTTGCCTATTTTCATCACAGATTATTTGGAATCCCCCTTCTACTTGTCTGTCTTGTGAAACCGGTTTAGGTGTTGTTTTTTGTTTGTTTGAATGCCATGTTTGGGAATTTCACTGTGGAGTTTTCATTTCAAACAGATCTACGTACAGGTGTGGTATTTCAGTTTTCACAAATGCCATATTCAGAAATAGATTTACTGGACCCCTGTCACAAAGGAGTTTTGGGGAAACTGTAACTTAACAGGATGTTTTATATTGTGTTTATTTACTCCTATTTAGCAAATATGTATTTGTTAGGTGTGCAGAAATAAAATGTAGAACTTAACTACTTTTATATCTTGCAACTGGGTGCCTTCATCTTAGTTCTCGCTCATTGTAATAAACTCTGTCCTTTTCATCTGGCGTTCAGCATGAAGAAAACATTCAGTGTAGAGGAGTAATTAACCCTTTAAGGACACATGACGTGTGACATGTCATGATTCTCTTTAATTCCAGAAGTTTGGTCCTTAAGGGGTTAAACAAGGTTTCTATTTCTCCTCATTGGAAGTATGTGCCCTGGCTTTGCATTGATGTGATTTGAATTGAAATGACATGTAACTTGATCAGTTATCTTTTAAATTTACATTAGATTTTGCATCTCATGAAAAAAGTGAATACAAATTATAGGAGATTTTCAATGTCCAGATGGCCTATATTGCGTGCCCCCGTATTTTTTTGTATTTTCTTTTTCCCAGTTTTCTTTATTTTACATTTATTTTCTTTTATTACACCATTTTTAAAATGCAACTGTCTGATTTTTGTTACTCTTGTCTTGCTCTTTCTAGATCTCTGCCGAAACATGAGCGTCTTGTAGATTTGCATGGTTCTGTGATTGACTACAGTTATGGAGGGGGGTCTAGCATTGCGGTCTTGCTAATTACAGAACGTCTGCATAGAGATCTCTATGCAGGGCTCAAGGTGAGTTCTCTTGATGAAAGATTGATGGCTCAGTCCTGAAAAGCCATGGGTATGATTTGGTCACCCTTTTTAGCATGAACACTGAGAGAGAAATAACACCTCCACTCACATAATTTATGAGTACCACTTTAATGCACCATATTTTAAGCTAATATTGCTGTGTATTTGTATTTATTATTTATATTTGTTAATGCAGTGGGGTCTAGTTTAATGCTGTAAGTTTGGGGTTAATTTTGTGGTTGCAGGGTAATATAGAAGTTGTGTGGTTTATTAATCTAGATTAATATGATTTGTTTCAAAAATGTAGTGTCATGTGATTCATAGAAGATGTTAAGGGTAGTGGTTGGGCATAGGATCAGGGGTGGAACGAAATGTGGTTGAGCCGCCCCAGGAAGCTAAGGATTGGAGGGCCCGTCGTATGGATCTCCAGTTAAGGCCACTGATGAGTATTTCTAATTATTTAAAGTCAGATTAGCCAAACTGAAGACATAACTGATGTAGATATTTTTATAGTTGTTATATTCACCTTAAAGGGACACATCAGTTGTTCAACAGTATGTCTATACCATCTCCCTGCAGCCTTTTTGGTGTAAACTCTGCGTTTTCCGAGAAAAGTCAATATTTACATTGCTTCCTAAGGACACCTCCAGTGACCACTCTTTAGATGGCAATTGGAGGTGTTTCCTGGGGCAGTGCTGCACAGTGCCCAGCACTTACGTTCTGCGTCTCCTGCATAAATGTCAGTGTTTGTCCCAGCCCCGCCTCCTTGACGATCTCCGCCAATCTAATGCTTTTCCTATGGGAAATGCTAAAGATGTTAGCCAAGGAGTCAGATCGGGGCCAGCGTGGCACTGGAAATAAGGTAAGTTTTCTTAACTTTTTAAGGGGGGCTGCAAGCCATCTAAATTATGCTTTTAACACTGTAGGGTCAGGAATACATTTGCGTTCCTTTAAATTTAAAATTCACTTCGAATTTTTACTTTAGTGAATAATCCTGACAATAACCCGTTTTTTGCTGCAGGCAAAGGCTACCATGAAATTACTCCTGTATGCCCTATGTCTAGTCACATGACCATAATTTTTATGGTGTAAAATAATTAAATTTTCTATGTCCCCATTAAAGATAAAAAGGATCCATAAAGTAAGCACTGTCCCCTCTAATTGTGTTAGTTACTATATTCAATTATAAGTTTGTAGCATGATAAATTGATTGCTGCATACTGGTGTGCATTGTTTGCACTCACTCGAAGTTCATTCTTTGTACATTTCCTTGTGACAAAGGTGGACTTGATCACTAAGTGAAAATAGCCAGAGGTGATCTTAGATTTGTATTTTACCACTCTCACTTTCTTGAGCTTCATAGTAGTAATCAATTTGATCCCTTGTCCATTAAGGATAGATCACGTTTAAACTTGTCATGGAGTACAACAAATTGATCCTCCCCATAGCACTCTACATTAGTTGGAATGACCCCACTGGATCCCCCAGCTTGCATCTACATACATACGCCAAATACGTTAACCAAAGCAAATAACTTGTAACTTTCAAAAACAAAGCCATCCTTTGCTAAAGAGGTGCCCTTGGCAAGGAAAATGTCTAGCATTGTCCCCAGTTCTTCATATAAACCAATTTAAACAACCAGATGTATGCACACATGTAACTTGCCACATATCCCAACCTAATTCATAACATGCTAACACACCCATAAACACACATTAACATGCATACAGACATTTGTAGTGGTTATGATGCCAGGAGTACCCTTGTCTGTGGTCTGGCACCGAGGATCTGCTATGGCCGTTGACATGCTACGGTGCACCATAGGTGTGAGATCTGCAATAGAGCAGCTCTTATTCTTGCATCCTGAGTGAGCTGGAGTCATCTTCGATGGTTCCCACATTTGAAGTGCCATGAACGCAAAGCGCTCAGGGCCGAAAACCTGCCTACTTCCCCCAAACACTTCTAAAAGATGTATTCCTTTAACCCCTTTAGGACCAAACTTCTGGAATAAAATGGAATCATGACATGTCACACATGTCATGTGTCCTTAAGCGGTTAAGCTGGTATGGGTTGTTCAAAACGTATTTTTTAGAACAATTTGACTTCTTACCTGGGAACCACTGGACTTCGTACCCCGCCTCCTCTACAGCTCCATGAGAGGCAGAGATCTTGCTCAGGAGCCTTTGTTAGCTATCCTGAGAGAAACTTTGCAGTGTAGGGCTAGAGCGTTGGCTGAGAGTGTTAGCTGATCATAGCTTGGTGGAGAGAGCTTTTAGTTTTCACTGAACAGCAATGGAGGGGGGCAGGGGCATCTGATTTTACTACTTACAGTGGGAATGGGGGACAGGGTATGCGTGGCACCAAAACTACTACAGCTCGCTAGCACTACAACTCACCGTACTGGTTATGGTACCTGGAGTGTTCCTTAATAATACCATTCTAGTCAGTGAAAAGCAGCCTGTCAGACACCGGTAAAAACATTTTGACATGGGTGTCAGAGAGAAAGCGATAGAGGGTGACTGCAACTCTGGGGGTTCGGAAACTTGATTTAAAGGGGCAGCGAGGAAGGACATGCATGTGGAGAGGAACATATAGGGAGTGCATGCATGGTTGTAAATGCTTTTAGAATTGGATCTCCACCTGCCCTGCTATTTTTGTTCCGAACTTTGATATATCTTTTATATATATATAACGATGACAATGTTCATTTCCTTAAAACACTTGGCTTTCTTGATATTATTGACTTCATTGTTAAGATGCCACAACACAAATAAAGAATTTAAAAAAATAAAATATTTTTTTTTTGACATTTAGAATGGAATGTGCATTACCTATTTGTTAAGGATTGGCTGCTGACCTATTTTGAAATTATATCTTTTGTGCATCACAAGGTATTTTAAGAACCAGTTTCATTAGAACATATTGCTGTATTGTACAGATGCAAGGCACATACAATATCAATTTAATTGCTCTTCTGTGATCACTGTCATGCCAAAGGATGAGTTGGCATTTGATTATATGTTAGGAGTTGTTTTTCTACGTGTTGGGATAACATTTATTGTAGGCTTTGATCCAACGCCAGGCCTAAGCCAAAATATGTAATGACTAGATAACGATCACCAGAGCTAGACATAGGGTGTCATACCTAGTGTTGGTGCCTATGCTTTGACTTTGGGTCATTCAAAGGACAACATAATTTTAAGAAAATATGGAGTGGACAATAAATTGCCAGGCCAAACCCCTCTGATACACCCAGGGGTCTGCCCACTGAGAAACAACTAGTTTGAGATATATATATAATGATGTTGGACTATCCAGGGAGAGATTTCTTTTTAACAACTACATGGAGAACTTCAACATCTGAATATCCCACAAGAATTATATATCATATCTAGATCTCCGCTTACGGGCAGGGCCCTCTCTACCTTTTGTATTTGTCTGTGTATATTGTATCTTCTCCACTAATTGTACTAATTGTGTGTGGGGTAACCTAAGATGCCCGGATATAAAGTCTTGGTGGTGGCAGTAAAGTGTGTACAAGGGATTGTAGGAGTTAATATTGTAATTGCTGGGACTTGCAACATGTAATCAGGGGTCTGGTGTCATTAACCCTTTCACTTCCACACTCTCCCCACTGTCTCGGCTGGGCCAATTGCCCACGCTCGTGACAACAATATAATTAATGAATGCACATGTTTAGATGCCATGGGAATAACCATCCCCATCCTCTCACATGTTTAGCTTTGCAGAGGATTTTAAAGACATTTTGTTAAAGCTTTTAGACAGACTTAAAAAGGAATGCAGCTATCCGCTCATTGAGGTTGGTTAAACAGAAAGGTCACAAGATAAATGTGTTGTGGCATACCCTATACCAGTTATCCTTATATTTTATCTAGTTATGCAATAAAAACACTTAACATAGTCTCTTGAAACAATGAAATTACTTCTAGATAATTGTTTTAATATTGCCTCTTATTTTCTATTTATTTATGAATATGTGAAGAGATTTCCCTTCCGGCAAATTTATCCTAGCACAGAGTTCTCTATTGTGTGTTACAATAAACAGACTGTGTGTGTGAATGGAAATGTGTCTAATGCAGTGGACTGACTCTATTTTAACGGGTATGTTAAGGCACAGGGATTTTTAAAAACATTTTTAAGTATATGACCAGCCATTCTGAAATGCGGCCACCATAATGTACCCTTTACACTTGGAGATTACATTGTGTGTAATGTCGTGGTGACCATAACATTGATTGTGGTTGCATTTAAAAAATAAAAACATCTTTTAAATCCCACAGACATTCATCTTGACTGTTTTAAATATGGCTTTCTACTCTGAAGATTGCTGTGAATTACCTTGTCTGGGGAAAATGGGGACTTATTTAATGTAAGAACACACACCTTGTGTGCAGAGGAGGAAGTATTATGAGCTGCACTCTCTCAATGAGGATTTGCCTTATAGCTGCATTGAGTTTTACAGATGACTGCTGTACTGTGTGAAACTGCAACAGCAGGCAAGTTAGGTTGAGTCAGATAGCCGTAGAGTCTAACACAACATGGCTGCTGGGCCAGATGCTAATAACCTTTAAAAAAAAAAATTAGATTTTTATTTTAAGGTCAAATTGGGAAACTTCAAAAACTCCCCAGTCTTCTATGCTTCCAATGCGACTACTTTGGCCTTTGAATTCCTGACAGTGCCCACTTTCTTGAATCCGACTGAGAAGGAAATGTAATTGTTGCAATATATATGTTAACTCATTCTGTTAAACATACATTGTAGATACTATTACTGTTTCATCTTATTGAAGTGGTTATGTCTGTAGTCCCCTGGTCCTTTTCTTATAGCATTAAAACTTGTAGAATGGAAGTCCCAGACGTCCATCCCCTTGTGTGCTGCTTTGCTGCACAGGCTAATGCTTCCTCGTTAGCAAATATGTTGCTGTGATTGACGGAGTGTCTGCTGATGGCTTGCAGCCTATCACAATGCCTGTTCCTGGTATGGATAGAAGAAAGTGCATAATCAATGCCAAACTCCTATCTCCAGTGTGGCACTATTTAGTGTGAAACTACTCAAAAAAGGATTTTACACCGATTGGAGAGACAATACATGGGGACTTCAGTCCCAATAATAAAAAGGAGATAATACGAATATAGGCCTGTTGGATAAACTTAGCAAATGATTTAAAAAAATTTCATAATATCAAAACAATGTAACTTCTATTAAAAAAATCAGTCTATCAAAATATTAGAAAATTTAAATATTAATATTAAATAATTATAAAAGCTTAGCAAAAACAAATTTTAAAAGCTTATCCAACAATCAAAAGCATAGAGCTTATGGTACGTTTTTTTAAGACAAATGCCAATATTTTGCTGTATGAATTTGTTCCTATTCAATTCCCTTTGCATGTTTTGCAGGATGCTTTTAAAGGGTTATATGAGTTGGTATTTTTAGGGTTAGTATAGCTTGTCTTCTGTGAACTTTCAAAAATCATCCCCTAATATTGTATTGTCTGCCTTCATCTGCTACAGATTTGATTTTTATTTATTTTTTTATACATTGTAAGCATGTAAATTATAGTTCCAATGCTTTCATAAGTGCATTCTGGTGAAGGAGTTGACCATAAAGGGTCTTAATGCACCATGACCACATCAGTGATTTAAAGTGGTCATGGTGCCTAGAGTTTTTGTATGTGCAGCATTTTGATATGAAACTCTGCACGTACAAAGGTGAATCATTCTGCTGCCGACGATGTAACCCGTCCTCTGGAAGATGCATTGGGAGTCAGTAGCCAGGGCCTCCATAACATGCCTGTCCTTCCCTCAATCTGTTCTCCCTGACATCTCAACCCCTCTGGCGAGGCAGTTAGTAATTCAAGGAGGCTCCGAGGAGAACCTTGGCATTGGGAAAGAGGTAAGTTTAAGATTTGTACAGCCTCATCATATAAATCTGTCATATGTCCATGAATCTGAAAACCATGAATGTGTATTTTAGAACAGTGTTTCCTTTTTAATATAGGTTTTGTTTGTCGTTTAAGCAGTATTGTGCTATCCCTTTAACAGTTGAACAGTACCTCTTTCTTTCCACAGACTGGGCTAGATTTGGAGACACGGCTGCAGATAGCACTGGATGTGGTAGAAGGGATCCGCTTCTTGCATAGTCAGGGATTGGTTCACAGAGACATCAAATTAAAGAATGTTTTGGTAAGCTACAGTTATTGTAAATGTACAGTTGTTCACCTTGGTATTTTTCTTTCATAGCTGGATCAATTGATAAACCTAAACGCTGCCCGTAAGAAGTATTTTTTTAATTTTATTTCTATTTAAATAAAGATTTCAAGATTATCCTTTAAATTCTTGATGATGTGCAGTCCTTAGAAAACTGGTTTGACGTATTCATTACTTTTTAATTTAAAACCGAAAGCAATTGATGATTGCCTTCGTTTAACGTTTTTTTCCAATATATTTTACATTTTTAAACCCCTTAAAGACCAAAGTTCTCTTTTGGATGCCATGTGGATGTGATCAAGGCCTTTTTGGTAATTTTGCCATGCATTCATTCTTTCACAGTTTTTCTTTTTCTGTTCACCAGTATGTATTGCATATTTTTTTTCCATAACACAACTCCGAGTCACTGCGGCCCATAGCTGTGGCACAGCTTTGGGGATTTTTAGGAGCAGCACTCACTTTGACTCCTTCCAATGAGCTGTGAGCTGTATCAGTTATGGTTCTTTGAGTGTTCCTTCTAAACACTCAATAATAAAATGTGTTTGGAATATGTATTGTTTAAGGGACACTCTAGGCACCCAGACCACTTCAGCTTAATGAAGTGGTCTGGGTGCCAGGTCCAGCTAGGGTTAACCCATTTTTTAATAAACCTAGCAGTTTCAGAGAAACTGCTATGTTTATTAATGGGTTAAGCCTTCCCCCTAATTCTCTAGTGGCTGTCTCATTGACAGCCACTAGAGGCGCTTGCGTGCTTCTCACTGTGATTTTCACAGTGAGAGCACGCAGGCGTCCGTAGGAAAGCATTATGAATGCTTTCGTATGTGACCGGCTGAATGCGCGCGCAGCTCTTGCCGCGCGTGCGCATTCAGCCGACGGGGCGGAACGAAGGAGGAGAGCTCTCCGCCCAGCGCTGGAAAAAGGTAAGTTTAAACCCCTTTCCTCCTTCCAGAGCCGGGCGGGAGTGGGACCCTGAGGGTGGGGGCACCCTCAGGGCACTATAGTGCCAGGAAAATGAGTATGTTTTCCTGGCACTATAGTGGTCCTTTTAGTTTAAATTGTACACGATTATGGTTACTAATATACTGTTAAGAAAATTATTTGATTGGGTTATTTTGCAGCTGGACAAAAAAAACAGAGCAAAGATCACTGATTTGGGGTTCTGCAAACCTGAGGCCATGATGTCTGGCAGCATCGTGGGGACTCCTATACATATGGCACCAGAACTCTTTTCAGGTAGGGAAATTAAGAGAATCTGATCAGGGCGGTTGCTTAGCTACCATGAAGTGAACTCCCTTACTTGAAAGACATGCTCCTTTGTGTACTTGTTTCTTATCAATAGTATTTAAAGAACAATTATAATAATAAATCCAAATATTCAAGTCATTGTTAAACTTCCTTCATATTTAACATTTATCATAATTGAGCTTCATAATTTTGATATGAAAAAATATTAAAATGTGTTTAATTTACATTTCTAGGAAAGTATGATAACTCTGTAGATGTATATGCCTTTGGCATTCTGTTTTGGTACATATGCTCTGGATCCATCAAACTCCCTGAAGCCTTCGAACGATGTTCTAGCAAAGACCACCTTTGGAACAATGTTAGAAAAGGCAAGTTCTTTGTAAATATGCGTAATATTACTTGACTTGAAGGGACACTACAGGCACCCAGACCACTTGTTCTTATTGAAGTGGTCTGGGTGAAGTGTCCATGTTTTGTGTTTTTTTTGTTTTTTTATAGAGAAACTTATATTTTTACTTTGCAGGGTAAAGGCAGCCTGTAGTGGAGGTCCCCTAGATCGCCACTAGAGGCGATTCTTGCTTTTTTTAAATTCAGGGAAACAACGCTGGATATCCTCACGCTTTGCATGAGGATGTCCAGTGCCTTGCAAAACCCCATAGAAAGTATTGAGTCAAAGGCTGACGTTGGAGATGGATAGGGATCTCGATACTGGAAATGGGTAAATGTTAAAAGAAATAAATGTTTAAACACTGCCATGGATGGCTGTAGGGGCCTCAGAGGAAGAGAGACACTATAGTGTTAGGAATACAGTTTTGTATTCCTAACACTATAGTGTTCCTTAAATAAGTATAGGCACTGTGTAGTAGTATTGAAGCTTTCATTAACACTGCTAATTGTGTGGACTATGTCTCTACAGTATTATGAGTGGTTTCTCATGTGCATTTTTCACTACCATCCCCTAATGTTGTATGGTCTGCCATCATGTGCTAAAGATCCCAAATACAGTCCCATTGCTTCCACAAGTATATAGTGTAGGAGCTTTCCTTCAATAGTTATTCCAACAAAGTGATTTAAAATGGTGATTGTGCCTGGACTTTGTATTTGCAATATTTCACTATGAAAAGCTGCATGTAATGAGTTTAACCTCTCTGCTGCCAGAGGTGTAACTCCACTTCTGGCAGCATCTTTGAGCTTTCATCAGCCAGCTTGGAAGTAGTGTTCTGGGCTGGCTAATGTCAATTCTGTGCAACTTTCATTGGCTAACGCTCTCAGCCAATGAATGATGACTTCTGCAACGCAACTTTGCAAAGGTCTGAAGTGTTTCACCGGACGACCAGGGAACATCTGAATGTGTCGGGGCTTTGCAACGGTTTGCCCCATTACCAGGGAACTAAGCCAGGCTGTAGTGCTTAAAGGGACTCTCCAGTGCCAGGAAAACAAACAGTTTTCCTGGCACTGCAGGTCCTCTCCCTTCCACCCCTCCATCCCAGGTTGCTGAAGGGGTTAAAACCCCTTCAGTGACTTACCTGTATCCAGCGCCGATGTCCCTCGGCGCAGGGTTAGGGCTGGCCATGCTCCTCCCCCGCCGTCATCCGGCGGGGGAGACCAATTGAGCCACGCACGCGCATTAGACCTCCCCATAGGAAAGCATTGAATAATGCTTTCAGTGCTTTCCAATGGAGATTTCAGCAACGCTGGAGGTCCTCACATAGCGTCTATGAACACGGAAGTGTCCTCTAGATAGCCACTAGAGGAGGACTTAATCCTTCAAGGTAAATATTGCAGTTTATGAAAACTGTAATAATTACACTTGCAGGGTTAAGGGTAGTGGGAGTTGGCACCCAGACCACTCCAATGGGCAGAAGTGGTCTGGGTGCCTGGAATGTCCCTTTTGGATAACTGTAGTAACCTTTTTAATATAAAGATATCTTCCTGTTTGGGTGTTTGCACTTGCACAGAAATGCCCATTAAGTGGCTCATCAGTGTTCAGGAGTCTTTGCATACCTTGCAGTGACCCTTGAAGACTTCACTCTTGCTAGGTGTGTGCAGAAAGGGGTGTGAAGCTGAAAGTAGATATATTTGAAGCTTTCTCTCACATGGGCACCACCATGTTTTTCTTTAGCTTCTGGTGTTTTATCTGGGAGACTACAAAATAGAGGTTTGCAGACAATCTTGCTAGACTCTGGAATCCTCAACAGACGAAGCCACTATGCACAAGAATATGTATCCCACCCAGAACTTTTGCTAGCAACATCTGTGGGGATTTTACAAAAGTTCTTGGTGGCAGCACCATTTGGTTGTTGCCTATAGGAAAAAGTAGTCAGGGACAGGGATAGGCAACATGCGAGACTCTAGATGTTCTGGGCTACATCTCCCATGATGCTTTGCCAACATTATGGCTGTAAGAGCATTAGCATTACGGGAGAGATGTCATCCACAACAGCTAGCATGCCAAAGGTTGCCTACCCCTCATGTAGGTCATTATACAATAATTAACCTTTTCTCTGTGACATTTTTCGTTCCCAGGTGTACGACCAGAGCGGTTGCCCATTTTTGATGAGGAATGCTGGAAACTGATGGAGGCTTGTTGGAATGGAGACCACTCTCAGCGCCCACTCCTAGGAATTGTGCAGCCCATGTTGCAAGGTATCATGGACCGGCTTTGCAATACTAAAGTGTCTGGCAAAACCTTGGAAGATTCCACCTGATGAGATTATAGCATTTTCATTTTCTCTACATGTTCTGTATTAACGGATTTCATAGTCACTTGTAGCCCCTCCTTCGTCATCTGGAAGATGCAAAACTCCTTTTATTGCTTGGCACTTTGCACACACCAAGCTGAATAAATGAACCTTGCCCAGGATAAGCTATTAAGAGTGCTGCTTTAACAATTTTCCTTGCACCTAATTAAGTAATTTCTTGGGGAAATCAGCTTGCTGCATTATTGTGAGAACAATGGACCAATTATTCCTTTTATGTAAATAGTGGCAAAGCGGTTAATGGACTAATAGAGGTGGTTATGTTATCTCCATTGGATGCTCAAACATTTGGGCAATTCGAGTTCTAAAGCAATTTTTTGTATAAACTCTTACTACATCAAACATTCTATGTTCCCACAGCATGGCCGGGGAATGAGTCCAGAACTCTAAGATAATACCTTCAGATCTTCTTGAGTAGTATTGTGTAAACAATGTCTCGCTTTTGTGGTGTATCAACATCTCCACTATATGGTTACTTAATTCTTCTCTCCAGTTTGAAGACAAGATACATAGATCTCTGTGTTGGACAATGGAATGCTAAGATGCTTCCTGTATTAAGAAGAAGAAAATATTTTCAGTGGTTGCTATCCTTTTCAGCCCACCCAAGTTTTAGTGTGTACCTGCAATATGAATATATTAATGTATAATTGATGCTTCCTGCTAGCAGGGAGAAATGCATTGCAAGATGTGTTTAACATTTTAAAACAGGTGTAGGTAGTGTTACAAAACTACTTAAATTCCTGAAATTTACTTTTTTTGTGTGCTTATTACTGCTATTTTTGTGTGTTTAGGGTGCTATCTAATGCACTATTTTTATGTTTGTATTCATCACCACCCTCCCCCCCCTTATGTTTAAGGCTATTAATGTAAGACAAATGCTGAATGTCTATCAACATGATGGTAACCCAGTGAGTACAATTAAATGTTTTTTTTGTTTGTGTTTTTTTTGTAATAGCCATACCCCTGCTTCAGACCTTCATGCCTCATACTATCTGCCTTCTGCACTTTACAAAGGCATCAATCTTTCATGCATCCCTGCTTTACCTATGAAAGACAGAATTTTCTTTTCATATTACCTGAATTACTTTGCTCATTATTCTACTAACAAAGCAGCAAACTGTAAATACTGGTTGTAGTAGACTGATCATTTAGAACTCTGTTAATAGCTACACTACTTTGATAACCCGTGGAAAGACTTAGAACTGTTAGAGTCACTGGTGCCTAATTATAAAAAAAAAAAGGCTTTCATGTGAAATGGCACAATTAGACACATTCCATGTTAGTCATTCAATTTTTCCATGTTACGTTTTAATGCTTAAAGAACCCTTGCAATTTAATAGCACATTGTATGTAATAAGATCATTTAAAAAAAAAAAAAAACACTCGCCTGAGTGAAATGAAACCTGTATTTCAATCACCAATTAATTGGAAGCAGCTAAACAGCGGGAATTCAAATCCTCTTCCGTGATCACAAAGTCAACACATGATAAATGTAAAAAATTAAAAATAAAAACAATTACATTAATTCCTATACTTTCCATGACACTATAATGGATTATAAAGCATATAACTTCTGTAAATGTTCTGTTTTGTATATAAAAAAAAAAAAAAACCCTCAAAGCTAATTTAATATTAATCTTATTTTTATATAACTATATTAAAGATTTTTAGTTTTGTAACGGGTCTTCCCCCAGAAATGGTGGAATGTGGTTTGTTGCCAAAACGAACAATTTTAAACTATAAAAGCCACATTGAAGACAATTCTTCAACTTTTCTCTATTTACTTGCATTTGGGATCTCCTTGATCCGCTCACCACAACTCCGTTTAAAAAAACAAACCAATACTCAATGAATGCGTAAACTAACTGCAGCCCAGTCTATGAATAATACAGTCAACTTGCAAAATAATTACTTAAGAGCTTTTCAGTATTTCACATATAGAGGTCTGGAGCGCAAGTAATGGGGCAGATCTGATGATATTCCCATTTTTGGAATTGCTTTATCACGGTTTAAGAATGGATTACCCTGTGCTACTCAAAATCTGATATTTTCATTAGTAGTTCAGAAGAGCAAGTGATGCGAACCCATGCTTTAGCTTTTTGGTAGGTCAACGGTCATCTAACCATTAAAGGCCCATAGGCGAAGTAATTATTTGCCTTTCTTGTTGGAAAGTGTAATTTTAAAATGTGTTGACTATAATTTATATGCCACACAATAAAAATCAAACAAGTACCATTTAGTACTATTTTGACCACTTGGACATTGCATTTTTAATGTCTATTGCTGCTCCTCTACTTACCTTTAATTGCTACTCTCATGATCCTACAGTCTGAGAAACAACTTGGTAACATTAATTATGCCTTCCTGACTACCGATTCAGCATCATTAATTGATAACCAGACATTACCTGTTTCTGTAGTGATTTGCATTAGTGCATGTCTTGTGTTCACTCCTTTATTTGACATCGATGCTTAATTATAGCATAGGCAGGTTAAATGATTAACTGAATGGCTTGTATTTGGATGGGACAGTGACACATAGGCTTGTGAATTTTGCAGGGAGCTTTCTAATAATCTTGGACTCCCGCAGATGGAAATTTGTCAGTTCTTCAAAAGTTATTAACTATTTGTCTGGTACAACTATAACTTCCACTGTCCACTCCTACTACTTTTCTTTCTGGATTTTAAAAGTACATTTACAAGTTTCATGAACATCTTTCCAAGATGCAATACCTCGTTTTAATTAGCCTTTTATTCTTTGTGTTTGACTTCTGAATTACCCATTGTGGCTTATTTCCTTTACCTGTTGTGTAGCCGATTGTTGGCTCCACCGTTATTAAAATATACAAAAGATTTGTTTAATAAACATCAGTATTATAAATCTCAGTTTGTTTACATAATTATGCAGAACTGATTGTCTCTGACAATACCTGGATATATGTTTTTTTTGACTCAAGGTTTTTGTAATGTGCTAGTTATTTCACAACCTATTATCGTGGTTCCTCAGGATGCAGTGTGCTTTTATCTTTTTTAACTTTTTTTTTTTTTCTCCCTCTCGCTCTCTATCCTTTAAACAAATCTTCCATTTAACGATGTATAAAAGAAAATGCCCCCAGATATTTTCACGTGTTTCTCCTTTTACACCTGTACAGAGGACCACTTAGGATCTGGTACTACATCAATTGCTTTTGTGTAAGTTATTGCACGTGGTCAAACACATTGCGTAATTAGTGTAATCAAGAATCCCATAATGCAGTGTTATATGTCCCAGTCTTAATGGTGCTACCATCATTTACAACAATGACTGGTTCCAAATGTCAAATTATGGAGACCCAGTAAAGTAATCTTACCTGTGTTAAGTTGGGACTTAATTACTCCATAGGTTTACACATATTGCGGCCATTAGACTATAGTCTATGAACTCTTGCTGCCAGAATAGGTAGGAACAAAAAGTAATGACTACCCATCTGGCAAAGTATGGGGTATGCCGTTACAGGAGGAGCAGATGCTACTATTCTTTTTGTCTGATAAAAGGGGTCTTTTCATTATGCTAAGTAGTCTATTAAAGGCAGTCAGCTTGTACTATGTAGGCCAAAATAGTGAAGTTGGGGGGAAAATGTAAACTTCCCAGGTTTGCTAATTTTAAGTTTTTATTTCCCAACCCATTGCAGGCCTACATTTTGCGAGTGCGTTGTCAAGTGGCAACTTGCTGTTTGTTCAACAGATCCCTTATGGTTTTTTTTTTTTTTTACTTTTTGTTTAATGTTTGTTGCACTTTGAACAAGAGGGGTGTTTAGCTGCATTCTCCATAAAGCGCATTCTCTGCGTTATACTAAAGATAGCACTTCAGCAGTATTTCCCTCTCCTTTTATCACTTGTATGTATGTGTACATTCCCCAATACCTCTTCAAAACCAGAGAATGTGCAATTCTCTGCACTCACAGGCAAATATATATATTACTCTTATTGGGCTATGAGTACACCTCTTAAAAGTTAATGCAAAGCTAGGATTATAACCTGTTGACACTACAGAATCTTCCCCTCCTAAGTTCAAACCAAATAAATTGCCAATGTATCTATAATATATTGAAAATATGTCTTAGTGCAAGTTTTTATTGGTTATTGGGAGGGAGCTAAAAAAATAAAAAATGGTGATATAAATTTCAAAATGCATAGATGTAGTGACTACGTTGCCAGAGGTGTTTATTTTTAGAGAATTCCTTTATAAAGGCCTGAAAGCAGTTTCTGCTGTTGAGTGCAGACACATAAAATGTATTTGAAACCATCTCCTTTGTACTGTTTTGTTTGTTTTACACAATTTACTTCCAGAACACTAATATCCCCTGACTGTAAAAATGATCTGTATTTTAAGATACTGCCTCTGATGGTGATTTTTATATTAAGTAAATGTAAAATATTTAGACTTTAAACTGTATTGTGAGATATATCATTAAACTCTTTAACTAGACTTTGACTTGTGTTTTTGTTTTTTGTTTAAGTTCTTTTTATTTGTTTTTTGGTCAGAAATGACATTGATAAATCGCCAGTTATTAATAACAAGCATTGAATTGTTATACACAGTAAGAATAAACAATCAACGACTAACATAAAAATGCTCTACTGAAACATTATCACAGTTGTTGTCGGTATAAACCCTTATGGATGGATCTATATATTAAGTTAGCACATTTTCTTTCGGAGTGTCAGTTGATATACATCGACTATATATAGTCGATGTAACTTAGGTGACTAGCAATTCACCTTTGAGACTGAGAGGGGTAATTTTCTGAACCCCCACATACGTATTAACCCTTAATATGGCACACTTGGGTTGTGCAGCAGCACGGTAACATAGCTATACAATACAAAAGCAAATACAACCACACAAAATGAAGTTCTGCACTCAAACTTCCACTACTCCTGGGTGTCGCCATAATAGTCACCAGAACCACTACAGATTAATGTAGGGCTTCTAGTGTCCTGGGTAGCAGCAATGGCTACAGCATACATCATCCTAAATACATAACACATAGAACTATTGCTTAAAACATCATTGAGGATGTTTCTAATCTGTATCTTTGACATTAGTCAAAAATCTCCTCAAATCTATTTAAGAAAGTCCAGGGTTCTGTACCAATTTGAGAGCCATTTATAACTGTTCTTAAAACTATAAATTAGACTGTACGCTCCTTTGAGCAGGGTCCTCTTCAACCTATCGTTCCTGTAAGTTTTCTTGTAATTGTCCTATTTATAGTTAAATCCCCCCTCTCATAATATTGTAAAGCGCTACGGAATCTGTTGCCGCTATATAAATGGCAATAATAATAATTGAATTCTAGTGTGTAAGTATAAATATTTTTGTTGCAAACTATTGTACTTCCCTATGCAGGGACAAGTAATCTGAAATAAATAAAATGTTTTAAATTTGCTCCTCCCACTCACCCTATATAGTTAGCCACTAGCCCAGTTGTTCTTGTCCCAGCACAAGACGGACAGGTAGATATTAAAATGTCTAATCCTGCATCTCCTGATGAAAAAGGTAGGATGCCGATGCCTACTTCGAAGAAAACTACCAAGGCAAAGCACGTATGCTGCAGTAAATGCTCCACTTCCAGATGGATCTAAGAGAAAGAGTTGTAACTTATGTTCTGCTGAGTCTCTTGAGAAATCCAAACAGAAGGACATGCAGTATTTTCTTTCATGGTTTCTTGGAGTTCTCTAAAACTTCTAGTGCGTCATCTAGTGTGGATATGGGATTTCTACTTGACGAACTAAGGTGGTTTATGAAGGAAGTGGTTTTGAGTGAAGATTTATCCTCTAAATCTAAGGAAAAGGGTTTTCCTGTTCAGAAAAAAAAATAAAAACTTCTCATACCTTTTTAAGCTTCAAGGTGAAGAAAAGTAGGAGGATCAACCTAAAGCAGACATACAGGTAGCACAGCTTTCAAAAAAGTCAACTATTCCAATTGGTGAAGTATCCGGTCTTAAAGACCATATGGACAAACAGGCAGAAACATCTTGTGGAAGAACGTTTGTCAGCTGGTTTTAGTGTAATGCAGCATTAGCAGGGGCATCTGTTGCTAAAGTTCAAAGTTTTGGATACAATCCTTGGAGGATTGTCTGGTGGATGGCACCGACAAGGATTTATCCCACATCATGAATAATTTGAAATTATCAAATGAATATCTGATGGATATGTCAGAAGAAATTCTTAAATTAGCTGCAGGTATCATGGTTTTATCCTCTGTGGCCAGGAGGGGTTTATAGTTAATATCTTGGATGGCTGACACTGCTTCCAAATCGGCGCTGTGTGAATTACCTTTTAGAAAGAACAAAACCATTTGAAGAAATTATCAGGAAAGGTCTGAAACTAAATAGGCTCTTCCACAAGATAACAAATTCTCTTGGAAACCTGGTTATAAGAATTTCCAGTTTCGCACATGTAAGAATTATTGGTATCAAGACCGATTCAGAAAATTTTAGAGATACCAGAAGGATACAAGATGTGATGGCAAGCAGAGCGGTCGACAAGATAAAGAGGAGGTTCTGACATCAGAAGAGTGGGAGGTTAGGCTGGAATACTTTTATCAGGCTTTGTAGCAGACCACCAAAAAAATCTGTGTGCATAAGGTTACAGGGTCAAACTCACAGAAAAGAAGAATATTGTAATATCTTTCTACCCAGCAAAAGAAAAAACAGAAGCACTTCTGGCAGAAGCAATATCTCTACTCAGAAAATTAGTCCTAGAGAAAGTTTGGAAGAAGGCAGACTTAACGGCGATGCATATCCTGCAAAAAGGGGACTTCATGGCTACATTGGACCTCAGGGACATGTATTTGCATGTTCCTATGGCACTAACGTAAAGAAGGTTCCCAAGAATCACAATAAAAGTAGGAAGAAACACCCACCATTTTCAGGTCAAAGCTTTGCCCTTCGGTTTAACCTATGCACCCAGATCCTCATCCTCATTCTTATTACTGTAGCATTAAGGGAAAAAGGAATAGCCGCCATCCCTTATCTGGATGACTGGCTACTAAAAGCCAAGTCAAAAGAGCTCCTAAAGGAATATGTTCAGACCACAATTCCTGGAACATCACGGTTGGATTATCAATAGGAAAGAAATTGCATCTAAATTCTTCAATTAAATTTATTTCCTAGGTTTTATTATACATTTAAAAACTCTCTTAACATCTGACTCATGAGAAAAAGATAAAGGAAGTATTCTTTTTACGAGAGCAGATTTGTTCAATCAGGAGGGCTAGGAGTGTCTTAATATCCTCCCTCGTAGCAGTGATTTGGTCAAGAGCAGCCATGACACCTACAATGGGAGATTCTAGGAAAGTAGTTGAAAAGAGATCTCGACATGGAAATTCTACTTTCTTCTCAGGCCAGAAGTTAGGTCGTATGGTGGAAAGAATTGAGCTTCTTTTATTACGATGTCGGTCTTTCAAGCAAAAAGATTGGCTACTTTTAACTACAGACTCCTCTCAGCTAGATTGCTCTTTTAGAAAGTAACATCTAAAATATATTTAAGAATTTGGAGTAGATTCCTTCATTGGTTTCATGACCATAACTGCCTGAAAGTTTCACCATCTATAGACACCATTATCCATTTTCTACAGGATGACTTTATACCATTGCCAGGTGGCTTACAGAGACCGTCATGTTATTATACAAGTACAGTGATTTTCAATCTCCTGTCTCTATTAAAGCTCATTCTACTAGAGCTATGGCCACATCGTGGGCTGAACATTCTGGTGCTTCTGTGGAAGACAACCGCCAAGCTGCTATATGGTCAACTTTTATACACATTTATAAAGCACTGCAGGATAGACATCTTCTCATCCTCAGAGGCTACTTTTGGGCAAAAGGTCCTCCAAGCCATGAATTCTTACCCTTTTTTTTTTTTTTGCATGGTTGTGATCTTGATATATCCTATTTGTGTACTGCCACCATATGCTAGGAAAAACAGAAATTTTTACTTACCGTAAATAATTTTTTCCTTAATAAGGTGGCAGTACAATATCCATCTTTTTTTTTTTGTATAATAAACAATTGTTTGGCATTGATTGGAGTCTGTTTTATTTATTGGTATTAACTGGGCTAGTGGCTTACTTGTTGGGCTATATAGCATGAGTGGGAGAACCAAATTTAAAGCGGCACTGTCATGCTGAACTTACCTTTCCCCAATCGATTCCTCTTCTCTCCCTCTTTCAGGATCTGTTCTTCATTTCTTCCTACCCGCTCTAGTTTTCATTAAAACTTAAGAAAAAGTAGGGACTATTTCTCTTATGGAGGTTTCCTACGCCATGACCAGGGGAGGAGCAAAGTGTGCTTAGTTTCCGGTGGTCACAGCAATTTTCCCACTATCCTTACCTTTCCTCCCTGTTCCCACGATGCTTCCTGTCACTTAGACAGGACGCCGGCAAAACTGTAGAATTGCGTTCTAACAGTTTCTCCATTCGTGTTAGAACGCAATTCGTGACTGTTCGTATCGGAATTTCATTCGAATGAATGAAACTCCGATCCTATTCATTGCCGCGGCTGCATCATGCAGCCACTTAGTAGATAACTCCCTAATTCCCACGGTATCAGGGAGTTATCTACTAAAAGGCTGAAAGACCTAAATTGGTCTTTTAGCCACACTTACTAATACTAAAAATTAATTAGTATTAGCAAATTCAGCCCCTACTCGCTATACCGCAAGTAGGGGCATGTCTAGTAAGCAGTGAGCAGCCTGTGCCTGCTCACTGTAAAAAAACAAAACAAAAAACCCTCCTGTCTCTCCCCCCTCAACCCCCACCCTTGAGCGGTGGGTGGGGGCCATAAAGATAATGAGGGGGACCTACTGTTCTCCCACCCCTGGGCGGTAGGTGGGGGCCATAAAGATAAGGCGGGGGGACCTATTCTTCTCCCCCGGCCCCCACCCCTGCGAGGTGGGTGGGGCCATAAATTACAATGTGGGGACCTACTGTCCTCCCCTGGGCGGCGGGTGGCCATAAAGAAAATGAGGGGACCTACTGTCCTCCCCACCCTGGCCCCAACCCTTGAGCGGTGGGGGCCATAAAGATAATGTATTAGGGTCCCCCTTGCCCATTATCTTTATGGCCCCCAGCCGCCGCCCAGGGGTGCGGGCTGGGGAGGGAGGACCGTAGGTTCCCCCCCTTCTTATTATCTTTATGGCCCCCACCCACCGCTCAAGGGTGGGGGCCAGAAGGGAGGACAGTAGGTCACCCCATTGTAATTTATGGCCCCCACCCACCGAGCAGGGGTGGAGGCCGGGGGGTGGACAGTAAGTCCCCCCCCCTCCATTATCTTTATGGCCCCTACCCGCCGCCCAGGGGTGGAGGCCGGGGGGGGGAGGACAGTAGGTCCCCCCGCTTATTGTTATTTAGGGCCCCCACCCGCCGCGCAGGGGTGGGGGCCGAATAGTAGGGTTTTTTTTATTTTTTTAATTTTTTTAACAGTGAGCAGCCACAGGCGGTATAACGAGTAGGGGCATTCGGGAGATTTGAATCTCCTTTATGCTATTATGGGGTTCATATTGACCCCCATAAAGTGAGGGAGGACATGGGGGGGCTTAGGAAGTGGCGGGGAGCACTGCTCCCTGCCGCTTCTATAGTTACATATTACAAGGAGGGAGCTGCGAGCTGGTTGCTCCCTCCTTGTAATAAACTGAACGAACAAATGAACACTGATATTCAGTGTTTGTTTGTTCATCTGACAATTCTATTCATTCATTCATCTTTCTGACGAATGAATGAATAGATGAACTTCCCGTTTGCATGCCCAAGTGTTTCACTGGGCATGTGCGGGAATCTCACAGCGCTATCTAGTGTGGACAGATGACGTGTCCCACAGGGACTTCATCTACCCACACAAAGATGGCGGCGCCCTGAATATAGATTGGGGCAGAAAATAAAGATTAATAATAGGCAATATGGGGAGCTTAGGGGCATTTAGGGGTGACTAACGGGTCAATTAGATGAAGTGGAGTAGGGAGGGGGGTTAAAAAAAAAAAAAAAAAAGGGATTCGGCCATGACAGTGCGGCATTAAAACTTTTTATATCTTTCAGACTACTTGTCCCCAGCAAAGAGAAGTACAAGCCATTTGTGTACTGCCACCATATTAACGAATAAAAAAAAAATACCTCAGAATAAGGCTTGACAAATCTGCTTTCAATCCAAGAGGGGCACTGTAGTCACCAAAACAACTGCAGTTTATTGTATTTGTTCTGGTGACTGTATACTTTCCCTTCAGACCTTTTGTAGTAAACTATGTTGTTTTTTTTCAGAAAAAAGGCAGTGTTTACATTACAGTCTAGGAATACATTCAGTTGCCACTTCTCAGATGGCTACTAGAGGTGCTTCCTGGGGCAGTGCTGCAAAGTGTGCATTACTGACAGTCAGTGTCTCCACCCTCTCCATGCAGTCACTGAACTTTCCTCATAGAGATGCATTGATTGAATGCATGTAAATGAGGAAATGCAGATTGGCCAGGGCTGTGTTTGGTTTGTACTGGGGCTGCCCCTGATGTGCCTCGTTGGCAATCTCATATGGAAAAGCAATGTGATTGACTCAGACTACCACTTCTGAAAATGTCAACCAAGCAGGCAGATAAGGGGCAGAGCCAGCAGCACCCAACTGGAATACTATTGGGGGAGGGAGGCTATATTTTGTTTTTAACATTATAGGGTTTGGAATACATGTTTGTGTCACTGACCTTGTAGTGTTCCTTTAATGTGTTCCGATGGCTATAGCTTCTAATGTAGACACTGTCTATTTAGAAAAAAATGCTGCTTGGTAACACCTGTAGTGATAGTCACTCAGACAGCCACTAAATTGTGGCAGCACCTACATGCAGTGTCTCTACGCTCTGCATGTAGGTGCTGAACGGTCCCCAATAGAGATGCTCCCTATGAGGAGATCCTGACTGATGCAACATTTTGATATACACTGCCCCAACCATCTCGTCATAACAGGACACTGTTTCCCAAATACTCGTCAATATCAATACTTTGTTTTTTGGAAAGATTTCAATTTTTAACAATAATAGTTATTGTAAAACAATGAAATCTATAGAAATGAACACTGAATAAAAATAAAAATACAAATAAATCAAACAAACAAAAAGAAATGTGGGGAAAACATCCATCCATTGTAAAACGGACAACATATGGATTATGAAAAACAGTACATAGTGTCAAGTAAGTTGTAACAAAGTATCACAAATCAGAAAAGCACTTTACATGCGTTGGTGGTAAATAGTATACTTTGCACATATGAACAGAACAAGAGAGTCCCGTACGCTACAAAAAGATTCCCAAATACTATTAAAATCTGTACTTTTTGTAAAATTGAAAAAAGGAGACACATTATTCACACGTAATGCACATCAGCAAGCTAAAGTGCGTTCAGGGTCTAGAGTGTCCCTTTTATCACAAAATAGAGGAATATTACCAAGGACACCAAGCGTTATAAACAATTGAATAAAACTATACTTTAATCACTTTAATGTATAGGTATTTAATGTATTGGATTGGTTTTAACACATTAACACACTCCCTTTTTAAGACCATGTAAAACAGCAGTTTTTGAGAAATGGCCATGTGTACATTTGTCTAAATCCGCACCTTTAGTGGGTGTCGAAAAATAACTCCAGGCCCATTTTCCTTAAGATTTTCCATTTTTGGAGGTTTTCACATCTGGTGTCATCATTTACAGCATCATGAGAAACATCAGATTGGCTGAGCAAGGCGATTACTGAGCATATACCATACGTCCCTGATCCCTTGGACTGGACGGAGATCATCAGTCCTCAGAAGGCAGAGCAGCTGTTGCAAGAAGACTATCTCAGCCCTTTTAATAAAAAAAAAATATATATATATATTTACAGAGGGCCCAGTAATCTGTATAGAGCGAGGAAAACTAATGTTAAATATATTTGATGATGATGAAGATGCAAATGGGTGCAATACTTCATGCACTGGATTATTGATTCTGCATGAGAAGCATTAGGTGTTCAGAGCGTGGTGATTGCTGAACATGCACCCTATGTTCCCAATACTTCTCTGTAAAAAACATTGGATAGGAATAAAACCCTCAGTATCAGAGGCCAAATAACTAAACTGAGGAGACAGTCTTTATAGTGTGTGTGTGTATTGGAATACCCCACAAACATCCAAGGATATAGATCTACAGGTCAATACAGTAATACTCTGCCTTACTACATATCCTTATTGTTTACAATTCCTACGACTAGTTCAACACTTTATATTATGTAGTGCTTTTTAGAAAAGGCCAAGGTTTTGAGACATAATTAACCAGATTATGAGAACCATTGAAAACATGCTAATAGTCACAGCCAACCATTTACAGTGTGATTCTGCCATCTAGTGATAAGCTTTTAAAGGACACTGTACTCCACTGAAATTACCCACTTTACCCATGTTAGTATTTACTCCAATGAACAAATTAAATCAGATTATCACTAGGAAGATAATACACTAATCTGATATTTTCTTCTCTATTTTTTATTCAGATTTTTTTGGAGGGGGGAGAGGGAGACCTGAAAAAATGGTAGATACATTTAAAAAAAATTTTCACTGAAGCATGTATTCCTACAATTGGACAAGTTATAGTGAACCGAATTCAAAACACCAAAATGTTGGCAAAAAAAGGGATCAAAATGTAAGCCTGATTTGGCTTTTACGTCAGTTCCATTCAGGGTTTTTGTGATTAAAAACAATCTACCATCCTTTTAAGTTTACAAAAAATCTAATGAACTGCAGCCCATTCAAATCTATCTGAAATTGTCTTGAGGCATTTCTCATATATTTTTTTTTTTTTTACATTTTTTACATTTCTTTTTGTTGTGCACAAAATTAACAAACAGCCTTGGTACGCCACAACAGCGATATCAAGGTATATAGAAGTTCAGTATGCGCTACAAGTTGTGACATTTGCTAGTCAGGCACATTTTTGTTTTAGTAGAAGCAAGGTTTAACAGTTAGATTTTTCTTTTTGTTTTAGTAGAGCTAGCAGGGCATACATGTCAAGTTACTTATCTAAAGGCATAATATAAGAGTTAATCCTGACCCGTATGAGAGGGTTGAGACATATATATTAACTGGCAGGTTCAGACATGTTTTAGTCTATATATGTAGAATAAAAGTATGGTGTGGAACTGGCTAGGCATACCTGTCCAGAATCTATATGAAACTTTGAAGCAGAATAGACTCTCTAGACAGGAAAAGTGCTGTCCACGGAATAATACATTGGATTAACATGCTAGGCAAACTAATGAAAAACAAACAATAACTGGAGCACATTAAATTTAAGCAGATCATGTGGACCGCAGTGACAGGTGAAATGTGGTTGGGCAGTATCATGCTATACAGGGCTTAAGGGATTTTGTTCGGGATAATAGGCAGTGTGTCTGCAAATACGTTTGACCAGCATCTCAAGCGGTTGCACATTGAATGTAAGCAATAATCTAAATAGGTTGGCCCATCCCGTCTCCGCTGAAAACTATTCTGTTTTGTTATTATGCCTAGTGGCTAGTCTCTGCCACCTCACTACCGCTCCTTGCACATTGAAAAATAAAAATAAAAGACCCATGAACATAGCATACACACGAATAGAAGCAATAGGGGTTTAAATCAAATGAGATGGCGGTTATCTAAATCTTAAGAAGCTCAGATATTAGGCAGCAGGCCTATTGTTATGAGAGAGTCACCAGTCAGCCGATTCGCAGGATCGGAAAGTGCCAGGAGCGTGCTGAGGGATTGTAAAGTGTCTCCGGCAGGAGTGATTGCACAGATTGGTATCCCGTTCCGCTGTTGCCTGCCATGGGTGTCCCGCGTTTCTGCATCTCGGCCAGGCCGTGTGGCTTCCTGTGCCCATGTGCTGCTAGAAGGGGCTAGTCTTGGTAAGGCAGCCTCTTGGATAGAAGGTTGCTTGGCTGTTGTGAGGCAAGTGGTTGTGTTCTGTCCTCTATCTCTCGCCAGAAATTGGCAAGCTGTGCGTCCAGCTTTTGTGAGAATCCATGGTTTGAGTCAGTGGGACCGGGGAGGCATGTGGCATCCGCCATAATGGGTGTCACGCTGGGTTGTAGGCATATTGAAGTGGCTTCGCCTTGCGCACCCACTGATCCAGATTTGCCGCTCTGGGTTGGATCGCGATCACCTCCGACGGTCCAGGGGGGAAGTAAGGGGGCTTTTGCTTGTTTTGCATTGTCACCATTTTGCGCCAGAATGGGAGATCGGCCGCCTCTCCTGGCTGACACACGCTAGGCCTCATGCTGTGAGGAGTGCGGCCAACAGGCTCCAGGTGGGTCACAGACCGCAGCATCGGTGTCCAACCCAATCGTGGGTCAGGTAGGTCGAGTTTTGTCGCCAGTTGCAGGCTTTGTGTGGCTAGATGTGCCATTAATCGCCCTGGTTTCTGAGGAGTTCTGCTAAAGTACGTCTGTCCTCCACGCTAGTCAGGCCCTGCCCCCAGGCATTTCTCATATTTGACTTAAATTGTAATGATAAGTCAACCTTCTGGGATACAAAAAAAGAGGAATAAAAAAACAAACAAACAAAAAAACGTGTTTATTTAATTTAATAATAATTATGGGTTTCCGCTGATCTATTAATGGGATCTGTCATACCACTACGCAGAGCTGGAGGGGGAGGCGCTTTCTGCTGGGATAGTCCGTGCAGTTTCCTTATGGAGCCGCACTGTCATATCCCGGGAATCTATTTGTTTTGTTTTTAGTGAAATAGAGAGTTCTCGCTCTGAAAATAAATAAATAGATTTCCCGGATATTAAGTAGATTCTGCAGGTATCTGGGAGCTGCATATAAAATGCAGGAGACTCCCAGAAATGTCTGGGAGAGTTGGGATATCTGTTATAGCTCTTTGCACATTTGTAGGTCCTTATATGTGGTCTCTCCTTTTTTGGATTAATTGTTTATCAAGAAGTGCCAAAACAAGCACAAAATGCATCAGAATTGATTCAGCACTTCCTGTATGCCCCAGCCGTGAAGTAAATTTACTTTAACTCCTTCAAGGAAGTAATCGTGTATGCATGATTGCCAGGGTCTGCATCCATACCCAGCAATCATCAATAACCTATTTTATAACCAAATTTGTTCATTATAAAGTAATTTTGTTTGCAATGGCTGTACTGATAGCATAACAGGCACTACTTTTCAAAAGCCATCTCTACCCACAGCCACATGGACTACTCATCTCCTTGCACAGCCTTACGCTGCTTACTTAGCAGGCTGCCACTCTGGCTTTTGCAGCTCTTTGAAAATGCACCCTTCAGGCCAGAGAATGGAAGGAGGCAATCTGAGAGGTCTGCTGCAAGCCAGACTTGCAGATCCAGCTGACAGCCCACCGGACCACCAGGGAAACTCATTCACCAGTGAATGAAGATTAGAGTCCTCACCTCACTGCAAAAAGATTAGCAGGAGGGGGCTCAGCTAATAAATAATAATAAACAAAAATGAGTAGTAATGTGTGGTGGGGAGGCTGGACAAGGAAATACAGTCTCCGCATACACAATCTGCCCCCACCCTCACACACAGTCACCATGTCACAGTTGCTGACACCCACACACAGTTACCCTCATACACAGGCTCCACCCCACGGATAGTAACCCTCTTACTCACACCCCATGCACACAACACAGCCCCACCATAAACACAACACACACAGGAAGACCACACTAGCATCCATAAGGTGCATACAAGACAATCACCACGATCTGCCATACTCAAAAAGCACTGGATGCACACAGCGTCTGGAATCAGCATACCTACACCGGAAAGCAATATCTAAGCATCCAAATCACTTCATTTGGTGATTTTGGTACTTAGCGTGTGACTTTAACATGGTTATTCGCTAAGTTTTGAATATTTTGTCTCATAATTTACCTCTCTAGAGTTCATAATTTAAAGAATAAACAATAAAATCTAACAGGGGAGTTTACAAGACTGTTAAGTGTAATAAATTAAAATTTGAATTGTAAATTTTAGTCTAAAATAGAGTTGCAGAGTTATTCCAGCTCAGTAATATGTTTGCCAAATTTCTGCTGCTACAGTTACCTTAGGGTTATTTTCTATTGTTGTGAATTGAAAGTGACTTTCAAATTTCAGGGCAATATAGCTCAACTAAAAATAGCTGAATTGGGAGAATTTTTCCCATTCGTCTATTTTGGCCTAGAATTTAAATTCATTGCTCTGTTCCTGATAACTCATGATGTCCTGCTGACTCTGTAAAACAGGGATGGGGAACATTCGGCCCTCCAGATGTTTTGGACTACATCTCCCTTGATGCTTTGCCAGCATTAAGGGGGAGATGTAGTCCAAAACATGGTTAATCGGACCCCTGCTGTAAAAAGCCACACCACCTCCTATAGAGTAAACGTGTATTTTCTATAAGATTTGTGTAACTCCACATGCAGTATATTCAAAAATAAAAGAGAAATAGGATTAGCAGCAACTTGCATATGTAAGCTCGTTTTGAGCAGGGTCCTCCTTAACCTATTTATCTTGTAACATTTCGTTATTGTCTCATTTATTGTTAAATGTACTCCATTTATGATATTGTAAAGCACGGTGCAATAAGTTAGTGATATATAAATAGCAATACAAATAATAAAACAAATGTAACTAAAGACATGAAAGTCTATACACTGAACAAGGTGCTCTATGCACAGTCCTGACATGGGAACCTTCCTTCTGTAGCTCAGGTTCCCACCCGGAACACTAAGAGCGATGTACCGCTCCGGGCTGTCCCAGGCTTTGCCTGTGTCTTTTAGTCCCATAGGTGGTTTTGGCGCTGCCTGACTCTATGAGCCATTCCCATCGCCCCATTTATCGGATTGATCTGGGTAACTAGGGGCTTTCTGGGGTGTGCCTCGCTCCCCGCCGCGGGGGGAGTCAGTGCGGCCCCCAGGAAGGGGCCCTGGTTACTGTGTTGCTGAGTAGGCCTGATTCGGAGCCATGAACCTGGAGCTGCTCGGTAAGCGATACAACGGGCTCTATAAATAATAATATTAATAATAATAATAATATCCATTATCGCGGGGACTGCTCTGAGGAATTAAAGTTAAACACTGAATATCATATCGTCTGCAGTCATTACTTTGTATTTCTGGTCATATTAGAATTATACCTACTGAAAATTATCCCAACTGAAGCTTTCATTAAATAACCAGCAGCTTACTTGCTCTTTTAGGCATTCAAGCTGAATTTTAGCCCAAAATAGCCGAACTCAAACCCTTGCTCTTGACTTGGGGAATGTTTTGTCATTCGTCTTTTCTGGCCTGAAAAGGTGAATTTACCATAAAATGCACAGGATAATTGCTGTAAATCAAAGTCAGTAAATAAAAACACTTTAAGCATGTTAATCTAGTTTAAAAAATACAGTGTGTCACTCCACATCACTAAAGTACATACCATACATAGAATAGTTGCACTTTTATGGAGAGTTTTTACTTTCCCACTTGCTAATGTTTATGTATGTAATGTTAAGCTGTGGATGAGTAAAATAAGGTGTTTATCTACTAAATTATTAATGCTAGTTTGCTGAAATCAGAATGTCAAATTGATACCAAAATAGCTGATCTGTAAAAAAAAAAAAAAAATTTCAAACCAACTTTGCAAATTAAATAATCTCCGTCCAGTGGTCCTGTATGTTTAACCCTTCAAAGGAAGACAATGCCATTTTCCAGAAAGGTCAATGTTTACCTTGAAAGGTTAAACATGACTCTAATGGCTGTCATATTGACAGCCACTAGAAGCGCTTCTGCTGCACTGACCGCATAAAACTCCGTTACAGGAAAGCATTGGATTCAATGCTTTGCTGTCGGACGCATGGGATGCGTATTCTCAATGCTTCTCTAGGAGGAGTGTTGGATTGGACCATTGATGCAGGTAGCAACGCCACTTCGCTGGTAGTGGAGAGGCCAACAGCGATGCGGGAATCTTTGCGCTGGAAAAAGGTAAGTAGAAAATCTTTTTTTTTTTTTTATTTATTTATTTATTTTTTACAATTTTTATGGAAAATGGGGTGGGGGTTGCTACATTTTGGAGTTCAGTGAATAACTGTGGTAGTAATTTAATTTTGGTTTGGAAGGATTTACAGATTTTTGTTTTTTATGTTATCTTATGTTGTATCTTAACTTTCTCTTTCAGAATCCTTTGGGCAGAACTATCCAGAGGTACGTTTGGTAGCTGCACAGCAAGTCTTGTGGTGTTCTATTGGTTTGAGTGGGTGATTTGGGGACTGTGGTGGCAAGCAAATTTTAGAACAAATACAACTTAGATCACTGTAAGCCCAGTGCTGGTATTTACAAACTATTTTCAGTGTGCATTGTCAATGTGTCATTGATAGTATAGATCACTTTGAAAAAGGTTTCCTCAAATACATCTGTGGTGACCTTCCTTGATATCCGTGCAAAATAATGCAGTAACCGTCTCTACATGTGTTGTTTGTTTCGTTTTTTTAATTTATGTTTTAATAGAAATACAACACAAAACAAAAAGATTGCATAGTAAAAACAAATGAAAAATGTAAATAAAATTGCTGCTATCTAGGACTAATACAACTTCATGACCAACAGTGCATTATGTTTTTTTATGCTAATAAATGTACTCTTATGTCTGTGTGTTTTGTAGGAGGCAGATGGCACCTTGGATTGCATTAGCATGGCCCTCACCTGCACCTTTAACAGGTGGGGGACCTTGCTGGCTGTGGGCTGTAATGATGGACGGATAGTAATTTGGGATTTTTTAACAAGAGGCATTGCAAAGATTATTAGTGCACATATTCATCCTGTATGCTCTCTTTGGTGAGTGATACCTTCCGAGTACTGACAAGATAGCTTATATTTCATTTTTAATTGTAGTGTAACTGTAATTATAACTGATTTAATGTTTGTTTGTTTTTTTAAATTATTGAAAGCTACAAAAAATTTACAACAGTCGTATAGATGCATGTAACTCAAATTTGCATATTATGTCCTAATGTGAGGTTGCACATTTTTATTTCTTCAACCTTTTAACAGCAAACTCTTATGATCAACCTTTCTTAGAAAAGTGATTTTGTGTTTTTCTTTGTGTATTGCACATATTGTGCTATATGTATGTGAGTGCATTTTTTTTTAAATGTTATCATTGTGTGGTTTCTGAATAAAATTATTGTTCCATGATTTTTGTTCTTTGTTTTTCTCTCCCTCACATGTGCCCTTTTTGAAACATTTTTGGGTATGATTTAATTTAGCTGGAATTTTCCACCATCTGTTATTGTGTGTTACTCTTTTAGGGATTCTGTTTGGCAGTTTCCCTGGGAGTGGCTGAATTTATCCAGGGCTTTACTTTTTTTCTCTTCCTATTCCAACACAGCTGTCACCTTTTTGGGGGGGTTTAAAATGTTTCCAGCACCGAGACTTCCTTGGGGCTGTTGCTGCCTGCTTTGCCTCCTGTGACATTGTTGCAGGTGTCATGCTCTCCGCATCTGTCAAATACAATTTTCCTCATAGAGTACATGAAGGTGTTGGGGATGTGATGTGCATACACAACCTTCCAATAAGCTGCAATTGGTCACATGATTAAGTTCCACTCGGTCATTATAGAGGAAACCTCTTTGGCGGGTGTTTAAACCACCAATGTATACATTTCACTTACTTCAAAACTTAATTGTTTTGCACTGTAGCGTTAAAACTATAAGGACTATAATGCACTATATAAGGACTATAATGCACCTGACCACTAAATTGAGCTGACGTGATCTGGGTGCATTTAGTGGACATTTAAAATGTTGTAATTGCTTGTGGGATGAAGCAAAGCTTATTTTGTTTGTCTTAAATAGGTAGTATTTCTTGCAGCAAAGTGGATTTTTTTTTTTTCTTTAAACTAATTTTACACAATTATTGTTGAACAGTTAGAATTCTTTTATTTTTAATTGTCAGCTGTGAATTACAGCAACATATTGTACAGTTCTTTTTTATTTTTTTTATTTTCTTCTCTACTGTTTCTTCATTCTTATGTTGTATATTCTAGCAAATGCCTCTTCTGCCTTTTCTCTAATCAACAAGTTTATCTTCATTATTATGCCATATGTCTTCTCTATGTTGTCTTATTACCTAAACTCTAGAATTTGCTAATAACTGTTTACCTTACAGCTGGAGCAGAGATGGGCACAAACTCGTAAGTGCCTCTACAGATAACATGGTATCATTGTGGGATGTCCTGAGTGGAGACTGCGATCAACGATTCCGATTTCCTTCCCCCATCCTTAAAGTTCAGTTCCATCCTCGAGACCAGTAAGTCAAAATGAGTTAACAAAGCAGGCACCACAAGTTAATAAGTATTTATTATCTTATGGGAAAAAGCCGCCTTTTTTGCCATCTCTAAAATTATATTTGCAGTGAAGGAGAGAGACTCATGGGTTATCTGGGTTGTACAATAATTTATTGTGGCTGTAAAACACAGAAATTAGACCTGCACTGAAACTCAACAGTCTTTTGGTGGCTGCAGTGCCTAAATTGTTTAGTATACATATATAAACAAAACCAAAATGTTATCTGTGTGTTATAAAAATCACAATGTACATTTTAAAAATGTTTTTAGTACCATTACCGTTAAAGTATAAGCTCATTTGCTAATTGTAACGGATCGACGGGCACCCCGACTGGGTACCTCCATTGAGGGATGCTCCTAGCGCTTCCTGAGGACTCCAAGCACTGCAGCAGACACCACAACCACCGTAGACTCCTCCAGAGATCAAAACAGGAACAAGCTCTTACAAGAGCTTAGCAGTGATTATAGCAAGAGAGTATGCAGTGCATAGCAATCCCTTGTAGCAGATTCCCCCAATAAGAGACTGCACTCCAAATTGAGGGTGAAGTAGAACTGACAGAGCTGTGGGTTTATTGTTCTTATATACACATTCTTACACGTTAGTACCACCCACAGGGTTTTGTAAAACAACCAATAAACACGTACAATACACTCAGACACTCCCACACAAAATCCTCCCCTCTGCCTGTGATACAATTACCTTACACAATGGGTTAATATAATTATCACAGGCAGGAAAATACAGTTTTACACAATATTCATAACTTTAAAAGTATGCATCACATTCACATACAATTTCAGAATCCGCATACTCCAAATACCAACATATGTCAAAATCATACAAATTGGTCCCGTGGGTCAAAAGTTAGATCGACGTCCTTTGTGACCAAAATGAAGCCTGGCTTTTCTGCCCAAAGCCAGTTCCACAGAGTCTTCTATCCTGGAGATAATTGGAAAGTAATCAAATTATCTCCAAGGACAGAGGCAAACGCCAATAAAATATATAAAAATATATAACTGTGCAGCTATTGCATAAAACAGGTGCATTCAACATATCCCCAGATAGCTTAGATCTGAGCGCACATTATTACTGAATGACGCTCAGATCACATACATACAGTTCAATTGCCATGGAGCCAAATACTTTCACATAGTCTTTCGTTATACGAATGGGCTCCAATTCCATAGCTATCTGGGGTATCACTGTTCAAATAGGGAAAGTACCAAATGACCCGGCTTTCGGGTCTTTGCAGGGGAAAATCAAGCATTTCAACATGGGGCCATAGTCACAGGGCAGGAGGCTGGCAATCAGTCTTCTCCAATGCCCAGTGGCAAGGCTGGTTTTGCCACACTAATGTCTAGCTTAACCTTTTTGGTGAGCCCTAAAATATGCTAAAATATCACCTTTCTGCTTTCAGCTTCAATGCAAATTCTCTAATGAAACAGAGTGAATACCTTTGTGAATCTCTACAAACTAATCATAGATAGGAAATGTACATTTAAAGGGAGACTGTCACTTCCCAGGATTTTTTTGTATTCCATTTACTTCGGTACTAAGTCTATATGTAACTGACTTATGGTTTTGTGAGGTCTGAAAATAAAATTAAATGTATAAATCCACACTGCTCTATCCTGGTACTGAGTGCCCTCCGCTTGGTAACTTGTCGATCATTGTTATCTGCTTTATCCTCTCTACCAGGTAGGCAGCATGCCAGGGGGTAGAGCGTGATCCAATTCATAAAGGTTTTTTTTTTTTTTTTTACTAAAGTGAAAAATATTGGGAATTTAGAGTGAATTTAAAATTTATAGGCAAATTAGGCATACTGGAAGCAGTGTTAATTTTGGCGGCACATTTTAATTTACTTTTAGTCATAGTCTTTTGACTAAAAAGCTATTTTAGTCATCTGAATTGGTTTAGTTTTACTCAACTAAATCTCCAGTAAGTTTTAGTTGACACAACTAAAATCTAATGGGTTTAAGAAAGCCTCTGTCTCTTTTGCCCCTCTGTGTCTCTTTGCATTCTCCCAGCACCCCATGTGTCTTATTTCTTCTCCTTCCTCCCTCATTTGTCTTACTCACCAGTGTTAATTGTGGTGGCAAATTTAAAAGAAAAAAATAAAGTTGTCTTTAGTCTTTTGACTAAAAAGCTGTTTTACTCATCCTAATTGTTTTAATTTTAGTCTAGTTTTAGTAGACAAAAATCTGACTAAAATTGTTAGTTGACAAAATTAACACTGAGTGGAAGCATAGATAACTTGGAGAATTTTTTTAAAATTTAGCTAATTTGGTCGTAAAATCCAAATTCACTTTGACTTCCCAACAATTCTAGTGAATAAATAAGCCTGTTTGTCTGACCTGTCAGTGCCTGGACTGAATTGCAATGTCAGTTTGCTAAATTTTTTAATGTACATTTAAAAGAAAATGGAGCTTCATGTAAAAACAATGGTTAACACAATTTGTCTCGGATTTTCATTGTTTTATTTAATGGTGTGATTTCCGTAGAAATAATGGTTTCTCTTTAGGTAGCAGAAACTTGAAGTATTGCTGCAATGACAGGGGCTTATGGGATAAAATCAGATCATGAAAATAATTCAGTGGCTCCTGATTGGTAGACCTCTTCCTGGTGAGGAAGGAGTCTGTCTGCTATTTAACAATTTTAAGATCAAAATAGTAAAACTGTAAAAATTCTCTAAGCTGTTACTGATGACTGCTACAGGAATTGACTCTGTAACTTCGCCATAAGTCAAAGAAAGTCAGTCCCTACTTTGTCACTGTATGACTCTTGACTGGGTTGGAATTTTAGTGACAGTGCTGCTTTAACGTTGAAAGTCCCTATGAATTCTCAGTTTAGTAAATCACCCGGATGCTGTTTAGTTGTTGGTAGGATTGTGAACTTTGAAGAGGCAACTTTTTATTTTTTAAATAATTTCAATGCATTCTCTTTATAATGCCTTTAAACAAGGTTTACATTATTTAGTATTCATACCCTTTAAGTGATCAGATTCCACATGTTCTGTACTATATGCTATTCTCACAGTGATGTTATACATAGATGTCCATCTTTGCGTTTGGTAGAGGTCTTATATGCAACAGGCTCAGGTTCACTTTGTAATGGCATATGTGAACAAAAAAACATTTTGAGACCTGAGGGGAGATTAACCAAAGCTATTTAATTTTCGCTTGCATTCATATTTTCTGTTTGTATTGTGTTTCAGTGCATTTTGCTTAATGTCTCTAAAAGGGTCTCTATTTATAAAATGGTAATCCAGACATTGACCCAGTGCTCAGGGTGTCTATGGAAGTATCAGTAGCAACTCACTAGCAAGGATCAGAGAAGGCCAAAACAGTTGTCTGGGATTGCTTTATCTCTCTATGTTTGGTCTTGGCAACCCTTGATAGTGGGACTAGTCTGATGTGTGACATGGCACATGTGAGCAAAATGTGTTTGAAAACTGAGCGGTGATGAAGCCGACCGCATGCTATTGAGTTTTTGCTTGTTCTCATACCTTTCATTTGTTTTTGCTTCAATCACAGGAACAGAGTTTTGGTGTGTCCAATGAAATCTGCTCCAGTTATGTTAAGTCTGTCTGACTCCAGTCATGTAGTTTTACCTGTGGATGATGATTCTGACCTTAATGTTGTAGCATCATTTGACCGACGTGGAGAATATATCTACACTGGGAATGCAAAAGGCAAGGTAAGTGGATATTTTATTTTTTGGGGTCATTAGTTTCAGGTTTTCATATACTAAATTTAATTAGCAGGAATTGTCTTTATTAATATCTATGTTTAAAAGAACACTATAAACACCATAACTACGACATCTTGCTCCTGTTTATTGGTTTTCTAGCTTACCTGGCGTCTGACATCTACCAGTTGTCTCATCTTGTGCCTTGGGATCTCCCTGCATTGAGCTAAGCCTAGTGGTGCTTGAAGTGCTTCTTTTGATGCTCTACATATTGTAACTGTTCAGAGCAATAATTCTTTGTTCTTTTGTGCTTGAATTGTCACAGATCTTGGTTCTAAAGACAAATTCACAAGACCTGGTGGCATCTTTTAGAGTTACAACAGGGACCAGCAACACAACGGCTATCAAATCCATAGAGTTTGCCCGGAAAGGGAGGTGAGCAAGGAGCAATGTAACATTTAGAATAAACAAAACTTTACCCTCTTCCCGCCATTAAATTTGTGTTTGATTTGTATGTTCACTAGTAAGTAGAGCACAATATACGGAAAGCCTACATTCTGCATTTGTGTAATTAAAACCATGGCTCAGTGGCTTTGACTTTAAGTGTCTTTTTTTTTTTTTTTTTTTAAACAAGCATTTAGATTGTGTTTAGTGTCAATGTTAATGTTGAACTGGAAAATCAAAGCTGTCTGCTGTATTGTTAATTAATATATAATTTTCAGAGTGTAGACACTTACCATACATCGGTAAACCTAATTTTATTATTGGGTTGTGTTGGAGATATTTAAGGAATTCATCTTAATGTGGTTTTGGTGTGTGTATAACCCTGTACTTGCTGTTTGGCGATAAACATGCCTCTAATGGCTGTCAGATTGTCAGCCATTAGATGCACTTCCTCATGTAGACCGTCAATTTTTCCAAGGTTTTTATGATGAAGCTAAATATAGTCAATGTTTTATAGAGAAAAATATATTAGTTGAACATATATTTATTTGTAACCTTAGAGATTTCGTCTAAACTTTGTACTAGTAGGACAGTATTAAAGTCATTTTTACACCCTAGCCTCATGGTAGTATAATATTTCTCACTTTAAAGGAGGCTTTCTACCATTTTCTTCTATCATTTTTCAAGCTATATTTTCTTATTAAAATTTACAAGTTGTCGATATGCAATTTTGTCCTACATTTATCAATTTTATTTTTGCGTTACCTTATTGTTAATAATCCTTGTTCGTATTTCTGGATGAGTTGAAACAAAATGTATCCAATGCTCTTGACAAGGTACAGTAAATGCTTTGAATAAAATGCCTACTTTCTCATTAAGATTATAGGATTATAATAATAATAATTAAGATTATTAGATATGTCGGTATGCAGGCATAATGTATAAATTATGTCCCTTTATGTCCATACAGCTGTTTCTTGATAAACACAGCAGACCGAATTATTCGAGTATATGATGGTCGGGAAATACTTACCTGCGGCAGGGATGGTGAACCAGAGCCTATGCAGAAACTGCAGGATTTGGTCAACAGGTATTGTCATGGTTACTGAATAATGTGCGTTGGTGTCTGTGTTTATTATTCATACTTTGTACACTAATTTTGCTGTTTTTTTTTTTGTTTTTTTTCAGGACTCCCTGGAAAAAGTGCTGTTTTTCTGGGGATGGTGAGTACATTGTGGCAGGCTCAGCGCGACAGCACGCCCTTTATATCTGGGAGAAAAGCATTGGAAACCTAGTGAAAATTCTGCATGGGACGCGTGGGGAACTTCTGTTAGATGTGGCTGTGAGTTACCTTGAGAATTTGTCTTTTTCCATATCTTATAACTACACTGATCAGCCACAACATCAAAACAACTGACAGGTGTAAAAAAATAACATTGATTATATCGTTACAGTAGCACTTGTCAATGGGTGGAACATATTAGGCAGTATGTGAACAGTCAGTTCATGAATTTCATGTGTTGGAAGCAGGATAAATGGGCAAACGAAAAGATGTAATTGACTTTGACAAAGGCCGATAGTGATGGCTTGATGAGTCAGAGCATCTCCAAATCAGCAGGTCTTATTAGGTGTTTCTGGTATGCAGTGGTTAGCAACTACCAAAAATGGTGCAAGGAAGGACAAATTGTGAACTGGTGTGAGGGTCATGGGCACCCGAGGCTTACTGATGCACATGAGGAGCGCTGTCTGGCCCGATTACATAGAAGAGCTACTGTAGCTCAAATTGCCGAAAAACATAATGCTGATAAAAATATGTCAGAACATGCAGTGCATCAAAGTTTGCTGCGTATGGTGCGGCAGACCATTTAGAGTGCTCATGATGACCCCTGTCAATCGTCAAAATGGCCTTAAAAGGGGGGATGTGAGCATCAGAACTGGACCATGGACCAATAGACGAAGGTTACCTGCTCTGATTTTTCTTTTGGATCAGGTGGATGGCTGGATGCGTGTGCATCATTTATCTGGAAAGAAATGGCTGCATGGTGCACTGTGGGAAGAAAGACTGGCAGAGGCAGTGTTATGCTCTGGGTTCTGCTGGGAAGCCTTGACTTCTGGTATTCATGTGGCTTTTGCTTTGACACATGCAACATACCTAGAGATTGTTGCAGGCCACGTACAACCCTTCATGGCAGTGGCATTTTTCAGCAAGACAATGCATAGTGGCACCCTGCAAAAATTGTTCAGAAATGGTTGGCGGAATATGATAAAGAGTTCAAAGTGTTGCTTTGGCCTCCAAATTCCCCAGATCTCAATCCAATTGAGCATCTGTGGAGTGTGCTGGAACAACCAATCCGATACATGGAACCCCACAGGATGCATTCAGAGGTCTTGTGGAGTCCATGCCTCAATGCTGTTTTGGCAGCACGAGGGGGATTTACAAGGTATTGGGCAGGTAGTTTTAATATTGTGACTGACCAGTGTTGTAAGGGTAACTATACCCTCAATTTTTATCAAGGTCAGTTTCCAAACTTTAGAATTCATCTCACTGTGTCTATTACTTCATCCTTCTTTAAACTCACACTTAACCTTTTCTGCTGATCTGGCACAAAGTCTGATTACAGTAGTTTTTTTACAGTTTTCTTCTGGTTTTTGTCCTGTAGTGGCACCCGGTACGGCCAATTATTGCTTCAATCTCCAGTGGCGTGGTCTCTATATGGGCTCAGAATCAAGTGGTAAGATGTTTATTTTGCTTCTTTGTGTTTCAACCCCTCTAATCATGATGAAATGGTATACACATTAATCTGGTTGTTACAATGTATGGCAAGTAGACTTCATTTTCATGATTTTTGTAAAATGTTTATTTTTATTTTTTTGGGGGGGGGGGTTTTGGTCTCTACTGTAGAAACAGGGCTGTAATATATCCATAAATATCCATTGTTATAAAGTTGTTTTTTTTTTTTCTCATAATTTTGTGTACTTTGCTGCCTGCACTCCCTGTTTCCAGGAGCCCTTCCTTCAATACATGTGATATGTAACTAAAGAACTTAATCAATAGTAGGATCAGGACTGCAGTGGAAACAGAATCGAATAGGTATAATAGAAAACTTTCCAAGGATGCTTATAGCAGTAAGAATTTGATACAAATGCGATAATTGTATCCAATTTTGAGAGATTGTATCAGCTTATTGTCAGACTATCACAAACTCCCAGGAGACAGCGAAGCGGAACGCATCCAGAGCCGCAGTGGAGCGCACGCGGCAGGTATCCAGTGTTCACACAACACAGAGAGATCCTCCTATCCGGCCGGCGAGAGTGAGATAAGAACATCTTTTGGGTCCTCAGTCTGTTACCTGGTACCTTTGCTTCTCATTGGGACATTTTCTAAGTGTACATTTTTTTTATGTGTGTTTTATTCTGACCGTGTCTATCTGAAATAAATATTCAATAGAAAGTACCCTGTCTGTTGCACTATATGACCGATTGAAGGAAAAGGACATTAACTCTCTAAGTCCAATAATATAACACTTTGATATAATATAGAATTTATCAATTTTGTATTGGTTTTCTTACTCATAAGTTACAGAACCAATATTATATAATCATTTACAGCTTTATCAGATCTTTCCTGCCTGTTTCATGGGAGGTAAATAATTAGACAATAAGCTGATACAATCTCTCAAAATTGGATACAATTATCGCATTTGTATCAAATTCTTACTGCTATAAGCATCCTTGGAAAGTTTTCTATTATACCTATTTGATTCTGTTTCCACAGCAGTCCTACTATTGATTAAGTTCTTTAGTTACATATTACATATTTTTTCATAATAGCCTAAGGTGGTGGCTATTTTTTCAGTGAGACAGTGATTATGGTTGTCTAAATTAGGCCTCTTTATTTAACTTTAGCAGGGTATTTCATCATCAATTTAGGTGTGCTATCCTGCATATAAGTTGTATTCACCTATTCATTCTTCATTCAGTACGTAACTACAGGCTTGTGAATTAAGACATTGTACATAATAAGGCCGGTGGCATAACCAAACATAAAAATGTTAGTGTAGGTTATGGTGCAAGGAGATTTTCTATTTCTGTCTCTTTGCATGTAATTACGTAAAACTAGGGTTGTTTGAAAAAGCCCACACCCTCACTTAGAGACATCTCAGAAGGAATATATAGCTTTCCATGCAATGCAACCACTTTTAGTCTAATAAAATCTTCACAATATGTTGTGAAGGAGCCTATCTTGTTTTGTTTTTCGTTCTCCTGTTGTATGTATCCCTTTGCAGTACAAAACTAGTACCACATCTTAAAGGGAAACTATAGTCACCAGAACAACTACAGTTTATTGAATTTGTTCTGGTGAGTAAAATCATTCCCTTCAGGCTTTTTGCTGTAAACACTGTCTTTTTTCAGAGAAAATGCAGTGTTTACATTACAGCCTAGTGATAATTTCACTGGCTACTCCTCAGATAGCTGTTAGAGATCCTTCCTGGGTCATGGCTGCCTAAAATGCATCCAAACATTCAGTGTCTCCTCCCTCTGCATGTAGACACTGAACTTTCCTTATAGAGATTCATTGATTCCAATCATCTCTATGAGGAGATGCTGATTGGCCAGGGCTGTGTTTGAATTGTGCTGGCTCTGCCCCTGATCTGCCTCTTTCAGTCTTAGCCAATCCTATGGGGAAGCATTGTGATTGGATCAGGCTACCACTTCTGCTGATGTCAGCAGGCAGTGGGCAGGTCAAAAGGAAACAGAGATTAAGCCTGCAGCTTCAGGCTTGAATACAAGTAAGATTTTACTATATTTAGAGAGCATGAGGGGGGCAAGGGTGCTAGATGGTGGTTTTAACCCTATAGGGTCAGGAATACATGTTTGTGTTCCTGACCCTATAGTGCTCCTTTAACATTATGTTTTGAACAAATACAACAAAAGAAAATTCATTAAACTTATTGTCATTTTCCTGATATTAATTTATAGCAGCATAAGACAGGAATTATACTATTTAATTGTGAAGTATTACAAACCTTCTACCCATTAGTCACTTTTTCATACTTAAACGACCATTCCAGACACTATAGCAACTTCAGACCAAGAAAGGAGAACTATGGGAAGTAAATCATGATGTGAAAAAACAAACAAACTTTGGAATCATGAATGCTGCCAGAAAAGGTCATTTAGAGAGCCTAGAATGAATTGTGGTTTGACCATATTATTTCCAGCTTTTTTTATTCTTTACTTTATTAATATTATTTTAGGAAGTGTTTGATGTGTCTTTCATTGCGGCCACATTAGATGACAAACCATTAAATGTTCCTGCCATTGTCTTGGATAAAAGATAGATTTTGGAAAAAATTATATTTTTAGATATTATTGAACATACTGGTTTCCTCGGCATTGAGGTAATCTTTTCCTGGATCTAAACGCCAAGATGAACAATCCTTTGGATTCCTAATACAAGTGTTATTCCTGATATAGGTTTGGGAGAT